TGGATTCTTCTGGTACGCGCCCTTCAAACGTGCATTTGTGTCCGACGATGATTGCCGTGGGCGCGGCTAGAACAAACTTTGATGCGGATACGGTTGCACCTACGTTCTCTAGGCGCTGTAGAATGCGATTGACAACAATGCAATGCTCCCAGATGAAGCACCGGATTCCTGCATTTTCGGGTATCGTCTCGTAAGAACCGTCTTCGCGCTGATAGCGCGTTCGCACTGATTTGATCGGAACATCATCCATGAATGGCGACGTGAATTCTGGAATTTCGTGTTGCAAGATAAACGCGGTATCGCCTTGGTAAACCTGTACAGCATTAGCATGTCCTTGAGGAAGAGTGGTTAGCCGATGAGGACCCAAAGGCGTTCCAAAGGTCGTCAAGTCGCGCGAATCTACGTGAAGCGCGCGCTGGTCATAACCTGAATATAAGTCCAATACAGCGTACACCGCGTATCCGGCGAACGCTTCCGCGAGAAGTTCAACAAAAGGCGGAAGCGACGCGTCGCGAATTGTTACCGCATTAAGCGGCTGCAAGTCGTGAACTAGGCGCAAGGATTTTCCATCTTTCTTTACTACGCAGAACCAGCGCGAGCGATACGCGGCCGTTGATGGTTCATATACTCCCGACGAGATCTTCTCCTTGATGATGCGCACTACTTCATCTAAGGTGGCTGGCGGGATCGGAATATTGCGCTGAGACCAAGGCGTGTGCGGAACCGTAGGAATCTTGTATGGCGGGAAGTAGGTCTCATTGAGGCGCCCGCGCTCTGAGGCGTCCCATGCGAATGCGAGTTCGTGTACGCGCACGAGCCAGCGCACCAACTTGAGTTCTTCTGGCCATAGCCAATTTGCTGGGTCAAGGTCTAGTTTATCTGCGCGCGCCTGCGTAAAGCGCGCGCCTGGCATGAATTCTGGAGGATGGGTGGGTAAGTCGGGTAATCCTGCTAACGGGTCATCTGGTAATTGGCGCACTACCCTATACTCTGCGGGCATAGTGGTAGGTACCGTGCGCACTTTCTTCGCGACTGGTTTATAAACCAGCGCGTGAAGTACGGGATCATAATAATAAAAGGAATTAAAGGCGTCGATAGTCGCCTTATCTATAACGGTCTGCGTGGATGTTAGATGCGCGTAACGCGCTGAATACTGCGGGATAGAAGATGAAGAAAATTGATGCGTAGAGACTAAAGGCGATGCGTTGCTGCTCCTTAAGAGCGAAAAATGGGACGCGCTATCCGCGCGCGCTATGCGCGGCGCGTTAGGCGTGATGCGAGAATGCGAAACTTGATGCGATAAGGAAAATACTTGGGAAGACGAATGCGTATGGGCTTCTCCCCGCGAATGCTGCAGATCATCGATACTTAAAAACCCTGTTCCTCCTCCTTGAGCGCGTGCGAGTGCGCGTGACTCGCGCACTTCGCGTCTCTTGCGAGCTGTCGCTTGACCCAAGGTAGGGTTGGAATGCGCAGTTCTTTGCGCGCGTTAGGATCAGTCAGTATGAGATCCTGCTCTCCGTCGGGCAGATCAAATGTGCGGCACGAGGTAAGCTTAAAGAATGGGCGCCCTAGTAAAACTTCAAAGGTCGCGCGCTCGATGACCTGGACTTGGAAGTATAAGGGTCCTGCGCCAAAATCAAGCGGGACGTTCTCTATGACTCCTAGCGTCGCGTCACGTGACGTGTTTACCGATTCCATATTGAGGCTATGGTCCGACCTGAGCGGTACGCCGAGCTCTTTCCATACTTCCCTTGGCATGACTACTACTTCCGCGCCTTGATCTAAGACGCAGGTGAGAGTGCGCCCTTCCAATGTCTTAGCGCGAATACAGCGCAGGGGCGCGAAGTGATCCGCGACGATTTTACCGTCGTCGCTTCGCATGCGCACATCCTCGTATTGCTTGAGCCATTGGTCGGTTGCGGGGTGCCCTGATAATTCGTGCACAGATACTGCGCCTACTGTGACGCGCTTCTTGGTCGTAAGTTCGCGGAAATGTTGGCGAACGTCGGGAGATACAGCTAATAATTCCCTTACTGGGATATTGAGATTGGAATCGAGAAGGCGCTCGACAACGCGTTTGTCGGCCTCCTTGTCTTCAAGCGCGAATGCATAACAATATGATGATGACTGTGCTGGTGCTTGGGTTGGTGTTGATGACGACGATGGTGGCAATACTGAAGATTGAGATGGGGATGACGACGATGACGATACTGGCACGGACGATGATGGTGTTGACGATGCGGGCGAGGCGCCCTTAGGAGGCGCCTTGGCGCTTGTTGGCGCGCTTATTGGCGCGCTTAACGGCGCTACTTTCGCTACCTCTTTTCCTTTACCTTTGTCAGACGAAGCCTGTATTTCGGGAGAGATTATCTCCTCCTCTACCGTGGCTTGCTTAGATGCAGGTCTCGGACGCGCGCGCGTTTCGCTGGGTATTTCTACACCATCGAAGCGCACACTTTTACCTTTGGCATTGCGCTTCTGGTCGCGCCTTGCAGCTACATAGGCTATCGCTTCTGTCATGAGATCCACCGTCTCGTCGTCCTCTTCGAGTTCCATTTGCGTGACTGTGTGCACAAACGCAGATGAGCCTACATCAATTACCGCGTCGATCTCGTCGGACGCGCGATAGAATAGTCCCGCTGTCGCGCCTGTACTAGCGGTCGTATCCGGTGTCGCGCGACTTGCGTGATGTCGATCTAGACGATCCTTGAGTAATCCTCGGCCTGGAATCCAATCGCCATTTGGCAAAACAAGCTTGCGCGTCTCTTCGCTAACCTTACATTTATCCGCGTCAATATACCTTTGTTTCTCTGCGCAACGAGGGTAGTAATGTTCGAGACTGCCGCAAAAGGCGCAGTCATTGAACGTAGGCGCGTCGCGCTTATATTCGCGCTTGGTTACTGTGCCTTGCGCGGGCGATTGCGCTGACGTGGTAGCTGTGACTAGGTTAGTGAATGGCGCTGCCGTAGGCGCGCTAGGCGTCGCGCTTGCTGCAGGCGCATTCGCGGGCAGAACGAAATGTCCAGCTGTAAAGACGTCCATGAACGGGTATGGATCCTGCGGGTAGTGATCAGGAAATTTAATCATTAGGCGCGTGCGTATTAGCGTCTGAGTATCCTTGGGAATCCCTTCCATGAATATGCGATCGCGCTCGGCTTTACCAATGCGATCTTCTGCCAATAGCGGTTGCATGACTTTCTTGAACGCGCGAAGGTAGTTGCTTAACTCCTGGTACGAGGGCATCGTCTTGTTTGCGTATTCGTGCGCGATGGCTTGTAGGTCCGAAAGCGCGTAGCGCCTTTTGCCATCCCATCCGGGATACATTACCTTGACTTCTTTCATGAACGCGTTGTAATCGCTTACTTGCGCCTCCGGCATTCCGCCCCATAATTCTCGGTCATCGCGCTCAAGGTAGCGGATGATACCCTTAATGCGATCGAGACCTTGTAGACCTACGTCGTCAGCGAGCTGCTCGTATAGGTCGATAAAGTCGGCGAGGCTGTCGGTTGTGCCATCAAATTTAGGCGCGTCCGTTGTTCCACGGACAGGCATTCTGGTTCTTACTGTGGACATGACGGGCGGTTGGGAATTTGCAGGCGCGGGGATCTTGTGACTGACAAGTGCTTGGCGCGTGTTCGCGAAAGGAAGGTTTGATATAACGGTACCGCCTGGGATTGAAAATGGCGCGCGCGGGGTTTCTAAAGCTTCTTGCTTGATCTTAGGTATTCCCGTTGTAGGAAGCGCGTTCTCGCGCGCAGGAACTACTGGCGCGTTAAGTGGAGTGTCGCTAGAGTCGTCAAGCTCGGTTAGCGCACTTAGCGCTGACAGGTTAGAAGTATTAAAAGGAGGTTGATTGGGCGTGTGGAGGAATGCTCCGGGAAGTTGGCTCCTTGGGTTATCTATTGCTTCGAAGCCGTCGGATGACTCTTCCTTGACGGATTCTTCAGGCGAGGGCGTGACTGGCGATATCAGTTGTCTAGGCGCGTGCGCGAAGAGCGCTGGATCTGGTCGCGGAGGTTCTGATATATTGCGCGAACGACCGCGCGTGTGTTGAATGAATAAGGGTCCTGGTATAATGGATTCTACCGCTCTGTCGAATGCGGCGATGGCTTCTTCTCTGGCTATGCGGCGACTGTTGGGTCTGAGGCGCCGACCTTCTATCTCAGAAGTGTCCCTCGCGGTGGGCTCCAGTTGTAGATGAGGAATCTTGACTATACGTGAAAACACTTAAAACAAAAGGGGTGCTCAACAGCAAGACCGGGATACGAGACAACGACTCGACCCAAAGGACAACCACTGAGAGAAGTTCCTCGAAATAAAGTGGAGGGAAACTCTGTGAGCTAGGCGGGCACTAATAGGCGCGAGGCGAAGGCGCGCGAGATGCGCGCGTGAGCGGGAGGTCCGAGAATGCGCGCGCGCGAAGCGAAGGCGCGCCTAAAGCGTTAGAGGCAAGATCTTACTGAGGAGTGAGTGCAAAGGTGGAGGATTGACAGGAGGATATGATCAGATAACAAGTGGGGAGGTGATCTATTCACTTTCCAGTACACAAAGATAAGGGAAAAGTAAGTACCAGAACTAAAGGAAACCCTTCTGTATTTAAGAATGGAGAAGGCGCGCTTCCGAGCGCGCTCCCGAACCGAGTAACCATATCAACTCTAATTATAACTAAGTTTAAATAAACTTTCCATAAGTAGCGCGGATGTCGGACCGAAGATTTTATTAGTTCAATGGATAAGATAGAAATAACGCACCAGCGAATCAGTAAGGACATGGGACGGATGGACGGACGATAGCGCGAAGACCTATGAGGAGGCGCACGAACGCGCGCGCGAAGCGCGCATAGCGCGTGCGTAGGTAAGGCGCGCGTAAGTGCGCGCGAGTTCGGATAAGGCGCGCGCGAGTGCGCGCGAGACTGGTCCTTAGGAGTAGAGCTGTAATGTATAGGAATGTATGGTTAAAGGCCGGATATTCGTCATTGAGACGCGCGAGTCTCTACACCGTGTTTATGGCAAGTGAAGGTCGCACAAGCGCTGCTAAAAGGGGACCATGATGTGCTCTGTACTGCAGGCACAGGAATGGGCAAGACACTTGGATTCTGGATACCATTGTTATTCCGGCAGGGCATACAAATTGTCATCACACCTTTGAATATGCTTGGGAAGCAGAATGCCACATCACTTGCCAAGGCAGGCATACGAGCTATCTCGATAAGCAGTGAGACTGCGACTACTGCAAACTTCGCTGTGAGTCTGATTTCTAACCACAAAATTTTACTCACCGAATAATACCCAAAGGCAATTCGTGCACTCCAGTACCAAGCAGTTCCTGTTAGCCCCGAACAGATTATGAAGCCGAATGGAGAGTTTGAAAGGTTACTAAAGGATGACTTGTTCAGCTCTCGCATTATCAGTATCATCATTGACGAGGCACACTGTCTTACCGATTGGGGAGAATTTCGGCCAGAGTACAAGGAGCTTGGACGTCTCCGCTATATCTTGCCTCCAGCAGTCCCTATCATGATTACATCCGCAACACTCACCAAACACGTCTGTGCGGTCTCCTCGATACTGAACTCTTCGAGTTGTTGCATGTTTGCACTTGATGCCCCAAAGTGCGACCCATTTTCTTCGGAAGCCATGGTGCGCACTTCACGGACATATACCCCTTTTATGAGTTGGGTCACCGTGTGTACTGAGTTATATGGTCTCGAAGGATGCTTGATAATTGCACCGATTAAGTCTTCTGAATGTACAATGAGTTCATGGACATGTGGATGGTTGTTGAGCTCCTGGCGAGTGAGTAGCATTGAGAAGAATTGAAAAGGCTTGATTCCAGCATCTTCAAATGTAGTCAATAGGTATTGAAATGAATGTTCCATTGTACGACTGTCAACATCAACTGTGACATTAATGTGCTACTGTCCCGGACTCAATTGTAGCACGAATTTTCTAATACAAAAATACCTGCATCTTTCTAACCCTAAGTTCGTTCTACATGAATAAATTTCGCGTTCCGCTGGTTCAGCCACTGTGGCTGACGTTGTTTACAAATGTTATCTTCCAGCCGCTGCTGAGAGTGTGAGGGGAATAAGGTTATGCTGGGTTTGAAATTTTGTTGTATCATGTGACCTCGGATGTAGCCCTTCCACACTCGAAGCAGTGGTTGGGAAGGAGCCTGGGATCATCCAAGCTTCATCTCACTCACCATTACGATTATGTCCGCCGCAGTACTGCGGGGATCGTTATAGCACAAGACCCCAATGGAAGGCCATGCGCCCAGGCTGGTGAATACCCTCAGCATGGCCATATTTCGATGTCAGACGGATACCGCGTACTTATGGGTGCTTACAGGAAAGTATGACTGTGGAACACTCGCGGATTCAAGATTGCAACCGGGGGTGTCAATTTGAATGATGTCGTAGTGGTAGTACGTTACCGTGACAGCTGTCTCCGTGACTGGTGGTCATGGCGCTTGTTACTTATGGTTCAAAGTTAAAGTTAAGCTACAGTATATTGCAAATGATTACTGAGTTTTCACCTTTCTCTCCACGTTAACGCTCATAACTCAGTGATATCCACCCTTTGGAAAGATAACATCTTCACGATTGACCCAACCCTTGAGTTTATATGAGGTGAGTTTATTTGTTATTTTTCTCGTCAAGTCCAGAACCATCATACAGCGTTGTAACTGCTTATCATGTCGCCCACCTGTCCCACCTGCCTTTAAATAGCTAACTGGTCGCGCATTTCTCAGCGGCTGTGAGCTCTCTGGCACAAGTCTTGATCCCAACTTTCTTCAATGGGCTCTTCAGCCTTGATGATCAACCGAGCTGTGTGTATTGTTGAGCGGTACCCGTTCAAAGGGAAGAAGGCGCTGTGCGTGAAACCTGTGGCTATCAAGACTGCAATTTGGTCCGTTGTTTCATTCATGGGCATGCAGTGCTAACTAACACTGCTTTTTTGATTGAAATTGCTCATTTGTAGCGCATCTAGTCACACCACTGGGTCAAACTGCTGGGTAACTGTCAAGTGCCAGTGCGTACTTTCCATTATTTATGTCTGTTCCTGATGAGATGTCAAGTAGATCTGTCGATACCCCTCATGAAAACCATCTCCACTTGAAGCCTGCGACTGCGGTTGCGATGATGGTTCACTGCTTATGAATGGTATGTGCGAATTATGATCATGATAAGGAATTTCACCTCACTGGGAACCTTTGGTTTGTAGGACTATAAGAAGGTGCATGATGTGAACCGTTTTTTACTTTTGGAATCGCGACTAATGCAGATGGAGTGTTCTGCTGACGATATCGCAGCGGCCAGTGATCTGCAGTTCTTAGCGGTGTGTCACTTTCTTGTTAATATAAGAGCCAGATATAACAAATATACTTACCATATGACACCAGCGCCTATGCAGTGCGTCCTACCTGAACTACTTCTTCCTGTTCTAACATGACAGCTTAGTGTCGATGGCTACATTTTGGGTAGGCACGTCCCTATCTATTTCTACCTGTTGTTAAATTTGCTTATCCAGACCTACGATTATGCTTGTTCGCTTCACGAAGAGGTGATGCCGTCTGTTCCCTGATTTACCTCAGTTTTGATATTGATGATAGGTATGCTGTCTTGAAAGTGGACATTCTTGCTTCGGTCGCGCTGGACCAAGGTAAAATGCCTTTATATAATTGTACGAAATATCCCATTTGCCATCTTTATCACGGAGTTATATCGTGCGTTCAGCCCTAGCACACATCCTCTTGACAATGAATTGACATGTTGTGTTTCAGTGTACTTTATCCCGAACGAGGATTCCAAGGTGTGTCGACGTGCAGTGAACTCATTCACTGGTGAATGACGCTTATTACATAACTTCACCAGAAATGCGGGATGTTGATCAATATTTACTCGAGTACGTGCGTGGTACATGCTGCATGCACATTCTTGTCGAGTGTTACCCTTTTCTCTCGCAGGTTTCAGCTTTATATCAGTCGTTTGCTCTGAATGTATTTCACATTTTCTCGTCGCATACGCGGACTTCTGATCCAATTTATCCAGTTATGTTTGTGCTCAGAACATATGCGCTCTGGAACAACAATAGATTCGTTTTGGTGGCCACGGTATGCATCGCTGTTGTGAGCCCCATGCTTCTCGATACACTCGTGTTCATGATTAATGAACGGGTCAGGCTTTTGTAGTAATAGCAGCTATCGATATTGTTTTCGCCACTGTTGCCACCTCACATGGTTGCTCTCGCCTTCCCCAACTATTATTCGCACATATTCATCCCACTTTTACAGTTACGACCAGCACGATCCTCCCAGGCTGCTATCGGACCTCGCGCAGAATCCAACTCTCTATGCCGTTTCTTCTCTTATTTGTATTTGAACTGGGTATGTCGCCATGAATTGGGATTACACATATGTTACAGGCCTGTGCTGACCACGCTCTCACTAGGACTAATCTCCCTCACATTTGTACGTGCTATACAGAGCTGGAAGACAGTCAACGGCCCTTTGTACACCGTTCTGGTGAAGCATGACATATTATACTATGCATGCGGTTTGTGTGAGTCAAGACATACATATGTTTCTGTGCTCATCAGTGATGACTCTTGTTGAGACAGTCCTTGCAGCCATCAACGTCATAATGCAAATGCTGTTTTCCCAAGTGCGTAAATCCCCAATACCCTTGATGGCCAAGTCATTGATGCTCCGCATACCCAGTACGCATATCACTCCGTCTTCGATGAGTATGTGCCTCCAGACTCCGCTGCAAATTCACCCTAATGACTTCCTAAAATACACAGCTTCCAATTCTATGTGCTTGCTATCCTTGCTACGCGCATGCACCTCCATCTCTGGCATCTCAATCAACATTATCATATACTTGGCTCTGATGCCCTCATGCTTGCTCCTATGACCGGCATGTCAACTGTAGACTAGACTGCGTTTATCCTGTGGCTTATTAAGCATCGTTTATGGAGTGATGTTTGGACCATGCGAGATGATGACTAGTGGGGTTGGTGTTGTTAGTGGTCGGGTTCGGGATGCGCTTAGCTTATAAGACTACATGATCTTTTTGGGCGCAAGATGCATTTGGATGGCCTTGGTGTATTGAGCGTCTATGGGTGTCGAGTGTCCACTGAGCGATGGCGGATGGGTGTATAATGACAAACATTCAAGATTCGGGCGTGCTGGAGCCATAGCCACGGCCTGATTCAACGAGTGACGGTCAGCACTCCCAGATTTTTGCGTGACTACGACAAGTTTTGGGTGCATGTTTGCACGACAACACCGCTCTCGAGACCATAATCCAGACCATCAAACGGAAACTGACCAATGTGCAGAGTTCAATTGAAGTAATATTTCTCTTGGGCCGAAGGTGGTGAACTGTTAAAGCAAGACTATGGCAGGTTGTTCGTTCTCTGGATCATCCAAGTATTCCTGGACCCGGGATAATATTGCATTCCCTCTGGTTATAATTAGTAGCCACTCGTAATATATCTGTCATGTCTTTTTCTCCCTTTCCGCCCAGATCTTCGCCGGCCCGATTGAAAGGACTTGTGGCCTGAAAATACTCTATCTGCACTATCTCCCTGCACACGGTAATCATTGCGCAGTGCCATATTGGAGGACAAAATTATTTCTAGGACTAGGCTTCAATGGGATTTCCTCGCCCCTGATGAGACTATCGCTCCCATTGACCATAGTATCCTCTTCCTCATCATCGAAGTCCATATCTTCACGTGCCCAGCGCAAGAGAACTGTTTCGCCAACGCGAAAGCAATTTGGCTTCTGGTATGACCTGAGGAGCCCCCGTAATCGGGGATAGTACCGCCTTGTTGCAATGATCAAGACATAACTTGGGTGCATTGATCAGTTTTGTGAGTAATCAGTAGCACTGACACTCACCTAGTCATTAATAGGATAATTGTTAGCGACCAAGAGTTGCGATTAGTTGGTGGAATAGACTCCTGTTTGTCATCTTGTTCATCGGTAGGATTCTCCTCTGGTCTGTCATCTGGCTTTTCATCATTATCTTCGTTCACATTTTCCTCATCACCGCGTATATCGACGTTGTGACCATCTCTAGGGCGATTGTTCGTCTCGCTCCCTCTATTCTCGAAAATATCGCTATTCGTATCGCTGTCCCCGTGCCTTTCCCACTGGACCTGGCCCCTGAGAAGCTCTTCCATAAGGTTACGTCCTTCCGGTCGATCATTATCTGGAAGGACTATCTTCAAAGACTCCAAAGGCTCTCGATCGCATCCATTAAGTGACTCCCAAGTCAAGCGGCAAGTGCACCGTACGGAATCAAGCTTCTGTTTAAGTACGTTCTGCATATTGTCAACAACAAGGACTAAATGCGCTCACATCCATGTGCCTGTCAGGCATGAATACAAAGCTTATCAAAACAGGTCCGCCGTTGGTTGAGATTTGAATCTCGGGAAAGTTGACAGTAGCAAAATTAGCTGCTAACTTGTTAATCGAGCTGATGATACGGTTCATCACATGTTCACGAGGCCGAGTATTATGCTCAATGGCTGGTCGCCTAGCGCCTGAATCGTGGTTGGATGATTGGGCAGCAATTGGAATGTCAGAAATCGTCTGCAGGTGTGCTGCACTGGCTGTGAATCTCTCCGCTGGGAAACAAACTCGTACTCTGCGCTGAGATATGTCAGATAAACACAGCGCTCACCCTTCTCGGACCACCGTGACTACGAAGCTTATTAGCAATGGACATCAACTTGAAACAAAACACAAGTAAACTTACTGAGTATTCGCTCAGATCAATGATGTAAGGTGTGTTCAAAGCAGCTTCATCATCCACGATCTCCACCAAATCATGCACAATTGTACACAGTTCATGTTTTATCGTGCTTAAATCGAAATTGCATGACGCAGGAAGCGATTCAACGAGCAACAGTTCCGAGCGTTGCATGGCAGGAGCCGCCGAAACCCATGGCGTAAAAACGAGCGATAACAAGGCCCTGCGAGTGTGAGAGATCATAGTGAAAGCTCAAGCTGTAGCACCTTCCCAAATGCGTTCTTCGATACCTGCATCTTATAGTGTGAATAATATTAATAGCTCCACTAAAGTCCACGAGCCACACAGCAAAACTTCTCCAAAGTGGGTCCGAAGGTGGCCGCCGCAAGTCTGCCTCATCTAGGATTGTGGGCGGAACAGCTGGGAGCGATTGTAAGCGGGTTCCATAGGACTTAACGGATTCTGGCAAGTCTTGCCAGGCAATGGTAGCTGGCGCAGACAGTGGTGGGCCAGAACAAACCGATAGTAAGCATTCGATATTACATAATTTTGGTGCAATCGAATGCAGGAGCTCTTCCAACAACATCACCGCTTGCTAGGACGCTAAACTGAGAGCAAGTCAGCCACAATGGGGGGTGAAGGGGACCGATGATCTGCGTCTCCCATTCAACCAGCTCAAGTGTGCTACCGCGCACAGGAAGTTAACTTTGTAATTACCATAGTAGACACTACGTACAACCGACGTCTACATAACTCATGATAACAGTAACTCGTACCTGCTTAAGATACAAATTTGTGAATGCTAGTTACAACCCAAGATAAAAAAGAACGCCGTTGCTGGGTCAGCATAATGCATAAAGGCCAACCCCCCGTGAAATAGTACCCTCAACATGCACAACAATAAAAGAACAAACATCTCGACAAAGCAATTAAACACAGACGGCACAGCTCACCGCCCCTATTCGACCTCCAATAAGTCCTCCGCGAAATCCTCCATCTTGATGATGCGGAACCTATCCTTCCACGGCGTGCCCTCGCCAAACTCCTTCTTCCAAGCACGGCTCAGGCCATCCTCCCATGCGTATAGCTCCACGCGCCACCCCTTCTTCAGTGCAATTCGCACAGGACCAAGGAAGCCCTGGTCGCTGAACTGCCCGACGTTCCCGTCACCTGTTGCTAGCACTATCGTTGCACCCGGACGCGGCACGTCCGCATCCGCAATCGCCTGATGCAGCTTCAGCTGCAACAGTTCATCAACACCCTGCTCTCGATAGCGGACACGTCCATTACGGCCGCCGCTCCCAGACGCAGTTAAGCCTGCGCCTCCGCTACCACCTATGCCTTTGTCAGAGTCTGATGACGCTCGCGCATGTCCCTTGCGCCATGATTCTGCACTAGTGTTGGCACTTGGTGGACGACGGTACTGCCCGTTCCCACTGTCTGGCACGCGCACAAAAATGCAGACTTCGTACCCGAGCTGTTCGGCTGTGTCTGTTGGTTGATATAGTGGGGATGAGGTGACCAGGACAACGCCGCGTGATGGGACGTCCGCGTTCAAGGAGGAGCGCGAGGGCTGCATGAGAGAGGCGTAGCTTCCTACCCGAGTGAGAGGCGTGGCGGCGAGCATAGGTTAAGAAACCAACTGAGGATATTCGAGCTGAAATGATACATTAGTAGCCATTGGATTCAAATCACAAAAATTCTTACTGGTCAATAAAAACATGAATCAAAGAATCTCTAGGTCGCGGTGCTGGACCCCTAGGGTCTGAAAAGTCGGAATCGACACCGCTAAAGTCCTGCGTGAGCAACGCCGTAATGCGGTCGTAGTCCTCCGGGAACTTGAGTCGTAGCTTATGGGCAAGGCAACGTAACTTGAGAATTTGAGGATTGGTGGGTATCTGTGATAGATGCAATGATGGGGTAGAACGACTGTGGCGCAGCCTATCTAATGATGACTTGTGTGCAGGTGTCGAAGGAATAGTGACAGCAGCATTATCGCCAGACGACGATTCTTCTGTCTCAGGTTCGGGCTCTGGGTTCGAGGAGACAGTGATAAGCTCGCTTGTCCCAGATACGCCCAGAATTGTGCTGGTCCCTGTGGTGTGACTCGTGCCTTCATGTTCCACGTTCTCTGGATCTCGCTGCAGGAGTTGAATCACCCTCGCCTTCTTTCTTCTCCGCTTGCGTGTACGGCGAGGTTCCGCATCGTTTCTCCAAGCGCCATCGCTCGTGGAGCTATCTTTGCCTGTGCCACGATCACGGGCAGCAATTCTGGCACGCTCTGCAGCAAGGAAGGAAAACGCGCCACCGAGGTCACCAAGAGTGGGTTGATCTCCTAAGTCAATATCTCCATCAGAAAGCGAAGGATCATGACTCAGGTCCGCATCCGAATTATGAGACTGTGATCGACTAGGTGTCGTGAACGTGAATGTGAGCGGCTCAAGCTCGCCTTCCGTCTCTTCTCCAGGAATCATCAAAGTTATTGCTACCATCGGGATTTGGAAGGGGCGGGCTTGCGGTCATGCTGGTCAATGCCGAGCGTGTGTGTGAGGAGCTCGAGGATGCGAGGTAAGACGCTAGCATGCTCTGGTTCCATACCGTAGAGCCTTCTATGAACTCCGAGTCAGTCGGAAGTGAAGAGAGCGGGACAGCGTCGGTAGAGGGTGTATCAAACTCTGGGTAGATGTAGGCACCTCCTCGAGGAGGCACGAGTGGCTGAAGGTGGTTGAGAGCCCTAAAGACAGTGGTGAAAGCCCCAAGGTCGGGTGACTCTAACGCCCACAAATCAAAGTTTATTATATCAGATTGCACTTCACCAAAATAGAATAGCGAAAGATCCCGATGGTAGTGACTCACCATCTGAAGTAGCGTCACTAGCAGCTGAATAGTTGGAGAAAGGACTGATCGGAGTCGGCGAAGTGTTTGTCGTTTCCGAGCTGGAGAGAATTGTGGACATGAAATACGGTTATTAAACGAAAATTGATACAGATTGTGATGTAGTAGATAACCAAGACTGTATGTCGTTGACTCGGAAGTATATCGTCAAACGGTGAGAGAGAGAGGGAGAAGAGAGAGAGAAATAAAATAAAATAAAGGTGATTGATATAGGAAAACAGTGTGGAGAGAGCTATAGCGTGGCTCAAGGAAACGTGCTGGCAGCGTGCATCTCTGACTCGAGTGGCGGTAGTGGTTATGTCAAGACACCACTTGATGACTTGAGTGTGATTTTGGAGCCACGTGATCTGATAGTCGCGTTCAGGTTCAAAAGAATATATTAATTTGTAGTCATGAGATTCGTGTACGCTGGTACATCCTGTGATTTCAAGGTGATAGTATGTACAAAAGATGCAAGTGGTGTGATGTAAATAAATGCCCAATAATGATAATTCCAACTTCCACCTGCAATTATGATGCTGATGCACAAGTAATTTGACAACAGCATGAAAGGTGAGAACGAAGATTTTAATACAACGTTGTGTTCGTTTGTAAACGAGGGCTCTGCCATCGAATACAGTGCATTTTTAGGGTACTCGCAGCGGCCTTCAAAAGACCCCGAGCCATATTTTTGTGAGAGTTCCTCCAGTTCAACTGGTAATTTGTTGTTCACATCGGTTCCGGAGACGGGCTGTAAGTCCTCATAGGAGATGGGCTGGGACTGAGAGAGTAATCCGAAATCGTGAACGTGCGGCCGCGCGGTATCGGAGAGTAACTGCGGCTCGATGTGGACAGTGGAGAGATCGGTGGGGACGGTTGAAGGTTGGAAGTAGTTCGGGGTGGGGACGGGGAGCTGAGAGGGCTGACCACATATGGAGATGGACTTCTCCGCAGAGAGATTGGGGACGAGTCGGTCCAAGGTGAGTACCGTGAACTCGCCCGAGAATTGGGAGTCGCTGGACTCGGATGGCGAGAGCGCACCGCAGGGCGTGAGACCTGTGTGCTCAAGAAATATTAGATCATTGAGATTCAGAGATGCAGAAATCTCTACCTCTGGTTTCGCAATTCGAGTGGTTGGGGGGTAAGGTGCGGCGGCGTCCTTTCGAGCAGCTTTGTCGTCAGGAATGCGACGCGCTTTGGGCTTGTAGCCGTGTTCTGACTTGCGGTGGCGCGTCAGGCTTCCTGGGTCGGTGGTGCAAAAGGGGCACTCAGGGTGAGGGCACGTCTTTGAGCGCTCACGGGTGTGGGTCCTGATGTGCGTTTGGACGTTAGACTTCTGGAGGGTCCTGTAATCGCAGCCATCATATGGGCATGCGTGCATACTGATGAAGATGGCCGACTGGTCAGGAATCATCTGGTTTAATAAAGGACGAGCACCTACAGGGCCTCCTTGTTTTCAGCGTGAGTACGCATGTGTCTAGGAAGATCGGCCTTGCGGCTAATAACCTTGCGGCAGACAGAGCATTCAACAGCCTTCTGTAGAGAAATTGTCATGAGCACAAGACAACAGAAGTGAGGTAGGCTGCAAGCGTACTGAGTTACGTCCTGTAGCAGGCATTTTGGAATAGTGTTGGAGAGAAGAGAAACGATTGTCAATGATCTGCAAAGTGGGTTTAAATCCCTGGAATGAAACAATGGTGCGTGTGTTGTGGTCAGTCCACACATTTCTCCCGCTTCTTTTGAACCACTAGGTGTGCTGTGGATTTCGAATACGATTGTTTTTCTGCAGCGCGCATTTCTGCCTTTAAAGGCAAAAAGCGTAAAGCAATCGTGTGCGTTAGTCTGAGCATAAGGGATGAGCCACTCGGTTAGCGGGGAAGGTAAAAGAGTAAGACGAAGACTCGATTGCGTCTCAACACTTTTTATTATTTTTCCTTGTAAGGAAATTTCTGGTTGCCTGCTCGATGTGGGGATGAGTGGCTCACTACCCAGGCCTGAAGGCCTGATGAATGGGGAAAACATCAGGGGCCGGGGCCCATGCCCTGCCGAACAGCAAACTTTTCAGCGCTCCACCTTATCGATGCATGTCCGAAAGCATTGAAGCCACCGCCGAATTTAATTCCAGTATTATTCTCTAAATAGCCTTGGAAATCACCGGTTGTCAATCGAGACTCGGAGGACCATAAAAAAACAACACCAGTTTAGTGGAACACCGTCATTGACATTGCTTACGTTATCCAGGCAAAAGGTATTTTCACCAAGTCTTTACGTACTTTCAGTCACCTTGTTTTTGCCATCTTCCTCGCCAGCGGATCATCGATCAGATACGGCACGAGCGCTATCACTTGAACACGACCGTGTACAAAAACTTGCCTCAGCCTCTGATGTGTGGCCGAGGACCGAGTAAAGTGATGGTGCAGACTAAACGTGTCTATGGGCGTGCGTTTATGACCTCGGAGAACTTCCCTACAATTTGAATGAAAGTCAAAAGACACCGCGCCCAACCTTGACATACATTAGTAAGCAAATCCCTCCCTTCTCACCTTCCCCACTACACCCTGGGTGACCTCTCGCTCGAAGATTTCTGGGCCGCAAACATACACACATTCAGCTTTGAAGTCGGAGATAAACGAGGAAGTGATCCGTCCATAATGACGATGAAGCAATACCGAAGAAGGTAAGGAATTCTTGAATTGTTCAGTGGATGAGAAGACATGAACGACTAGGTTGACTTTGTGGGCAGCGACTTCGATGGCATGAGAAAGAATAGAGAGCATCACATCTGGCTCGCGCGTCGACAATAAAAGGGTGATTTCATATTCGGCGGAGTATAAGGGAATTCCAGAGAGCATAGCGAGGAAAGGTGTTATTCCAATCCCGCCAGCTATCCAAAGGAGTCTCCTTGGAGCATTTTTTTGGACAGACATTTGTTCTTCCTCGCGTGACACTGCAATTTCAGTGTTCTCGTGAGGGTCTGTGGGCTCGAGGACGAAGCCACCTGCTATTCCAACCAGTGTAACATTCAGTCCAAGCGGACGTGAGTCCTCAAGCAACTCAGGGCGGACCGCTGAGAGTTTGTTGGTAATGTCGAATAGTGCCCCGGTAACAGCACCACCAGGCTTCAGGCGCATTGTCAAGGAGAATGTCGTGCTCACCCCATCCGCAACCGAAGTCCATGAGCTGCACCACGAAATAGTCCATGTCCTTATACGGTCGTCATTCACTAAGTTTGGATTCTCGGGTGCCATGTGCTTGTATGGCGACGCACCGAGGAACGAGGTGAAATTAAGGATGGCAGCTTGGCCTGGGATAATATTAAGCTTGTGAGGAGATTCAAACGTGAATGTGGCGAGATCGGAAGAATGAAGCTCGATGCGGGAAAGCGTCGCGCGTATGGTGTCTTCGGTGCTGAAGTATGTCGAAGAAGCTTGTTCTTCTTTGAGCAGCTTCACAGGGGGGGCATACGGACTCCTCTGCGGCTCTGTCCCTTCACGTTGACGTACAGGCAACGCGTCCTCGATTAAAATATAACCTGTTATTTCAATCGTGGTGAGGACATCCTGCGAAGGCATAATAGCTTGAGCGGGAGCGCCAACAAGGTTATGGGCAGTTCCGGTAACATATAAGAGTGATCCGTTGATGAATGACGGGAATGTCAAAGAAGCAAGAGGTGTGGCTTCTATGTTTCCGAGGGATGTCATCATTCGGTTGCCTGAATATTGATAGGGGATTCGTGATCGATCTGATTATGCAGATACAACAGTGTTTACCTGAATAATCTGGCAAAACGAGAGTACGCCCATCGTTGCGTACACGAACAAACCCAGGCCTCCCCCCGCGATGATTCATGCCGAGGTGAGATGGAAACCTCAGTGCATCTGTTTCAGAGGCCGAGTATGATGAACCTAGGAATACGGTGTCGGATGAATTAATGAATGCGATGAGATCTGAAGAAAGGCGGCCAGTCGGGGGAAGGTTAAATTCTCGATAGGTGACTCGAGGGTTCGTATGTGGAAATGGAACAAGATTGCGGATCGTGATGTATTTCGGGCAATTTCTGCGGACAATCGATGTATCACCAATTTAAGCGAGTTCAAAAGAATTTGAAAGTACCCAATAGCTTCGTCAACAGACGTGCAGATATCTAATAAACCCCCTTGCTTTTCAATGGTCTTGACCAAACCCGCGAACTTGTTCCTCCGCCTAGTTGAGAACTGTACACCAATACCAGCAATTAGCATCTTCTTCTGAGATGCATCTGTAGTATTAGCATGATAGTCCGCATTCGCCTTCAGCGGATCACCATCCCAGACCTTCGCCCGCATAGACAATTGGTCGTACGTCTCGCTGGAAGCCCACCCAATCTCTCCATCTGGACCTGCAAGTATTGAGGACCAAGGACGACCCATAGAATCAAGAGTAGTGATAGGAATAAACGGAAGACATGTGGAGTAGAAATTTCGGTGTTGCTCAGGAAGTTCTCCTTGGATTTGAGTCCAAGACTGGGATACAGCTCCATGGAATCCGAGTTTCTCCTGAATGGTACGTTCACCTTTGTGCCAACCATTGAGAGAACTCATTGTAAGATATCAGGGGATGGAAATGCAGTACAGATGGTTAGAAAGTGAGAAGACGCCAACATCAATGCCAACCCCGCCCTGACTCCACCTTATCATCGGCCTTTTTATGAGTCATGTGACAAGTGGTGCTGAACTGTGAGCGTAGATGCGGCCAAATATAAAAATTCAAATTCAAATTCCAGATTTGCGTTTGCTGAGAGCGCGAACCATGATTAATTGATTGGCTCATGGGTGCATTGCAGGCAAGGTCGGGGTTATGCAAATGGGTAGAGATGGATAAAACATAGATTATTAATGGGACAGGATACTGGAGTGACGGTACTGCAATGTGCAGGAGACAAGAAGTGAGGGAAGCGGAGATTGAAACATTTATCATCAGAGCCGCAGCTGCTGGGTAACGTAACTGACATGTATTCAGGCAGAAAGACTTCGCCTACGCGGATGAGTGACACGCTTTGCCTAGTAACCTCAATCCACAATTGGGGAAAGACGCACATATGCCATCAGTCCTTTTCTGACTAAAGGACGGTTGACCATGGCCCATGGGTACCGGTGAAGTGAAATCGGTAGCTCGAGCATCGGGCCACGGCCCGGGCCGACGACTGCAACTTCCAGGTGCTATTATGAGGTTCGGTCATGCGGAATTTACCATGCAGAGGATACAGATAAACTCACCTGGTATCTCCCCTCTTGTACTCCTTGTATTTTCTTCTTCTCGAGAGCGACAAAGTACTGTGGATCACGATGAGGTTAAGTCTGGGATGTTCTCTGCTGCGGCAGATGCCGAACGCCTTGTTGCCCACGCTTATTACCTTGCGAAGCAAGGTCTTGTTGGTTGCACGGCGGACCGTCCATTGGATCTCTTCATCATCTCCACCGTCTCTCATCTTCGACCATTGATTTTGCGCATTAGCAGGCAGACTCTCTCGATCAGCATGACCGTTTTGATGCGTGACGAGGCCGAGTCAAGCATCTCAGCAAAATAAAGAGATGTAAGGCGAGAAGCACCGTTATACTTGCCGACGTTCGTTGCACGTCTTCAAACTAGTGCGAAGGATCTGCTACCATATGGTACACAGCAGTGACACCACCGCCAGAACGCACCTTGAGAAGGTATGCAAACCATGTTACAATACCTACTAACTTACTCAACAAGAAGCAGGCGGGATGAAGTGCTCCCTCCTAGGTGGCAACAGTTTATGATGCTAGATGGTGAAACAGTATATCAAGACAATACGCTCACAAAGGTAGAATGGAGAAAGTATCACCGGGCGCGAAGAACTCATCGTTGAACATAGATATTGATTGTTGCCGAATGCGAATGTCATATTTCACTAATCAGTCGCTCCTACTTCGTCAACCACAATACTCGGACAACGTCGTGGAAAAGGCAAACACCAGAACATTCAGCATGGAGCTCAACGTCGGAGTGCATCACCAAGGCTCATTCCAGATGCATGTAGCCTTACTTTCTTTTGTTTCAATCACAATATCATGAATGCATCGACCAATATCTCGATTCGCCAGTAGAAGAGAGATAGAGAGTCAGAAGGAAAGGTTTCGGATAGCGACGGAGGTGAACCTGCAGTTCGTTATGACCCTGCAAGCAGTGAGCAGAGACAACGATGAGGAAATCGATACTCATTCTTGTCTAGTAGTACGTGGCGCAACCTCGATGCACTTGGCCAAAATCCCTGGCACTCGTTGTGGTCACCTGCCACTGCAGCTCCCTCTAAAGTGTTAGTCTCCATCCGACAATCATGACGATATCAAGTTAATCCATGGCATACCCAGACGACCCTGTACTCCCTTAGAAACAAGGAATAGCGTGACAAAACTACTGTCAAGGTTTCAACGCTCTTCCAAGTTCCTCTTCCCCGCCAACCGTGTCTGTGCCCCTCGCCCCTCATTCAACAATCGCTCGATGAAGAGAATTACTGTCGAGCTCCCAACGCTACTCTTCGATGGAAGGTACCGTACAGGCAGTAATGTTATTCCTCTTTATCTTCATCTTTGTCGCCCCCTTTTTTCACTTTCATCATAACGCGCGCTCTAGTGTCACCTTGGGCCTTGGCTACATACCAGAAAATAACATGTCTGTCACAAATCACGATCGGCAACGAAGTGGCATCTCGTCGACTCCATCACACACGCAGAGATCCATAAGCTGGCCTTCGAGATCAACATCAGACGACAGAGCCTAAGTGGACTACGAGCAAGACTAGGCACGGTCTATCATTTTCAAACATCCACATTGCTCGAGCAGTACGAAAATTTATTCAAAAACAACTGCACTGATCGACTCCGAACTAGGTATTGCACCATCAATCATGATACCAAAGCGAAAGCAGAAACGTAACTCACTGTCATAATGTGCCGCTCGGGCTGCCAGCTCAATCGCTACTCTTCGTACAGACGGGAAGTCCTCTGAGAGCAGCCTGGGGCGCGCAGGTGAGTCATGTGGTTGAGTCTGGTTTCACAGCGACTTGCTCATACTCACATCTGGTAAACAACGATAGCCCGAACAGCAATCTTTAGTTGTGCTGCAAGCTATTGGCAATGTACTACATGCGCTGACAGACATGGATGCTGACAAGGCAACAACAACGGCGAGGAAGGAGAAACGCATTTTCTGTGCGAGGTAATATGGAATCTTTTAAGAGGAATTTGAACAATATCTCTGAGGATGGGTGAACACTATAGGATGATCACCAGCTTTTATATCATGCGTATACTAATGAACGTAATTCTGATTGATTTGGCAGAATTGTTATTGCTGTCAGACGGCAGAGATTTCGGTAGAACCTGCATCCTGGAACGTGTTCAGATGATTACGACCAATTGTATCCCAACCTGCTGGCGGGCATCGACAAATCTCTCATCCTGACCTATCCCTTATTGCTCAATCTTCTGAACCTGTAGTGACCCTGCGCAGCGACAAAGTCAAGAAGTTGATGCTCATTCTTGACGCATACACAAAGATTGCCGCTCTATTACGTAGTGAGGCACGAACGAAGGATTAGAGTATAGTCTTTGGGCGAGCGGATAACGCCGGTATCACTTCTTGTTTCCGCTCTCCCATATTGCTCGTAAGACTTGAGTCTCACCGAGCTTTTTCTTTTCTTCCTTTTGAAAAACTCGTACCTATCCCAATAATCTCTCTTTACAAAGTTCCATCTTTCAAGTCACCGAACATCTACTATCGTAAAAAAAAAAAAAAAAAAAAAAACACCTTTAGTTTGAACCATGGCCCGCATCGCTTCGGACCCGGCATTTGATATTCAACCCGATTTCTCCTCACCCACTTTCGAAGGTCTCAGAGTCCGCTTCATCGGGGGAACTCAGACAACCCACGAAGAAGTAGCTAACGAGCTGGTCACTGCTTGGCAGCAAGACCGCGACCTCAGAGTGACAGCTTGGAAAAGGCAAGTAGATGAAGACGCAGAACTGGCAGCTGATGCAGCCAGAGCCATGCGGGAACAAGCAGACCACGAACGTCTACGCCTAGAACGCGAAGCAGAAGACGAGCTTCGCGAAGCGGAGAAAAAGAAGCCCAAAATTAACGACTTTCAGACAGGCACGGCTGTAGGCGACACGCTCACCCCCCGCCCATCTCAATATGCCATCCATAAACTGAAATCGTTCGAATACGTCGAGTTATGGTACTTCAGCCCAGATGGGTGCAAGGTAACCGCAGATGATGCCAAAACCAACGCCGAGGACACCTTTGGCCTAGCCAAGGTTGATGACTTCGTAGCACTCAAGCCAGTCGCATCCTTCAAAGCATCTCGCAAAGCTATTCAGGACCACAACCTCGAGTGGCGCCAGTTTGATCTCGCCAAGAACAGCTTCCTCCTGCATATCAACAAGTTGAAATGGCCGGAGAAGCATCAGCGAGCCCTAACCATGTTCTTCATGAACATTGTAGCCCACCCATATCGATCGGAACACTTCGGCGAACAAGCACTGTTGCTCTACGCAGCCCGCGTCCGTCGTGACTGGCATGACACCTTAGTCCTCAACAACGCCTTCGACATCAGTATCTTCAACCTCACCTTACTGAAGAATATGAGCGAAGAAGTTTGGAACCGAGCGCGGCACGAATCTCTCTTAGAGGTCAGTTCATCTTTAGTCATTGCTCGCTACAACTCGGCATCTAATGCTACTCCCCATTGTTCTTTCACTCGCTTCCAACAAACCTATAACGCTACCACCACAACTGCTTCCGCTAAAACCGCTTCCACTACAACTGCTTCCGCTGTTCTCGCTACCCTCACTCCGCTTCCAAACGCTCCTGCTTCCACTGTAAACTCCTTGACTATCCATGGGGTTCTAACCTCCCTCAGCTTCAGACAGTGCAGAGCCAGTGCATCTCCAGTAGAGACAATACCTCCTCGCACCGCCACCAGACAAAAGAAGGGCATCGTAAGGCCAACTCTCGTTCACGTTCTCCACCTCGCAACCCACCCCCTCGCCCTCCTCCCCGGGCCTCATCTCCCAACCACCAGCGACCTCGCCAAGGCCGGAAACATCCCTCCCAAGAGAAGCAGTCTTTTCAGAGCAGCGCAGCGCCAAACGGCCTATTCGCCTGCGCTCTATGTCTCGGCTGCTTTGCCCACAACGTCCACAAATGCAAGAGCGAGTTTCTCTGGGATGGCAAGACCCCCACATCCTGCCGACGAAACACCGAAGGCCGCCTCGTCAATGCTCACGGCCTGCAGCTATGCTACGATTGGCAATGCCCAAACGGATGCTCAAATACCAGCAAGGAGCACAATCACCAGTGTTCAGGCTGTGGGAGCGCGGATCACGGAGCTCAGAGCTGTCCTCGAGGACAGGAAGTTTAAGGCGCTTACCCCGTACAAACCCAGTGCTTGGTCGCTCGCTCTCACTAAGTCCCAACTCATACTTAATTATGCACATATACCACATTCTTTACAATACGGTTTCCTTGGTAGTATTCCCACAATTAAAACTACTTATACCCCCCCTAATAACCCCTCCATCACTGAGCACGCTGACGCATTCGTGTCGATTCTCGCTCGAGAATATGAAGCAGGCCGTTATCTCGGTCCGTTATCTGCCAATGACATGGAAACCCTCATTGGTCCCTTTCAGACAGCTCCCTTGTCGCTTATCCCAAAGCCGGGAAAGTATCGCCTCATCCAGAACCTATCACACAGGTCGAACTCCCTTCCTCGCTCCATCAATTCTATCAACTCCGCTATCGATTCCAACCTCTACCCATGCACATATGGCACCTTTGCCACCATTTGTACCCTGGTGTGGCGTCTCCCTCCCGGCTCAGAGGGAGCAACACGAGACGTCACTGAAGCTTACAGAACTGTCCCGTTACATCCCTCCCAATACCCAGGCGTTGTGGTACGTACTGGAGAAGACGAGTTCGCCATTGATACTAGTTTCTGCTTTGGCTGCTCGTCCGCAGCTGGCACTTACGGAGGGCTTGCTGACGCAGGTGCCGACCTGTTACGAAGCGAAGGTATCGGCCCACTCTCCAAGTGGGTCGATGACCATATCTTCTTTCGCATCCTCTTGCAGTACCTCGCCGAGTACAACATTCAGAGGGCCATATGGGCCAAGAATATCCGAGACAATGGTAGTCTCCGCATCAATGGAGGAAGGAAATGGTACCGAGGTATTACCCTACCGGATGACACCTTCGAGGAATTCGACGAAGATTGTCGTTTTCCCATCCGCGATCATTCCAAATGCTCCCCCCGTTCCGAACATGATGCTTCCTTCTCATGTTGTATGGACGATATTAACTTCTTCTCCACTGAAACAGGGACACCTTGGGAACCTTCAAAGGACACCCCCTTTTGCACCACCCCACCATTCACGGGCATCACCTGGAACCTTGGAGCGCGCACAGTGGAGATCCCAGCAGCCAAGAAACAGAAGTACTTGGCGGCCATATCGACATGGGAATCACAACCACGCCATACGCTCATCGAGACCCAGAAACTCTTCGGCAAACTCCTCTATGCTTCGCTCATTGTTCCTGCTGGTCGAGCCTACCTCACAGAACTGGAGGCCATGCTCCCCATCTTTGGTGACCACCCTCATGTCCCACATACCCCTCCTCGAAACTGTGCTGCTGACCTCAGATGGTGGTCCGCAGTTCTACAACAACCGTCAGTCAGCAGACTCATCCCCAGCCCTCGCGAAGTCTTCGACCCCAACGCCTTCTCAGATGCTAGCTCAGGCATGGGCATCGCAATTTGGATTAATGGATGGTGGCGCGCATGGCGACTCATCCCTGGCTGGAAAACTGACGGACACGACATTGGATGGGCGGAAGCCATTGGCTTCGAGTTCCTCGCCCTCACCATTGCACAAACCGCCAGACCCAACCCAGTTCCTTGCATTAAGATTTTCGGAGACAACCATGGAGTCGTTGAGGGCTGGTGGAGAGGCCGCAGCCGGAACCGGGCTACAAATGGAGTCTTCAAGCGGATACACAGTGTCGCAGAAGCCATGCCCTGCACTTTCCTCACCCGCTACGTGCCCAGCGCACTCAACCCAGCAGACGATCCTTCACGTGGAAAGTACCCTCCTCGCACCCTACTTCTGCCCCCCATTCCTCTGCATCCCTCTCTCAGGAGCTTCATCGTCGACTTCGACGCCCCTCTACTCCCAAGTGAATCCCACCAACGTCACTCTCACATCCCGCTTCACACTCCCGCCAGATCCCATCAGCGGACAGACTACGCTGAACGAGCACTTGCCAACCGGCAGCTTGAGCAACAAGGAGAGGAATTCTACAAAGCGTCGCAAGCTTAGTAGGTCTCCTTTCTTACAATTACCTAGCTACCTTGCACAACCACGATCTAACCGTCTCCTTTATCTAGCTTATAAAGTCGACCTAACCCCAGTCATCTCAGCCTTACGGCCTCATTGCGCGGCAAAAGACCGACTTCGCTTGTGGATTCCATTCACTCCCAGACTCACTCCCAACACCCTTGAAGCGGGGGACATAGTCAGAATCCAGGAGGTGATGCTACACGCATGGGCTGAGAGCATGCGCGAATCATACGGTTCCGGACTGCTAGTATTTCACGTTTTCTGTGACTCGCGATCGATCCCTGAACAAGACCGTGCCCCAGCGGACTCCATCCTGATATCAACGTTCATAGCAGCAGCAGCAGGTCTATATTCCGGAAAAACAATAGCAAATTACGTCTTCGGGGTGCGCGCCTGGCACATTCTCCACGGCCTACATTGGATCCTCAACGACGAGGAAATTGATGCGCTCCTCAAAGCTAGTGAGAACTTAACACCCCCTTCCTCGAAACGCAAGAAGAGACGGCCGTACACGATCGAATTCATTTGCACACTCCAGAGTCATCTCAATCCCGAATGCCCATTAGATGTCGCCGTTTTCAGCTGCTTAACATCCACATTCTTTTGCACAGCAAGAGTCGGAGAATTTACCATTCCCTCCCTCACATCTTTCAATCCCAACCGTCATGTCAAACTGTCAGATGTACGCATAGAACACGACCGAAACAACCTCTCAATGAGGGTCTTTCACCTACCACAGACCAAGACCTCAATAACAGATGGAGAAGATGTATCGTTCGCAAGACAGAACAGCCCATCAGACACAGAGAGAGCCTTTCTGCAGCATATAGCCATCAATAACCCTCCACCTGGAACCGCACTCTTCGCATACCGCTACAAGAACGGTCATCGCCCTCTGACGAAGCAAAAATTCATCACACGTCTAGCCAAAGCAGCCAGAGCGGCAGGTATGGACCCTCTACAGGGTCATGGCATCCGCATAGGATCCATGCTCGAGTATTTGCTTCAAAATGTTCCCTTCGAAGTCGTCAAAACCAAGGGCAGATGGGCCAGTGACGCATTCCAGTCTTACCTTCGGAAACATGCCCAGATCTTAGCACCCTTCATGCAAGCCACGCCAGCTCTCCACGACGAATTCATCCGTTATTCAATGTCGAGAAACCGCTGAAAAGACGAAAACCACATAAAACGTGAGCAGTCTTTAACTCCTACCTCATTGGGATATCTGCGGCCACGCTGCGACGCGTCGTTTCAGACTCCTAACACCTTGGGGATTCGCAGCTCACCTTTCTCTTCAGATAGATCCCTGATCGGGGCCGGAAGCGCTTCGCGCCTTCGCCCACACACCTAATAGTAGTTAGCCTTCACCCCTCACTCCTTCATAGCTCTCCCTCAATTAAACATTGACCTTCGGACAATTTCTTTCTCTATGAGCGTCTTGAGTGACACCCCAAGAGAGATCCATGAGCTAGCCTTCGAAGTCAACTTTAGACGAACAGATTCAATCTTGTGAGGACATGTCTGTGCAGTGCGTTCCGTCTTATGACCTCCCAATATCAATCATCAACAGCAATGATTGCTCATTTCGACAGCCTCTCGAACTCAAGTTTAGTGGATCACGAGCAAGGCTAGGTATGGTCGATCATTTTCGGATAAGTTCAAGCCCATCCACATTACTCGGGCAGCACAAAAATTTGTCCAAAAACAATTTATAGGTACTGATCGATTCCGAACTAGGTATTGCACGGTTGACTATGGTACCAAAGTAAAAGGAGAAATATGACTCACTGTCGCGATGTGCCACTCGGGGTGAGTGTACGTGCAGGTCAAAACTCCATTCTAATGCACGCAGATGAGTCATGTGGTTAAATCCTGGTTTCACAGCGACATACTCATACTCACTTTGTCAGGATCACAAATCATGTTGTGGCAGCAATTTGCATCTGTAGTGCAAGGTATTGGGCTACAGTTTTGTGCACTGACAGACATAGATGTTGTCAAACAACAACGGCGAGAAGGAGAAACACATTTTCTGTGCGAGGTAATGTCTTCTGAGGTGAATCTCGAATGATGTCTCTGAGGATGGGGGAACAATACAGGCGACGGCCATCTTCTATATCTTGTATGTGCTGATGGGCACAGTTCAATTTGGCAGAATTGTTATTGCTGTTAGATGGTACAAATCTCGGTAGCACTTGCAGGAGCGTGTTCGTTTGATTAGGGCCATTGTAATCATACCCTGCCGTACTGGGGTTCTATTATCATGATGTTGCGCCCCTGGTATAGTTCACGATATGAGTTCTCCTGCATGAATTTCTGAGTTGAACTGTCTTTGATCCATCTCTTCGCAGCATTCCGTTAGAGATCTTTGCAATTCGGAAATCCAAATTGTGCTATTTGCGTGCTGCTTGTAAAGAACAACTATTTCATTCTGTGGCCTCAGCTGAAACCTGCAGTTCATGAGAGAATGAAAAGCTGGAAAAAGAAACATGAGAACCAGTGTATTTACCTACTGATAATTAAGCTGCCAGCTGTGTGAAGGAGTGGATGTGTTTGAAAATATTGATCGATCGCAGGTGAGCGAGAGAGACAATCCAGGGCTTGGAACCGGCTAGGTTTTGAACTCCGCTAGGATTTAATCAGCGTACATGCCGCGCTGAGCGCTGAATATTGAATGCCTGTCGTAGCTTCAAGAAGCATATCTCTGAATCCATAGAAACAAGTTTTCTTGCAACGTAAATTCTCATGTCGAACAAAAGATGCGTTCAGGCAGGATTCTCCGAACAACATTCCGGCTGGGTAAAAAAATGGATCGAATGCTGCACTCAAATTGACACCTACGCGCCGCGCGGATTGTAGATAGGAATGTGCTACGGTAGCCAGGTATGTATGTATTCACTGTGCGTTGATTATTTCTTTAATTAGCAGCAGGCGTGGTTGCACTCAAGGTGTCCAATTTTTGCACTGTCTAGACAGGCGCATCGATACCCTGTAAAACCGAATACTGGCCATTCCTTGGAGCTCCGATCTGCTGTGCCCAACGGATCGTTGTTCTCACGACCACAGCAATGTCATCGGTACTTAGTCGAAGTGTTCTATTGTTATTTTGACTGCGCATCCATTCGCTGCTCGGCGTATGTGCTTTTCGAGCATCAGGATTCTGGGTATATTGGTCATGTGAATGTGAACCGGAAGGCCTTTGGTGGCCGGGCGAAGTACCAGGTGCAAATGATAAGTTGGACCTACGCGATCATCTGACGTGCATTACTCGGCAAACTTTGATCGGGCTCCGGGTGTTACTAGTAAGTCTCTGGTACTGGAGCAGAAGATGATATATCAGTGCACTAATCAGTACTCAGTGTTCATTGGCTCGTTACGACATGTTCTCACTGACCTTCTCCACACAACCACATCCAACTAAGGAGTTAGTTGCCAGCATGTGGTGGATCTCGTTGAGATTCGAGAATGTATGTTATATCATGTAGACACGACGATGAGTTTTTTTCTACATGATATTCAGAATGATTTACTTTACAACCCTCACAAAATTCTGACCGTTTTGGTCATGTTTTCAGGCTCACTATCAGCATATTCGTCTTGGAACGCGAGACTGCTGACTCGGATTCACTTGAAATTGGACGCAAGCGATCAGCGCATCATTTCGAAGCAGTTGCTCTAGTTCGGTGCACGTCACCCACAGGATCATGGAATGATACTCAGGGAAGCTGGACCTACAACTGCAGTGCATCCTAGGAAATCCTAGGGTCACATGTTCAGCCTGTGTCTGATGTGCGTTATCTTTTGATCAAAAAAGGGTACCTTTGTAGGCGTCATGCACATGGATTTGGAACGGAAGCTATGCCGTCGCCGAGTCAATAGAGACTTGGTCTCCGATGGCTTCCCACAGTTTCCTATCTCATCTAATTGACTGACGCTTCTAAATGCTAGGATTGCGTGACTGTGCTTGTGATTGGGCGTGTTATTCTTGAACAATAGGGACTCTTTTAGTCTTGAAGCGCCGGACTCGTGCATATAACTGAGGTGACATCTGAAAGCCTTTCCAGATTCCAATCCCCTTATCACAGCTTACCAAACGTCTCAGCCCATACTATCATGCAGACCGCTGACTCTCAGACCGGCGTTTCGCATGTTCAGCATCATCCAGAGTTCTATCTTGCAGATGGAAATATCACCTTTCTCGTACGCTGTGATGTCCTGGATGTATCTCGCATGCGCTGACCGCCACTTGTGCACAGGTTGAAGATACATTCTTTCGCGTTCACAGGTCCTTCTTCGAGCGCGAATCTGAGGTTTTCATCCGGGAACTTGCACAAGTTCCCCAGGATGGAATATCTGATGACAGCGCGTTTCAGGTCGAAGACGTGACTAGTGATGACTTCGCGACATTCCTCTGGGTCTGGTACAGTCCGTAAGCTCTCAGTTAGTTCTTCCACCGATATCGTCCTTGACTTTGGGTTACAGGAAGTACAGACTGGACAGGAAATCGTCAGATAACTGGCTCGTCATACTCGAGCTCTCTACGAGGTGGCAATTTCTTGAGATGAGGGAGCTGGCTATTGATCAGCTCCAGAATCTCAAGATGGACCCCGTAGAAAAGATCGCGATCTACAACAAGTATGAGATCGATAGATCGCTGCTTTTGCCTGAATACAAGCACCTTTGCACGCGCGAGGGTCAGATGTCGATCGAGGAGGGTGAGACGGTCGGGTTATTCACTGTCCTCGCTATACATCAGGCTCGTGAGCGTGCAATGAATAGTGTAGTGGCAAAAGAGTGTCGCAGCCCGACTCTTGCTGATGTCGATGATGAGAAACTGGAAGAGATATTGAAGGATATCTTCAATCTCAACCAGGATTCTACTACCGCATCACGACGTGGCGCAGATATTCATGCGCCCTCAGGAGACACTGACAGCCAGGGTGTTCAGGCGCAGGGGCAATCGAACGCACCCCCTATCATTGGCACTCCACTGCCCAATGCAAGCAGAACCACGAACAGGCCGTTTGGGACAGGTTGGGTAAGTTGGGTCTTCCACCAGGGAGAAGGAATCATTTGACCGTTTAAATAGTCCTCTCAAAATGGCAATGGGCAGGGAGATGCTACAGGAACGGTGTGTTGCATGTGACTCACTAACCACAACTGACACTCAAAGAATATACGATAGAACCTGATAATTGATCAATCAGAGGGCGATCTGAGTTCCTTAGGTGAAAGTCCGACTTGTGTGACCGGGGTTGGAGTGACACGCGTGTTAGGCCATAGCCTTATTTCAACATTCATTGAGTCTGCGATAGCATTGGTGCTTGTCTATATTGTGATCTATGTATTATGAACTTCATAAAGTCTCGACACTTGCGATCGGTTCGTTTTGTGGACACAAAATTTGCACAATCCCGACTTATTTTGTTTCGAATCCTCTAGCTATGAGTCAAACGAGGTTTCTATCAACATAGGTAGCACTTCCCGAGTTCTCAGATCGCTTGCGATAAGTTTCGTCGATGTCGCGCGACACCGTGCGTGTAGATGGTGCAATCACTCCAGGGCGCAATAGTTTGACTGCCTCGATGTGTAGAAGATCAGCCGAAAACTTAAATGGACGCTTATTGATAACACAGCGCATCGCAACGAGGGCAGGATGGGCCTTAGGTGTATACTTTGAAACTGAACCGCTAAGAGTTTGATGAGCACACCCTTCGCATTCAGACTGAAACACCCCGCTGGACACGTTCTTCGAAGCCCCGACTGAGGTGTTTTGTCCCTTGTCCAGTTGGTGTGCGGTTTTGCTGATGGGGCTTGTGGTTGACAGGTTAGTACGGCATCTGAAAGTTTGGACTTGAGATGTGTCGCGGCTGCTGTCAGCTTTCAAGCAACGTCATAAGGATATCATTTAGTGATCATATGCAGCGAAATTTAACTGAACTTTAGGTGCAGCTGGAAATTGTGAATGAAATCATTGAATGAAGATGGGGACATACCTATAATCTCGTCGGGTTTGCCTCGGACATCGAGATGGGTGACATCAGCTTTTGTTCGTCACTTTGGGTGGGAGACTCTAACACGTTCAAGTTGGCGATATCACCGTTCGCTTACAGGTGCGTGCCTTCTTGGCCGTTAATGTATCAAGTTTAATATCGCCCATCGGTCTACTGGGAGAGGTGCCTGACGTGAGAATGCCAGTGTCTTGCAACAATCGCAATCGCAAGTTACGAGTTAAGAAAGTAAGCACTCAGCTGTGCTATGCATAATGAATCTGAGACGCTGCCGCAGGTTGATGTTTTATAAAGATTATTATTCATCGATAGTCATCGATATTTTCAAGACCTCGTACCCGGCGTACCCGCACAGGTACCCATGTCACTGTTGGCAGAACTCGGCAAAACTGGTTGTGCCTGGTCCACGGCAGAATTCACGCAAAGGGAGCTGGCAGGACTCCAAAGTATCTGAGACTCGCGGAGATATAATGTAGATTTTATAACACCCTGATTCGAGTGCTTTGGCTGCGCTTCTGGAAGTTAGTTCTACTGCCGCCATAAAGAGATGCAAAGTCTCAAACATAGATTATAATGCTCACCCCTTCAGTAATTCAGAGCATTAACGAAGTTAAAGTGCTCGAGGAAAATGTATGACGACTCAGTTGAGTCGGTTCGAACTAGACTATTCTAGATGAGGATTGTGACGAGTCATTATGTAATGTTGTACTGTGACATCGTCTTGCCGGTTGTATTACATAAACCGGCTGACAGTATTTAATTCTGCTACCCGTCACCCGTATACCACGATTTACCCCGCGGACCCGTGCAAAAGTTACCATGGTTCACGCCCTAATTGACGGCGCAGTCACCGTAGTCGCATCTTAATACACTGCATGGTTCAGGACTCCAGGCAAGTAAGCATGCATACATCTTATTATAACAATTCTTGGACTACATCGCAGTATTATAATCTTCATTCCCAAGGGCGCGGCCTCTATACAGCGCTTTGGGTGAACGGCACCATGACTTTCCCCAAAGTAAAACTCTCACTGTCAAAAGCCCTCGGTATAATGAATAGTCGCCACGGATTGAAACACATCACCATGTGTCCTCATCACAGCGGTGGGGAGAAGACAAGATCATTTATTGATTGTTCAGGCGGCCCTGTTTTTGAACTCATGTCAAGAACAGTTTCTCACTGTATCAGGGCTGTTGCTCAGACATACAGCTTTTCTTGTCACGTAACATGATATGCTGAGCCTACAGATAGAGAGTTTTGCATATATATAATGTGGAGAGCTACGATTCTCTTAACTCAGCTTCCTTCCATTGTCAGGATGTACTTCTTCGCTTCGCTTCTATTCTCAGGAGCTGCGATCGCTCTTGCGCACGCTGAAGAAGCCAAGCGCGACGCAAGTCAGCCCTACTTCAACATATATCAAGGTCCAAATGAGCAAGATTCGATCATCAATGATCCTTCTACTCAGCTGGATTACACCCTGTCTGGGGGAGAGGCGTAAGTTAGTTACTCCTCAATCGTACTTTACAAATAACAAGTATGTTGTATGCAGACATCCCAACCCGTACATGGCAGACAGACTAGGAACGACTGGCCCTCTTCTGATTTCGTCCACTAACTTGGCAAGGAATTTCCTTGGGATAGCGTCGATCTTTCCTAATATACATCTCAGATCGAATCACTGGCTCACTTTGTCCGTGAGAGAGTGGTAAGACACGCAGGATTCTCCGCGATGCCACTGCTAATGACCTCTTTGCAAAGCCTGAGCGCACTGTCCATGCAAAAGGCGGAGGTGCTCATGGTTGGTTTGAAGTAACCACACCAGTGGGTGCGAATTATTCGATGGCGAGTGTCTTCTCGGAGGTCGGCAAGCGTACCCCAGTCACTGCCCGGCTTTCTACAATTGCCGGTAATCTGGGCAATGCGGATACTGTTCGAGATCTGCGAGGGCTCGCCTTTAAGTACATGAGCTAGTTTGGTATTGCCGCCACGTGCTCAACGTGTTGTTGTTTCTAAACTTAGGTTGCGCACAGAAGACGGAATCTTGGACTGGGTATTCTTAAACCACCCTGTTTTCTGGCTTCGCGATCCAGCAAAATTCCCTCGTTAGTATAACGAATCCCTCCATGACTTGTCATATTGAATATGCATACAGACTTCATCCGTTCTCAGAAACGCAACCCTCAGACAAACACTGTGGATTACAATGTACATTTCCCTCCCTCATAATATCATTGGCAGTTCACTCATTGTACACCCCATCAGAATTTCTGGGGTGAGCGACAAATCAACCGCTTCGACGCGCAGGCTTTACATTTTTTTTAGACTACCTTTCCGCGAACAATGAATCAATCTACCAGGTACCTTCCGCCAAAGTTTTTCAAATCAAGTGATTATCTTTGCTGACATCAACCTGTAATAGGTCATGCGTACCATGACCGACCTAGGGACTCCTTACGGGTTCAGGTATGCATCTCATGAAGTATACGTGCTTTCTTCTTTACTCACCAATCCCTAGGCATATGAGTGGCTGGAGTGGCAATACATTCCGCGCTGTGAAGGCAGATGGCTCGTGGGTTTACATCAAGTAGGTGGTCCCTGATGTGCTTGGTGTCTCCATCGTTGACACGGTCCAGAACCATCGCAGTGACGGATCAAGGCATCAGGAACAACACTAATGACGAGGCCATCGTGCAAGCTGGCGTGAGCCCCGACTTTGGCGTCCAAGATCTTTATGACTCCATTGCAGCTGGAAATTACCCCAGCTGGACAATTTACTGGCAAATCATGACGCCTCAACAAGCCGAGAATTATAAATGTCTGATGCTTGGTCTTATCTAGTCTCTTCAGGATGATGCTAACATTTTCTCTCAGACAATATCCTAGACCTGACCAAAGGCACGTTTTACTGTCCTCAAATTATATGCTCGACACTCACATTTCTATTTCTAGAATGGCTCGTAGAAGATGTACCTTACCAAGAAATCGGTCGGATCACCCTTGTTCAGAACCCGTGCGGATTTGTGGTTTTCAATGTTTATGCGCCACAACTAACTTCTTCCCTCAGGACTAATCATTTCGCAGAGGTTGAACAAATTGGTTTTGACCCTGCCAACATGGTCTGTTTTTCTGAAGATCCGCAAACTAACAAGGCTAATTTCATCTAGCCTTATGGTCTCGAAGCTTCTGCGGATCCCACACTGCAAGCACGATTGTTCGCTTACGCTGGTACTATAGTTCTGACATAATTTTGAAATCTTCTACTCAACTTCCTCCATCCAGATGCCCAGCGATACCGCACTGGAGTTAACGGCAGACAACTCCCAGTAAGTAGCATCGCGTGACTCAGTCCGGTCGTGCCTAAAGCTGCGAATGACAGATCAACTGCCCTCTCAATCCTGTCGGTTCGTAACATTTCTCCATCGTTCTACGTGATGCTAAATCAAGTTTATCCAGCGAATTTCTTACGTGATGGTGCCATGAACTTCAACAACCAGGGAAATCGCCCAAACTTTTGGTCGCAGCAAGATCTTCTTGGGCTTGCTCCTCGGCCGTATAATGACGACAATCACACCATTTGGACTGGTGGCGCTGTCAAGTACCTTAGCGTACCCAGCGAGATAGATTTCGATCAACCAAGGATCTTCGTACGTAGCAAATAGCACTATTCGCAATTTGCCTTTGAATCGCTGATTGAACCATAACAGTGGAATGGTCTATCTGAACGTGATCAAAACAACTTGATCTCCAATGTCATCTGGCATCTTGGCCAGGCCAGCGACATGGCCATTCGCACCAAGCAGTGCCAGCTCTTTCAGCATGTGAATGAGACTTTAGGTCAAGCCATTGCGATGGGAGTGAATGTCACTCTGTAGATAACATTACTGCCTTTCGGTGAGGCTTCTTGGACTTGAATCACCACATTCAAGTAGGGTGGCACCGATATCAGGAGCCGCCTGGCGCTACCGTCTACCCAAAGACCTAGCGTTCTTCAATAAATAATTCACTAGAGTGTAATTTCCAAGCATGTCAACATAGAGAGCCCCTACCCCCCCATCGTCACTGCTAATCGACGACAACGACAAGGTCGCGCCACCACCTCCGCCTCGTCAAGAACCTTAATCGGATATGGAGCTAAAACATGTAAGTCTCAGAACAGAAAGATACTCTCCCCTGCCTCATAAGAATCCGCAAGATACTTAAGACAAACCTCACCTGTTCCCTGAACGCAACTCATCTGTAGAGTGGCGGGGTACCCTCAACACCTCTCATCCAGAGACGTAACCCCGTGCCACGTGTGCCACCCATTGATGCCACTCGCTCATACAAAAGTCCTTTGTGACAGCTACAGCTACAGTACATCATCCCAGGCGCCGCGTGTCTACTTCCAACAAAGGGAGCCAAAACTCGCCCTCTACGGACTAACAAAGGAGCCTCCCAGCCCCTACCTATAAAAACCCGACCCATAACACTCTCCATTCTCAAACCAAATCGTACCACATACTCCCCTACTCGTATCACGTCTCCTCTACTCACCCCAGACTCTCGAGATGTCCTCAGACGACGTTCCTATGCCTCCAGCTAACCAGAAGCACCTGTAGCTGGGATAGTGATGTATCACTTGCTCTTACCATAGCGAAATTGTGATACACGAATCAGTCTGTTGTATAGTGCCCAGTAATACATGACTTCACTATGCCATACCATCCTCTGATAGGCGACAAGTCTTGATCTCACAGATCTCATATGTCCTTGGTGCCTTTCATATATCGTTGGTACCTTGCGATCTTGATGAGATTGAATCTTCCAAGTTCTTACGGTCAATGACTCATGTGTGATATAAATATATCAAGGGCAGTACATGAATAGTGCGCTACAAATTGTCCTACGACTGGGGCTGATCATCGACGGTAGGTATGACATCTTCACTGTCATCTGGAGTGTCGAATGCGGCACTTGTACAAGAACCAGTACATCTCTCGGACTTCATCAGACTGATTCATGTATTGCATTTATACTACTATTGCTAGGTAAGAAATGTATCATTATCACAGTATAGCCTGTGTTTATACCTCAGCGGTTCTCTCTCCTAACGCTGAGGTATGTATCATGTTCGTTTGCACGCTCGCTCTCGTACAATAATTTGTCTCTAGACTCGTCTGTTAGCTTCACCTTTCAATAACCTGCACTGACCACAGCAGCACGACGAGCAAAAGAACGCGTAGAGGCGGCACTTTGATCGTGATGCAGCCTCGAGAGAGTTTGACAGATACATCGAGGAGGGTTTGACGGACATGAAAGACCTGAATTTTGTTCGTTACTGGGATGTAAGTCTCGCACTCATTGTTTTCACACATGGCGCTAATCGTGATTAGGATGCAGAACGAGTATATCCACTCTCATACAAAGTCGCCCTTGACATCTTACCCATACAGGCTTCCTCCGTGCCGTGCGAGCGAGCCTTCTCATCAAGCGGGGAAACGTGCACCCTTCGGCGTAGCCGAATCCTCCCAGATCTTCTCGGCAAGTTACAGGTGCTCAAATACATTTAAGAACTGGCTAAACTCTTGAGTAACATTACATGTCCATAGCGAGTAAATCTTTAAATGTATCTCGAACTTGATGGGCTCGGAGTTGGGAGAAAGAGATAGATCTGAGCTCGTTGATTGGTGGACTTGATTCCCGAACAACATCCGAACTCGCTAGTTGCACTGGTGTGTAACTCGATACAACTCGAATCGTTTACTTGTTCGAGTTCGCTAGCACCGCATCACACCGCGTCGACTTGCGGCAACACTAGTCGAGCATCTGTCTCGCCTGTACAATCTGTTTGGTCTTGGAGGTGGGCAATCCCAGAAAGTGCGGGATTTGGCCAGTCTGCGTGAGGTCTATACAGACAAGTCACAGACTCATCATCTTCTCCCCGCCACGTTGCCCGCCGTGCCCACAGACAACATATCATCGACTGCAGCTCCACAGCTGCCAAATATTCCAGGTGCCATTCTGCAGATGTCATCAACCGGACTCGTCGTTGATTGCACCTACTGATGCGTGACACAAGGGTGGCTGAACACTGTCCGGTTTTCACTGGGGTGAGTAGCCACTGACGGGGGTACCTGATGGGATCAGTGTCGCAGTGGCCGACGTAGATCGTGGCGGGAGTGATGATGTCAGAACAGATAACCCGGAACCTGCCGGCAAAACACACCCAGACGTGTTCCCCAGACTTTGAGGCGGAGTCTGCGCAGACTTAACACAGACCGGCCATTTCCTACATGCCCTCGGCAATCCGCGCCAGGACAAAGTTCATTCCCACGATGGGGTCACAGCCACCAGTGTGCTTTGAGCATGATACACGATGAAGAACATGGCATTGGGACCGCCACAATGCAATGCTCGTAGAACATAATCTCAGAGGAAAACCTTCTTATTTCGACATATAGAACATCAAAAATAGAGCGGATTTCATGTTCTCGTTCATTTCCCAGAGATACACGTGTGTCGGGTACGAGAAATATTGGTAAATGAAGAAATTTTCAAAAATGGTTGTATTATTCATGATCTAGAGATTACACAGAGTAAATTCCGTGTGTCAGCTTGGTCGTGGCATCAGGATTATGGTCCCTGTCGCATGAACTAGAGCGAGGGCCCCTAACATCAATTTCTCAACCACAGACACGTTACCACCAAAAGAGGCAGTTTCGGATCACAGACAGCAGTGCGCTCGTGAGCGACAGTGTTCCCATTTCTAACATCCTCGGTTCTACTCACAAGAAAGCTGAAAAGGCAGATTACTTCTCTAACATTCAGCTCATCATAGATCAAGCTGCCCTCAATTCTTTGCTAGATCCTGCACTGAAAGATCAGCTTGAACTCCACAGGCGCCTCAAAGACGAGATAAAAATCCATAAGATTTCTCACTTTCAGTCGAAGAAGCAGCGTTATTGTGTACTTAAGTTTCTCATTCAGCGATGTGAAAAAAAAAACGCGCTTGAGGTGACATTGTAGACGACGTAGATTTTCTAACCATCGCTACAGCCACAGGCCACGAAGAGTCAGCCTAATATATGGAATATTGGTCACTCGTTTCAGCGCACATACATGATATACATGAGATTTATGTATTTCTGACGTAGTAATGACTTACTGGTTAGTTGATGTATTCTACACCACAATACATACTATTTTGTTGTTTCGCTGGCAGTGCTATCACGGTCTTTGAGCTAATCAGGGGTTTTTCGATTATATAAGCGTCACGCAGTGTTCGCGGGGATTGCCCGCCTCCATAAATTGGTCCGACCTCAGATGTACAGCATATCATATACATAGTCCATCAGCTTATCGTTTCCTTCAGATCTCTCAGCTCATCATGGAAATGGCAGATTTTCTGATGAGGGCGCAGCCTCTATACAGCGCTTTGGGTGAACGGCACCATGACTTTCCCCAAAGTAAAACTCTCACTGTCAAAAGCCCTCGGCATCATGAATAGTCACCACGGATTCAAACACATCACCATGTGTCCTCATCACAGCGGTGGGGAGAAGACAAAATCATTTATTGATTGCTCAGGCGGCCCTGTCTTTTCAACTCATGTCAAGAACAGTTTCTCACTGTATCAGGGCTGTTGCTCAGACATACAGCTTTTCTTGTCGCGTAACATGACATGCTGAGCCTACAGGTCGAGAGTTTTGCATATATATAATGTGGAGAGCTACGATTCTCTTAACCCAGCTTCCTTCCATTGTCAGGATGTACTTCTTCGCTTCGCTTCTATTCTCAGGAGCTGCGATCGCTCTTGCGCACGCTGAAGAAGCCAAGCGCGACGCAAGTCAGCCCTACTTCAACATATATCAAGGTCCAAATGAGCAAGATTCGATCATCAATGATCCTTCTACTCAGCTGGATTACACCCTGTCTGGGGGAGAGGCGTAAGTTAGCTACTCCTCAACCGTACTTCACAAATAACAAGTATGTTGTATGCAGATATCCCAACCCGTACATGGCAGACAGACTAGGAACGACTGGCCCTCTTCTGATTTCGTCCACTAACCTGGCAAGGAATTTCCTTGGGATAGCGTCGATCTTTCCTAATATACATCTCAGATCGAATCACTGGCTCACTTTGTCCGTGAGAGAGTGGTAAGACACGCAGGATACTCCGCGATGCCACTGCTAATGACCTCTTTGCAAAGCCTGAGCGCACTATCCACGCAAAAGGCGGAGGTGCTCATGGTTGGTTTGAAGTGACCACACCTGTGGGTGCGAACTATTCGATGGCGAGTGTCTTCTCGGAGGTTGGCAAGCGTACCCCAGTCACTGCCCGGTTTTCTACAATTGCCGGTAATCTGGGCAACGCGGATACTGTTCGAGATCTGCGAGGGCTCGCCTTTAAGTACATGAGCTAGTGTGGTATTGCCGCCACGTACTCAACGTGTTGTTGTTTCTAAACTTAGGTTGCGCACAGAAGACGGAATCTTGGACTGGGTGAGCGTTTATCGTGTAAGGGTGCCTCCTGAAGCTAATATACCACAAAGCCCTTCTTAAACCACCCTATTTTTTGGCTTCGCGATCCAGGAAAATTCCCTCGTCAGTATAACGAATCCCTCCATGGCTTGTCATATTGAATACGCATACAGACCTCACCCGTTCTCAGAAACGCAACCCTCAGACAAACACCCTGGATTACAATGTACATTTTCCTCCCTCATAATATCATTGGCTAGTTCACTCATTGTGCATCCCATCAGAATTTCTGGGGTGAGCGACAAATCAGCCACTTCGATGTGCAGGCTTTACATTTTTTTAGATTACATTTCCGCGAATAATGAATCAATCTACCAAGTACCTTCCGCCACCAGTTAAGTGATCATCTTTGCTGACATCAACCTGTAATAGGCCATGCGTACCATGTCTGACCTCGGGACTCCTTACGGGTTCAGGTACGCATCTCATGAAGTATGCGTGCTTTCTTCTTTACTCACAAATCTCTAGGTATATGAGTGGCTGGAGTTGCAATACATTCCGCGCTGTGAAGGCAGATGGCTCGTGGGTTTACATCAAGTAGGTGGTCCCTGATGTGCTTGGTGTCTCCATCGTTGACACGGTCCAGAACCATCGCAGTGTCGGATCAAGGCGTCAGGAACAACACTAATGAAGAGGCCATCGTGCAAGCTGGCGTGAGCCCCGACTTTGGCGTCCAAGATCTTTATGACTCCATTGCAGCTGGAAATTACCCCAGCTGGACAATTTACTGGCAAATCATGACGCCTCAACAAGCCGAGAATTATAAATGTCTGACGCCTGGTCTTGTCTAGTCTCTTTTGGACGATGCTAACATTTTCTCTCAGACAACATCCTAGACCTGACCAAAGGCACGTTTTACTGTCCTCAAACTATATTCTTGACACTCACATTTCTATTTCTAGAATGGCTCGTAGAAGATGTACCTTACCAGGAAATCGGTCGGATCACCCTTGTTCAGAACCCGTGCGGATTTGTGGTTTTCAATGTTTATGCGCCACAACTAACTTCTTCCCTCAGGACTAATTATTTCGCAGAGGTTGAACAAATTGGTTTTGACCCTGCCAACATGGTTTGTTTTTCTAAAGATCCGCAAACTAACAAGGCTGATTTCATCTAGCCTTATGGTCTCGAACCTTCCGCGGATCCCACACTGCAAGCACGATTGTTCGCTTACGCTGGTACTATAGTTCTTTCTGACATAATTTTGAAATCTTCTACTCAACTTCCTCCACCCAGATGCCCAGCGATACCGCATTGGAGTTAACGGCAGACAACTCCCAGTAAGTAGCATCGCGTGACTCAGTCCGGTCGTGCCTAAAGCTGCGAATGACAGATCAACTGCCCTCTCAATCCTGTCGGTTCGTAACATTTCTCCATCGTTCTACGTGATGCTAAATCGAGTTTATCCAGCGAATTTCTTACGTGATGGTGCCATGAACTTCAACAACCAGGGAAATCGCCCGAACTTTTGGTCGCAGCAGGATCTTCTTGGGCTTGCTCCTCGGCCGTATAATGACGATAATCACACCATTTGGACTGGTGGTGCTGTCAAGTACCTTAGCGTACCCAGCGAGATAGATTTCGATCAACCAAGGCTCTTCGTACGTAGCAAATAGCACTATTCGCAATTTGCCTTTGAATCGCTGATTGAACCATAACAGTGGAATGGTCTATCTGAACGTGATCAAAACAACTTGATCTCCAATGTCATCTGGCATCTTGGCCAGGCCAGCGACATGGCCATTCGCACCAAGCAGTGCCAGCTCTTTCAACATGTGAATGAGACTTTAGGTCAAGCCATTGCGATGGGAGTGAATGTCACTCTGTAGATAATATTACTGCCTTTCCGTCTTTGCAGCTACTTTCGTATTGGTGGATCAGATTTCTTTCTTGGCCATTTCTATTTATTCGTGGAGCTTGACAAACTACAGGGTCCCACCATTATACGATACTGTTGGAGCGGAACAAGGGCGACAATTAGAAGTTTGCCACTTCTAACAACCTCCCCAAATCGCGACTATCGCACATTTTTTTGATGCCTTGTAGTTTTGTAGCTATAGAGAAAATAACAATAAATAAGAAGTAATACAGCATGATGTGTGTTGGACGTAAAATAGCACCCGATGCCAGCTCATGCTTGGGAGTAAAATTGGGCAGACATTGAGCAGACACTATTGTTGTTCGACAGCTACTGAGTGTGCATGCGGTGGTGTCCACTGACAGGCGCCTCAGTGTTATTGAGGGGTATTTCACCTGACCAAGGTATCGTAATAAGAGGGACCTTTATTTATCCAGCTCCACAAGTAAATATAAGCAATAAGACGAAAAAAAAGAAATCCGGTAGATCTATCCACATGAAAGTAGCTGCAAAGATCTATTTACATAACTCCATTTAATACATACAAAGTCGAGTTCTGACGGGAAGCACATCTACTTTGACAAATTTGCACAAGAATCAAATATCGATAATCATCTTCGGATCAATGGAACCAATCTGTCGAATATATATTGCACAGGGACTTCAGTATAGAACGATGAACTCCATGCTTGTGACGCCCGACGCCGAGTCAGACAGCATTATTCAAAGATGAGGGTGCAGAGCTAGCTAGGGAAGACTGTAGCTTCTGGAGCCATTTTCATCTCCCCCTGAAAAAAGTAAGTCGAAAACGATGTTGCAAAGTGACCAAAACCTACTCCGACGTTCCAGCTGTACAAAATCCAGACTTCGTGGGCGCTCTTGTGCAGTTGTATAAGTAGAGAACGAGCAAAAACGTCTGCTTGATTGTAAGCAGATGGTTTTTTTGGGGGGAGGTGGAAGCCCCGATAGTGACTCCGATCTGTGTGAGGGCAGGTGGACAGCCTCGTAGCCTCAGACCTAGCAGGTTGGGGTGCCAACCACCTGGGCCCAGTAGTAGGAATGTGACTATGTGGCTAAGGAACTTGAATATGAATCTTGTATAAAACTGTAATGTAGGCGGGGAAGGAAAGGGAGCGGTGGGTGGGCTGAAAGGCGGCAGGCTGCAGACAGGCGCAGGAACTGACTGGAATGTAACCTGGGCCTTCGGCGCTTTGTGGTAGGCGGAGACGAGAAACCACATGCTGCACAGCCGCTCCACGAAGTCCCTATTCTAACCCTACGCTCGTACCTCGCTTGGGGGTAGAATTCCAGACTTCGTGTAGTCTCCGCTGGTCAGACCTATCGAAGGAATTCCTTCATATTAAGGACTCTGCCTGAAATGAAAACAAGAATTGAATTTTGATCCCATCGAAGTTCAAAGGTCTGACCGTGCTAAACATGGTCTCGACACCAGACGTTCACAAAAAGCAAAGCATTCAGACAAACGGAGGACATGTAGGAGATGGCCGGTCTGTAATGAAGTCTACAGAAACCCCACGCGAAAGTCTGGCGAATACGTCTGGGCAACGTCCGGGGATGCTTGGTCGAGAGATGTTCCAGGCGGTCAAAGATCTGTTTGTTATCTTTTACATCATCGCGACTACGCTACATCCACCAGCCACCATCACGCATCTAGTCATATATGTCAAGCACCGTCATGCTAATCCTGTGATTCCATCGTCCTTGTCAGCTTGCCGTCGCGGTTCTAGTCACCTGAAGGATGCGGCAGCTGTGGATTGGGAGGAGATATTGAATAACATTTGTGTGTAGATATGAGAGACTAGCAGGGATCTGGAGAGATGGAGGTAAAATCCTGATGCAGCAGCTGCAAGCAGGCGGAAACGTTGGTGCGGTGGGGGGAAGTTATTTCCGGCACTTTCCGAGACTTTGTCCGCATCCGGTCTGCACGTGGACGCACCGACTGGTGTTTTATCTGCCTTGAACGTCTGGTTTCAAAGACTAATGACTTACTAAAAGTGCTTATACTCATACTAGTAAGAGGCCTGGTTGCAGTCTCTACATAGAGGAAAATTGTTGCATAAATGCGTACAGATCACATTCGAAAAGTAGCAAAACTGCTTACTGCAATGCATGGATTTCAATGGTAAAGATCTTCAGACCAACTTTCAAACTTATTCACATCCTCAGTCAGGCTCTTGATTTTTTCCCTTGCTCCAACAACCACCCTTCTGTGCAGTGGCAGGCGCATAGGAACATCATCGAGGTGGGTCAACTTCTCAATGGCTACCACTGCCTTGTCTGCATCTCCATCGATATTGTCCAACGCGACGAATTGTCGATACTGGGAACCAGGCAAGCTAGGATTGGCGTACGCAGGGTGCTGGGGAGCTAGGCGTAGGTTATCCTTGAATATATTGGTACGGAATGGACCTGGCTCGATTATTGTGATCTTGGGGAAACAGAAAGTTGATAAGTCCTTAAACGTCAAGTATTCTAAAGTTACCTTTATATTCCATGCGGGATCAAGTTCTTTTGCCAAAGACTCGCTCAGGCCTTCCAGTGCTAGATTATACGGTAAGCACCTCCACTCTCAAAAAATGATTACACCTGCCAAATTTTCTGTCGCAATGCTATGACTTGAATAGAGTATATCGCATTATACAGAATACTCACGATGCACTGTAGAAGGCAGCCGCAGCGCCGCCTAGCAATCCCAACCTTGACGAGACTTGTAGCAGTCTCCCACCAATCGGCTGGTTCACTTCTCGGAAGAACTTCACCGCTTCCTTGCTCACATGCATAGCACCCCAGAAATTCACTTCGAACATCGCACGGGACTCTTCCTCGCTCGCGGACTCAAGCTCTCCCATTACACTTTGACCTGCATTATTAAACACAACATCGATCCTTCCAAAAGCTTCTTTTGCTTTTGCGAACGCAGCTGATACTCCCGCACTGTTCGTCACGTCGAGCTGAATGACTAAGAGCTGGGATGATGGGAATTGTGCTGATAAATCTAATAAAGCATCAGGATTGCGAAGTGTCGCTATGACATTGTCGCCCTTGTTGAGCAATAGTTCAGTCATTGATCTCCCGAACCCTGACGATGCGCCAGTAACTGGATGTGAGATATCAGGATTCAGTGGGTCCAATGAACTCGCTTTCACCCACTAAACCAAACCTTTGTATCTGCCATATCTCCAGTAGGGATTAGATAACAAGAGGAAAGAAAGGGGCGTGAGATTCTATGGTAGTGCGTATGTATAGCGTGGTGTTTTTATTGGTAAAAATAGCATATGCAGCACCTAGTGTATAAGTATTAGCATCGTGTGGTACATACGGTCCGATGTCGATGTGGCTATGTTATACTGGCACACAAAACCATGCGAGACACACGCGGGTGGACGCCGCTCCAAGATATCTTGCTAAACTTCGCGTGTGCGGGGAGATGTAAGAATACACTGCAAATTCGACGCTGGACTACTACCGGAGAGAAGTCATGAGACTCCTCGGCACCGCTGAGGCTGACAGCAACGGACAGGCTGTCGGTCTCCTTGGTTATAATCCGACATCTGACACTGCCTGATGCCCTGCATACATTGGGAGTTGGGCCGTGTAAACACACTATGGTATTGATTCAATTCTACTTATGGGCTAGTCACATGGTAGGTAGCATGATGTAGAACCATCCGATTGTCATCGTAAAAACCCAGGGACATTCATCTTACTGACTTTTAAAACGCGAATCTGTTCTTATGCTCAGGAAGTTATGAGATCTCGCGTCCCAGAGCTAGTTTGTGTCATTTGACATCACACATTGGTCATGCATGACAAGACTGCATGGTTTCTACCTTCGATTATCTATATGCAATCAAATACATTTTGGATTGAACAAGAGTAATTACAAAAAAAATAAGAAGACCGTGTGAGTATGAAGACAAGCGTGGGGTGGGAGTCTCTAGGTCTGAATGATGGGAGAAAATAGTAGGCTCGCGTAACAGCTTTGATCACCGAGAGAAGAACCTGCATAGTGGTGGCCACACTCAACTTGTCCGCGGTACACTCCACACTGGTCTCAGGGGATGCAGTGTTGATGAATACATGCCCTCAGGGGTACAATGGATGAGTTAGGAGGATGCGGGAGAAACAGCCCAGTGTACCGCTGGCACCTCTGCATGACAAGACAGTCCGAGGGTCGCGCACCACAGTACAAGAAAGTACGCAAATGCAAAGGAGGGGGAGGTGCCGAATAAGTATGGGGTTTCCATATTTCAAATATAGAGGCCGCTCCAAGACTGCTCCTTCTGGAATTGATGTGTTCTAGGGCTTGGCTTGCTATGTTAGCTGTTTGACACGTTGAGCTCTCATGCGACTCGTCATGAGTGCAATGGGCCAACCTGGTTTCAAAGCAAAGGAAATGCGGCCACCGCAATTTGTTGAATCTGACCAACGTTTGCTTTGGTGATCGGTGTTTCCGGATTTTATTTCCGTATCTCACGCTTCTTTTCATCCTCGAGCTCCACTGCACCTTCAGACGACGTTTTATCTTTATGTGCGTTGTAAAGTAAGGATCATCTCTTCGGTAGTATGTCATGGTAACTGTTTTATCTGTTCTTGGTCTCATGAATACGCAACCGATTGCTTTATAGGAATGGCGACACCTATGCTACCACATTCGTACTTTTCTGTGCTAAAACGGCGGCCATATTACGTGGCTGTATTACTCCCATATGGCCACAGCGAACAGCTTTGTCCTTGCAGCGTCATCGTAGACGAACAGCTGTCTTGCCAGAGCCGCCCTCTTCTGGTCCTGTGATCGCGTCCACGCGACAGGATTACTCTAGGTAACCGCGGCGCAACTGACATCATCCGTGAGTGGCGGTTTGCTCAACATGGTGTGCCAATAGAGACGTGGAAATCACCGGATGCCTTTGTACGCGCTAGCAAGCGAACTAGATCGAGGAGGTTCGACTTGAACGGGCCGAGAACGTCGCAGACTATACAGTCTTCGTAGACAAGGAAAAGGAGCCTGAAAAACTTTCAAGAAATGCATATTGCAGAATCAGAGCACGACAGTATTTCGAAGGAAGCGTATGTGAAAATCAGGTCCAGTTAGCCATAGGGCTATGGTCGTATATACCTTTACCCAAGTAGATGCTTGATTTGTAATATAATGGTTTACCACGCCTAATGGAGACAACACCCGGTTCTCAAGCTCAAGCTTCCTCCATACAAAATCCTAATCACGCCGAAAATTAGGCTTGCACTTTGTCATATGGGGCTCTTGTGGAAGACGGCCGAAATGTGACTGCGGGCTCGAGGTAGTGTGTGCTGCCACGAATGCGGGGGCCTGGAATTTCGGACGATTTCGTCGACAATCCGAGGTAAAGTGATGTTTCAAAAATTGCTGCGTTTGTCATTAATATTCCGTACACCCATATTGCAGGTACTGTTGACCATTTGACGATGCGTCTAGTTGTGATGGCAAAGATACCAAGGTCCGGAATGAACCCGGGCCTGCACTCACTGATATTACCTCCGCTAAGGCACCGTTCCATATTTTGTTCTCCTCGGATCGATTCATGAGCGGACCATGGATGTCTAATCACTGCATCCGGTGAGTCAACTTGAATACTGTTGAGTTCGCTTCAAAAGGAGCTGGTGTTCTCAGGTAAGTACTAATTAGGCGTATTTCTGGTTTGTAGTTGGCTTGTTTCGGGGGATTTTGATGATATGTCGTGAACGGGGTTCGGCCCCGGATATAGTTCGTCTCGTTTCAGGTGATTAACATCGTGGCACACTTTGTCAGCAACCCTTCTTGGCATTCTCGATATCCAAATGGCGAAATCATGTACGAACCACTGGAATGAAGTAAGTTACCGAAAAGTCACAATCTCGGACGCCAGCTGTTGTTGCACTGCGTACGTGCTCAACTTGAACATACATGTACATGATGATCTTTCTCACAGGTCTTAAGCATAGCTAATCAGAAAAAACCTTACCCAAGTTACAGAACTGGTAGATAGTGAGATCTCCCCGTGACCATCACTGCGTCCATATTCTCACTGTTCCGGCGTCATCGATGATGCTCTAACACCGTAAGTCTCATTATATGGGAAGTACCCCCATGTGTACCGTCATCCGAAGCCTAGTCACGCCGCGCGCGCCCACAGCCTGGTTCACAAGGCAATCATTTGACCTTGGGTTGTGATGATGCTTCTCAGTTGGACAACAAATCAGCATCCTCAGAGTTGGATTTTGAGGCCTATAAAAACTCTATCAACATTGCCAGACATTCCTCACTACAATCCTCAGTTCTTCAGCTTTCAGCACTCCGGCTTCCAGCTTCCTGCACTCCAATTTTCAACACTACACTTTCAATCATGTTTGACGTCTACACTTTAGCTGCACAGCTCGTTGGCGGCGTTATACTTATACTTCTTGCCAATGCTGTCTCGATCAAATCTCGAGGTGTACCGAAGACGTTCCAGAAGATATTATCCACCCTCATTGTCCGTATCAAATATATTTGGTCATCAGTTATGATTGAACTGATGATCGACGACTACTAGGATTTTATTCAAACTATATTTGGCAGTAAACAGAACGACCAACAGGGTATTCCTTTGACAAGGTACGGATGTGTGCGCTAATTTGAGGCCGTCGTAGTCTAATATTTTATTCATTTCAGAGCGCAAGTCACTGCTGCATTTCCTGAAGGAACGTGGCAGCGCAATGCCTACGAAGATTATAAGGCAGTCCTCCTCGATGAAGAACTAGTATTCCCCTGCGTCTACGCTACAAAAGGTTTCAAATCAGACGACCAGCTCTATTTGTTCATCGACTCGGATGACCTGTCAGACACACGCCATATCCGTACCATTGCCAAGGGACTTTCCATATATCTCCCTCAAGCACGCCAGCTTGGCCCCAATACCTCCCTCGTTCTTCTTGCCAAGCAAAATGAAGTCAACTCACGAACAGTAGAAGAATACAATACCTTGTTCTGGGAACTCCTCAACGGTCTCGCCAAGCTTGATGAAAAGCCCTGGCCTTCAGATACACCCCGCGACATTGACACGGACAGATGGTGTTTCTGCTTTGGCGGAGAACAATTCTTCACTGTCATCCAAACCCCGGCCCACCAAGTGAGGCGCACGCGTTATGCGCCGGGCGTGACCATGGTTATGCAGCCAAAGTGGATTTTCGACATTCTCTTTAGCACTGATGCAAAGCGGGCGGGTGCGCTTGCAAAAGTTCGTGCTCTCCTTGCCAAGTACGATCCCATCCCTCTCAGCCCCGAGATGAAGAACTACGGCGACGAAGGATCGCGGGAATCCAAGCAGTATTACTTGCTGGATGAGAATGTTCCGGCGTCGTGTCCATATGAGAGACTCAGCGACTCCGAAGTCATTGCTTCGTAAAGGTAAGCCGATGGCCTCCGATCAAGTTACATCCGGTTAATCATCTCCACAGCAAATTATAACAGCTTCCTAATGCGAAGTCACACGTCGAATTTGAAATTGTTTAACTAGCATACTAGGTGGTGGGCTGAGCCTTCTTGTTGTACTTCTTACTCAATAGCTAGAATTTGGTGTTCCTTGTGTTAATGAAAAAATGTGCTGCTTATGTGATGCCTTTAGGATGAGCAAAAGTTGATCGGAGATTGAATATTGAAATCAGGACTGACTCCGAGACTCGAGAGGCCCGGTGCGCCTAGTACGTAACCACTATCCTTCTACTGTCTAGCTCGGTCACGCGACAGGATAGATGGCATGTTTCCGCGATTGTCATCAAGCCGTTACTGCTTTCGCACACACACGTTGGTCGAAATCAAATACTTGTCTTCCAAGTAGCAGGTTCTCACCATCATTGAATGAGTCGAGTTTCTGCCAGTGCTTGCGTGGACATTAAGCAACTAGCCGAGGTGATTAAAACCAGCTGAGTAGTGCAATCAAGCACTTTAACACCAACCATGACCACCCCTCTCTACACTATCATCGGGACGCCATTCAGTACCTTCACCCGATCTATCACTCTCGCATTGGTTCATAAGGGGATACCCTTCACCCAAGTTAGATGCGTCCCACACTCGGATACAGCATATGATAACCATCCATTCGGGTTTCTGCCCACCCTGGTCATCCACGAGATTGATGGCAAGACAGTCAACCTGAAATTGCGCGAGACCACTGCCATCGCGCGCTACATTGACAGGATTGCACCCCAACCCAGCTTACTTATCTCGCCGGGTCACGGGAAGGCAGTTATCGAGGAACAGTTGTGGGAGTTTGTGAGTCTTGTTGGGGCACATGGTCAGCTTGAAATTTCAGTCAGATACATTCCTACTATACTGATTTCATGCTTCAGGTTTCCCTGCTGTTGAGAAAGGGGTCGTGAAACCCCGTGTAGCTGCGATCGACGGAGGCAAACTTACGGATTCTGTGGTTCGCGAACAAATCAAACCAGCTGTGGAGCATCTTCAAAAGTTGCTTGGTAAAGTGGAAGAACTGATGGCAGATGAGGGCTACGTGTTCGGAAGCCAGCTGAGCTGGGCGGACTTCTTTTTGTTCCCACTGCTTGCAGATCTGAAAGCAGTGCCGGAGGGCGAACTGCTTTCTCCAAGATTGGTGAACTGGATGGGGGAAATGAATAAGTTGGAGGCAGTCAAGGCCACCACTCCGGGTACCTTGAGTGTTGGTGCAAGACCCCCCTAATCACCCAACTCGAACAGGTATGGTTTAACTTTTGTTCGCAATCTTTCGTCCTGCTGACTCGGAGACAGTGTACAGGAATTTATTGTGAATGTCGAGTGTGTATTAAATAGAGAAGTTAGCTTTCAATCGAGGCATGATTTGTACGTAGAACTAGTATCCAAGAAATCTTCAGTTAACATGTTGTAAACCTTGAGAACGTTGCAGCTGCCTTCCCACTACTGCTTCGCGTATGAGGACTAATTTCATTATCGACTGCTAAAATATTGTGGGCGCGCTTCTGCGTCACAACGCTGCGCTGCCATAACATTATTTGTCCCGTGATAGAAAGCTGGGAGTACTTCCCTGTCAAACCCCACTACCGCCATTCACCATCAATTGCATTTTTACCGTCATTTGCGCATCACACTCGATTCTGATACTATGACCTCATGTAACTTTTTTGCTCTATCTATGATAGGGAAAACGCCACGAAAATGCCACATCTCAGTTTGAGGCATACTGGAAAAAGCTTTGTCTGTTGTCGTCATACTCGCTTCGTAATGATCATCATGGTAGTCGAGAACACGCTGTTTTCGATATCCACGGTCTTACCGGCGTGACACGCGTGGATGACACGGCGTTCTCAATATAGTACACGACCTTGGATCATTGTACATCCACACTAGATGAGCTGATTCTTACACGCACATACAGTGACTGTATGTTTCTGTATGTGCGTGTACATCATTGCTATCAATATACACTATGTGGTCATGTATGTAATCCATGTACAATGGAGTAAGATAATCTAGATATCAAGTGCCAAGTTGTAAGCGGACCACAAATTCACTTGGCCGCTTTTCCGATAGCAAATTTGTTGACTTGGAAAGGAGGTAGACACGTCATCGGGTGAAATTTCATGCAGGAAGTGGGAGAAAGACCATCAGCCTCGATATTTGAGTGCTAGAGTCTAGGAAGCAGAACGTGCGTCGCTAGAGCCATCATTGGCCGATGCATTGGCACCAGTGACTGCGGCCGAACTGAGCCGTGAGATGCCCTGGTGTTGGGGGCGCTATTCCGAGGCTGAAGGCTGGCGTTGATATGCTCAGCTGGGTAATGATGACATCATCTGGACAGTTATCTCGACTCGGACGCTGTCACGACTGAACTTTGTTCGAAAGCATCCGCAATCATCATTTCTGCGCGTCTCGGGCCGTCGCCGGAGTCCCAGCCCGTTGAATTGCACCTTCTCCTGGGTAATCCTCGTGACTGAAAATTCACGCGGCCACTATCATCGCGAGGTAACATATGGGAATGGAGGCCATCTCAGCGAACCGATCCCTACTGTAGACGACGACCCCGGAGCACTTGTATTGGTGTGCCTCCACATTTCTTGTAGGAGGAGCAATGGGATGAACGGTCGACTGGCATGTCACGTAAGTATACCGATGCACTCTGTAGATCAGTGGAAAGTGAGTTTCGTGAATCAAAGTCGCCTTGCCAGGTGGATCATGATAAACACGACACGGATCATTGTGAAATGGTACGATAGTGGATGGGTACCGTGGTACATGTCATCTCTCTGTATGAACGTGTATGAAGCTCTACTACATCGTGACTCATAAGCCTCAAGTGGTCTAGCTATGGATCATCGGTACCCAGTACTATTATCACAAATCTTACATCCCCCGTAGAATCCTGGGCCCTGGCCGCATTTTGCCCTATTCTGCCATTGCCTTCGTGGCGTTACGCATATTTGATCCAGTTATCTAGACATCTGACCAAGTTGCCGACTGACTGCTGTATAAACTATATCCAGAGCCACGGTGACGCCAACAGAGTGCGAGTATTAAGAACACCAAATATCAGGCAACCGTGATACTTTGAGCTCCGAAATTACAAATTCACAAGAAGATCCCCTAGATCTACTATCCCAGTACACGGCTTCCTCTTTCTCAATATGTGAATCTCTCTCGCTTTACACGCTCTAGATCTACTCCAGCAGCTCGGAGCGACTTCATAGCATTGAGAACGAAAGGCAACGGGCCGCATATATGCGACTCCCGACCTTTTGCGTCTACATTGCCAAAAAGAGCTCCACTGTCGTCAAGGCGTCCTTCGTGTAGGATAAGGGAGACGAACGGCGGAAAAGGCTCGAGCAGCTTGAATGGCCTTGGGGAATAGACATGAATGGAAAATGTAAGGCTGGGCGCCGACTGGCAGCCGTCGATTTTGCAGGATGGTTTGTTCACGAACGCTTCCTGAATTAACCCGAGCATGACCTCCGGCTCCCGCGTTGCAAGGACGAGCGTCACATCCCAGATACCGAATCCCCGGGCAGCGAGGTTTGTGACATGACGAGTCAAGCTTAGGAAAGGCGTGATGCCAATTCCACCAGCGATCCACAGCAGCCGTCGCCCACCGTCGCATGCTGCTAGAGGCTCTGGGACAGGAAGATCGCCTCCGACTCCTCGTAGTCGAGCGCAGACTTTCAAGCCTGCAACATCAATTTCTTCTCCAGTCAGCTGCGGATCGACACTCCGAGCAAGCTGATACAAAATTGGAGTAATAAGGCCGCCTTTGATCGCTCTCATTGTGAGAGAGAGAGTGCATGGTGTATCTGGCGCTGGAGGCGTGGATACCGTCCAGGTACGTACGCAGTCATCGTTCACTGTACTCTCATCTTCCTCCCAGTCCAACAACACGTGTGAGCGTTTGCGTAGGAACTCCGACAACTCCAGCACGCAGTTTTGGCTTGCATTGATCTCCACAGGTCGTGATGACTCAAAAGTGAGGGTCATGAGAGTGTCATCTAGCACTCGTGTCTTTATGAGGTTAAGGGTGATGTCCGCAAATGATACAGATGGTGGCTTTTCTTCTGCTAAGTAGCAGACGGGTGGGCTGTAGGGGCTACGCTCCGATGGCCCTGTCTCCCTCAATGGAATGGCGTTTTCGACAAAGGAGAATCCAGTGACGCAGATGGTGGAGACGATATTCATATTTGGCATTATTGCTCGCGCAGAAGCGCCGTACAGGTTTTCAGCTTTCCCGGTAAGATACAGAATTGATCCGGTGGAAAATGAAGGGAAAACGATTCCAGCATCGCTTCTTGGACCCGAACCAAGTGGCACCCCGACTAGGACCCCGGAACTCGTCAACCAAAATTCGCGCCCAACAGCGCCGAAGACGCCCAACGGCGCCTCCCCAAGCCCATTCCCGACATAAAAACCCTAGAAAACACCAAAAACATCATCTACATAAGTATATAACCTGAACTATAACTAATATGCCAACAGGTAAACCGGGCACCACCACTGGTACTGGCCCACCCAAGGCCAATAGTCCACCTCCGACCGGAGGCCCTAATACTCGTAGAACAGCCAGAACCCAAACCACCACTGAAGAGATCATAGCTGTACCCAATAATGTCATGGACACTGACACCGCAGAGAAGTTCCTGTCATCTAAACTACTTTGTCAAGAGGGTCAACCCTACTCGCTAACCCACCTAGTCTCTATTTTGTTTCACATCACACAAATGTCGGCCACCACACCAATCCCAGTCATCTCAGCAATCAGGGCGGTAGCATTTCTACTGAAGAAACATACTGTCTGCGAAATGGCGGAAGCGGCATCAAGACAACTAGCGGACACTCTCTCGGAAGCCATCACAAACAAACTCGTTGACCACGCTATTGCAGCCCTCGCCCCTCAAGTCGCTGGATTACACGCTGCATCAGAAGCACTAGCGGAAACGGCAAGGAAGGCAGAAGATACGTTAACATCCTCCCTAGACAAGGCCGAAAGAATCCACCGGCTAGCAAGAGACGAACGAACCGAACAAGAGGGAGGAATTTCCATAGCAGCAGAAAGACTAGAAGAAGCAGCAGACGCCCTATATGTATCAGTTAACGACTGCCAGAACGCCATTAACACTCTAGCCCCATCCCTGGACACCACTCAAGAACGCGTTAACCACCTGTCCACCCAAATGATGGCAACGCCTCCCATGTCTCAGGCTCCAAACCAACCTTCCTATAGCACAATTGTGGCTACTCACCTTCCACCCAAAGTAGATCAAGCCGTCGGCCGTGCAGCCATCAGAGCTCGACAAATCCTGCTAGACCCCAACCCAGGCGCCCCCCCATTCCCACCAAACACCACAAGCAAGGAAATAGCAGAATACCTCAAGAAAGCTCTCAACAACATACGCAACGATAGCACCCCAGAGGGAAACGTCAAGTCCATCACCACGCTCCGCAACGGTGGTATCATCATCGAATTAGACTCTGACTCCCTGGCCACATGGCTACGGGAACCCATCAACCGTACATCGTTAGAAAGCCAATTTGAATCCGCCGTATCGTTCCGTTCCCGCACCTTTGCTCTGGTCCTAGAATACTTACCCATTCACCTACAGATAGGAGACGTACAATTCCTTCGCAGACTAGAAGAAGAGAACTCACTCCTCGCCAACTCGCTAGCCACTATTCGATGGATCAAACCCCCAATCCGCCGCTCACCCCAGCAACGTAAGGCTTTTGCCCTCCTTCAAGCCGTGGACGCCTGCACAGCCAATTCCCTCCTTCGCGACGGCCTCTGCATTGACAACGAACGAATCACCATTAGGAAAGACAGGAAAGAACCCATCAGATGCGCGAAGTGTCAGAGGTACGGACACATCGCGCGTAGTTGCACTAACACAACAGACACCTGTGGAACCTGCGGAGATCAACACCGCACAATGCAATGCAATGCCTTCAAGACCAACCGATGCGTAAACTGCCGCAGCAACGACCATGCCAGCTGGAGCCGTAAATGTCCAGAATTCAAGAGACGATGTGAACTACTCGACGAAAAATTCCCCGAGAATCGTATGCCATACTTCCCCACGGAAACCGCCTGGACACACGCCATCGCCCCCCCAAAACTTCCTAATTCACCCCCCCCTACTCGTCTCTCCCCAGATCCACTCCAACCAGCCAAAGGACCCCGCGCAACACGTCAAGCCACACTCAACTTCAACATCACCGACACTTCCGACACTTCCGATCCCCCACTACCAGCCAATACACAAACTCACCCACTAACCCGCTCTTCTCCCTCCGCAGATGAAATTATGAATGACCTATACCCTCCCATCAACTTTGACTACCTCTCCACCCCTACACCCTCTCCATTGGCTCCATCGGCCTCCGGCTCCACCGCCACCACCACCTCAATCCCTACCTCCCAAGACTCCGCCAGCGCCCCCCAATCACCAGCCCATGTCTAATTACGACTCAACGAACACTGAGAGACTACGAATCTGGCAGCAGAATTTGAATACATCCCTCACGGCACAATCCTCCCTACTCAGCAACAACAAGATGGCCGACTGGGATATCATTGCTATCCAGGAACCATATATCAACTTTCTGCGAAACACGCATGCAAATCATCACTGGCACGTCATCTATCCCACCCAACACTTCTCCCACCCTCAACAACGGACGAGGGCCATAATACTAATTAACGCCAAACTCGACACGAACGCATGGAAACAGATCTCTTTCCCTTCCTCGGATGTTGTTGCTATCCAGCTACGAGGAGAGTATGGCCGCTGTACTATATTTAACTTATATAACGACGGCACGCATCAGAACACACTAACCACTTTTGATTCATATCTAGAGAATAATATAGCTACCATCAAGACCCACGATAACGACCATATGCTTTGGCTCGGCGATTTCAATCGCCACCACCCCCTCTGGGAGGACATCCGTAACCGTCATTTGTTCAATTATGCAGCCGCTAATCCCCTTATAGATTTAATCGCAGACCATGGAATGTTGCAATTCCTACCATGCGGCACGCCAACCCTGCAATCCACGAGCACCGGAAATTGGACACGCCCCGACAACGTACTCGGCACCGAATCACTCCTTGACGCCATCGTTTCATGCGAAACAGCACCAGAACTTCGAGGACCAAAGACGGACCACATTCCCATCCTACTGACACTAGAACTCGAGACTCAGCGAACACCGGATGAACCACGCCACAACTGGCGTGGAGTAGACTGGAAAGTTTTTAATGAGCGCCTCACAGAACTAATATCAGCTGTCCCGGCTCAACCTTTAGCGTCCGAAGAAGAGTTCCAAGCGGCCGCAAAGCATCTCTCCGACGCAATAGCAAACACCATGAGCACATGCGTCCCATACTCGAAACCATGCCCGCACTCAAAACGTTGGTGGACGAAGCGCTTATCGGACCTCAGGACGCACGTCAAGAACCTCAGCAAGATCGCCTATCAAATGAGAGCCCTCCCCCTTCACCCCAGCCACGACGAACTCAAGACAGCCAAGAACCTCTACGCCAACGAAATCACCGCCACGAAGAAACAACACTGGTTAGAATGGTTAGAAGACATAGAAGGTAACGACTTGTGGACTGCGAACCGATACATCTCCTCGGAGCCTCGAGACGGAGGTAAAACCCGCGTACCCACCCTAATATCCACCAACCAAGATGGCACCATCCTCGAAGCAACCACCAACCTGGAGAAAAGTCAAATTCTAGCTAAGTCGTTCTTTCCTCCTCCCCCTGTAGCTGATTCGGTCCCCCCAGATTTCATATACCCGGAACCCATAGACACCTTACCCCCCATCACGGCCGAACAGATCACACGGGCCATTATCAATCTCAGTGGCTACAAGGCCCCCGGCCCAGACGGAATATGTAACATAGTCTTCAAAGAATGCGCTGACACCCTCACTCCCTACTTACTTCACTTATTTAACGCAGCCTTCTCGCATCAAACCTACTACCAACCTTGGCGATGCTTCTCGACGGTGGTCCTACGGAAACCGGGGAAGGCCAATTACTCTATCCCCAAGGCGTATCGACCGATAGCCTTACTCAACACCACCGGCAAACTCTTAACGGCAGTAGTAGCCGACCAGCTCACTCACATCCTCGAACACCATCAATTGTTGCCCAACACGCACTTTGGAGGCCGTCCGGGCCGGTCAACTACTGACTCTCTGCACTTACTCGAAGAGACCATCAAAAATGCCTGGAGATCCCACAAGGTGGCATCCGTGCTATTCCTCGACATCGAGGGAGCATTCCCGAACGCGGTAACAAAGCGCTTACTCCACAACATGCGCAACCGTCGCATCCCAACTGATCTAGTCCTATTTACAGAGCGTGTCCTATCCCAACGCCAGACACAGTTGAAATTCGACGGATACATCTCGGAATGGTTCCCCGTCAAAAACGGTATAGGGCAAGGAGACCCCTTGTCAATGATCCTGTATATAATTTATAGTTCTGACTTAGCTGACATCGCCAAACCCCGCGCAGGACGCGAAGCCCTGAAAGAACTAACGTTAGCTTTCGTAGATGACACGGCTTTCATAGCGATAGCGCAGGACTTCACTGCGACCCATGCCATACTCACAGACATGCTCGAACGAACAGGAGGCGGTTACGATTGGTCGAGAGCTCACAACTCCCAATTCGAAACTAATAAATTTGCGTTAATGGATTTTTCAATGAATAGACGCAAAGACCGCCCAGAGATGCCGATAAGAGGCACAGTAATACGCCCATCCTCAACACACCGGTTCTTGGGAGTAATCCTCGACCAAGAATTGCGATGGAAAGCGCAAGTCGATAACGCAGTCGCGAAAGGAACTTCCTATGTACTCCAGTTACGTCGTCTCTCATCCTCCGCTAAAGGCTTACCGCTACGTCTCATGCGACAGCTCTACCTGGCAGTAGCTGTGCCCAAGCTACTGTACGCAGCCGACCTATGGTTCTCCCCCGTCTATCGCGAAGGCACAAACGACCTCCAACGAGGCTCCATAGGCGTAGCGAAACGCCTATCAACGGTCCAGCGCCTAGCAGCAATGGCGATCACTGGGGCTATGAAAACCACCGCAACAGATATAATGGAAGCCCACGCAAACCTACTTCCCATCCCGCTCCTCCTACAGAACACGTGTCATCGCGCCGCCCTTCGAATAGCCGCCCTACCAAACACCCATCCCCTCCACATCCCAATCCGCAAAGCAGCTAAACGCTACGTATCAGCCCATCGCACCTCCCTCCACCGACTCACCTCCCGCTTCAATATCTCGCCAGATACCATAGAGACTCTAACCCCGGCACGACGCCCCCCTTCCAACACGAATCGCTGGAAAACACACGTCGCAGATAGCAAGAAGGAGGCTATAGAAGAACACGAACAACTCACTGACCTCATACAGATATATAGCGATGGCTCGGGCCATAACGGTCAAATAGGTGCAGCGGCAGTTCTTTTTCGTGCAGGGCAGATCCCTAGAACCCTCCGCTACTACCTAGGAAAAGAGGACGAACATACCGTATTCGAAGCTGAAGAAGTAGGACTACTATTAGCCGCGCACCTTCTAGCTACAGAACGAGACCCGACCTTTCCAGCCTCCATCTCAGTCGACAACCAAGCCTCAATTCTAGCAGGTGAGAGCTTCTACCCGCGACCTGGATCATATCTGGCAGATCTCTTCCGCAGCAGAATGCACAAGATAGCACGCGAGTACGACGACTTTGACGTAACACTACGTTGGGTTCCGGGTCACTCGGGAGTCCATGGCAATGAAGAAGTGGATAAGCATGCCAAACTGGCCGCAACCAGCCGCGAGAACAACAGCCCCAATAATCGCTTACCCAAAATCCTACGCAAGAAAGCCCTCCCCTTAAGCATATCGGCCGTACAGCAAGCTCAGCATAAGTCCACAGCCAAACGATGGAGCCACTCCTGGCGTAACTCCCCGCGATTCTTCAGACTCAACCAAATCGACCCACTCATTCTACAACGCTCATTTATAAAACTATCCATCTCCTTTCCCAAACGCCTCACAAGCATGTATATATTCCTACGCACCGGCCACGCTCCTTTAAACAAACATCTTCACCGCATTAATAAAACTAACAGCCCTCATTGCCCTCACTGCCCAAACATCGAAGAAACCGTACATCACCTAATCCTCGATTGTCCGTTCTATGCACGCGAACGCCACTCCCTCCGGGCAGAAGTAGGGCGCAAAGCCTCCTCCCTATCCTTCCTCCTAACAGATACATCCGCCACCCCTCATATTGTAAAATACATCAACGCGACAGGAAGATTGAAAGCGATACTAGGTGACATCCCACTTCCACATACCCCTGCTAGCTGACGCACCCTTGCAGCAACCCGCCTCTGTTCATCACGCCAGACACCATATAAATGCCCATCAACATCAAATACCCCACTGTACAACAACCATCTCACCATACTTCTCCCCAACCCATATACCCAACCCAACCCATATACCCAATAACTCGCCTACACGGAGTCCTCCCGATCATCGTTGGAACAACTCAGCTTGTGACAGAACATCCCTTCGGCCAAGACATGGGGACCATACACAAACTTTAACTACGCACCCAACCTAGACTCCTGTACCTGCCCGCTTCGGCGGCCGAGTACGCGTTTCCGTTCATCCATACGCTAGAAAAACATTAGCATTAGCTACATACAGTCATCTCATCTTCGCCGGGTTGCGCGTCTAAAACGGCCGGCGGGAACGGCGGACTAGTGGAGGCACGCCTCACACTAGGGCATTCGCGAACTCAGAGATGCGCAGGGACACTGGGGGTCCCATAGACTAGATAGAACTGTCCTCCATAGAGTATAACTCTCAATAGGACAGAAATTGGAAAAAAAAAAAAAAAAAAAAAAAAAAAAAACGATTCCAGCAACTGGCGTGATGTGTATATCACCAAGCGAGTTCATCATGCGATTCCCTGTGTATTATATATAAATATTAAAGACTCGCTACGATTTATCGTTCTTCTCACCAGCATAATTCGGAAGCACGAGAGTTTTCCCATCGGAAGGTCTGACTCGAACGAATCCGGGGCGACCCCCTCTATGATTGACACCAACTCGAGAAAGATAAGTGTTTTCATCCTCCTGGGCGGCCACGTAGGATGTGGACAAGAAAGCGGTATCAGCTGCATGAATGAATGCAATGACGTCATCAGGCAGGCGCTCCCTATCCTCTAGGTTAAACCGCTCATAGATGAGGCGTGGCGATGTCCGGTGAAATGGCATAATCGACCTGATATTGATGTATTTCGGACACAACCTATAGTTCGTGAGACAGAGCTACAGCACAAAGAAGCCGCGGCAGCTCACCCCAGGGCTTGAGTGATGACGGAAGTAAGATCTACATCCAGACCTCTCAATGAGACATTGGATATATAGCCAGAGAACTTGTTCCTCCTCCTAGTCGAAACCTCGAGCCCGATCCCGGAAAAAAGTAGTTTTCGATCATGAAATTGGGAGAGGTTCTGAATGATTGGATCTCCAGGCCATAGACGCGCTTTGACCGTGAGCAAAGCGTTGGTAGGAGATGAGATAAAACCTGGCATCCCATCATGTGAGAAAAGAATAGATGCCCATGGTCTCCCTTGCTGGTCTAGAGTAGTGACGGGCAAGAAATGTAGTCGGCTTGTGTGGAAGATGCGATGCTGCTCGGGCAACCTATCCACGATCGCTGTGATTGCAACGCGCTCGGGGAGATGGATGATTGCCTGAATGGCTTGTTCTCCTGGGTGCCAGCCCCGTAAAGCAGGTAACGGATCCGATGGTGGTTGTAGTGACTGCAGCATCAGGGGACAGGAATGGTGTGATGAACAATTCAGTCTAAGTCGCGGGAGAGTACGCGTGAATCAGTGATTGCACTATGTACTTGTCTGCGTTCTGTTGGCACGTGTTGTCGCATTTCTGTGAAGTGTTTCGTCGCCTTGATTCTGCCGAGAGGGTTCTTGATGAATGACAGTTCTGCTCTAAGCATCAGTCACTTTCGGGAGCGTACTTACCAATCTCACCGGCTCGACTTAGAAAGCCAACCCAACACGGGGCCCTCGTACGCGTCCATGTGACTGCAAGACAGAAATAACTTCATTCGTCGTAGCGTAATAACGTATCTGTATGACCTACTTTGATGAATGGGGCATCCAGTGCGCAATACACAATATCGAGCGCACGATACACTTTGTCTAGGCAAAGGCACCACCCGGGCCAAGGTTCTGCCACGATACATCCAAACTTCAGGATTCGCAATTGTTCCGAATAAAAAAAACAGTAGAGATCATATTCGAAGGAAATGATTCGATCGTGTTCATTCCTGCAGGACGGAGGCACCTGCAGCTCGCCAGTTGATGACCGTTGCCAAGAATAAGGATACTGGTCAAGAATAGATTAAAATGCAAACAGTATTTCAAGCGCTTCAAGCTGAAAGAAATGATATTTACCGTCCGCGCAACGTCCGCGTAACAAATGCCAAATGGTGTATCGATAATCGCGTACATGCTGATACTGCACAGTTTATTATGTAAAGTGGTATTTGAAAGCGTCATATACACACATGACATGTTCTTCATAATTAATCGTGTAGCTAAGTTGGCGTGAACCTCAGCAAAGGAGAAAAGTCGAAAGCAGCTGGAGATCATCACTTCATGTCCCACCGTAGTTGACAGTGACCGATGATCATTCGAGCTGCTATACCGCCCGTCGGCAACGTCGCACCTGAGTAATATCATGCTCACTCGATATCTGCAGTACTGAAGCACTTAGAACATTCAATAATATAAGCGAGACGGAAAGATGGGGCAAGAAAGGGTCTCAATCAATTTCAATTACGTCGTCCTCTATTTTGTCATCCTTGCTGCTCAACATCAGCAACCCGTCCTCCTCTAACCTCCTTCTCTTGTTGGGACTCGCAATATTCGGTGATGATGCTGCGCCATTTGTATCTATCTTCGCGCGTTTGGCAATTGGCCCGACTTCCACAATTTCGTCATCAGGGGCGGACCGTTTGCGAGATGGCGCGGGAGGGGGTGTTGACTGCTGCTTCTCTAGGCGAGGAGGCGATGGTAGTGGTGATGGAAGTATAAACGCTGGGCCATCAGAAGGATGATTAGGTCTGCAGTGCACATTAATCAAGGACTCCACAGAAAATCCATGTCACTTACGGCAGTATGCTCAATGCAACTACAATCGTGCCCCACTCCTCATCCTCATCCACGATTGTCAAGAACTTGCCTCTTCCAACATTCAAACTCTCCAGTGTCCGTTCAAGATTGTCATCCCAGTCGGGGTCACTGAGGATGCGCTTGTCTTCGTAGACACTGACCTCCCTTTCATTATCGCCGAGTACGCCATGTACAAGTTCACTTAATGTTACACGAGCAGGGTCGCACAAAACTGTGGTGTAGGTGTCTCGGCAGACGCCGCATTTAGGATTCGGCGGGCACATAGTACTTGTGCTAAGAGGATTGGTTGGCTTGAACTGAACGTGGACATTGCGCAGTTGCGCGTATGATTTGCGAAGGAGATGGATTGCTTGTAAAACTATAAGCCCGGAAATGATGGCATTGGTGGTCGCAATTGCGGGAATGATATTTCCTGCCATTTCTAAGGAGAGATGAGTGGTATGAGAGAATCAGCGACGTGGAAACAGACCTTTGATTTCCCAACGTGTCTTGCGATCGATATAATATGCTGCAGAACGAAGATTTGCAGCAGCGGTAACGAAATCGAGTGTGTCGTCATCATCTTTGTCGAAGGAAATTGTATCTTCACCTTTGCGAAGTCGCTCGGCAAGTCGATTTGTACTGCAATTCTCATTGAGAAATCTAATTGATTGCATGACACCTATACCTACCTTGATATGAAAAGCTCCAAGGTGTCGTGTAAACTGAGCGCCCGTTGATCCCTTAGTCCCGAAACTCCGTTCGACAAACTAGATGTCGAAGGAGTCTTTCCGTTCACGTGACCGTTCGCTGGCTGGAAATGGGTGGTCTGTGCACTCCCGCTGGTAGTACTCGGATTTGAAGGTCGTTGTATGGAAAATGTCCCTTCCTGGATAGCATTGAAATCAAGAGGCGTTGGTGCCGCACGTGCGCGCCACATGTCAGACATTGATAACAGATTGAGGATATCTGAGTGGAAAACCTGCAGGGAATCAATACCTCAAAGTAGAATTTGAATATGGTGTAAAGTAAGACCTTTTTGAAGACACGTTGAGCCACATCCTCCGTCGTCTGTGCGGAGCGGAGTGCACTTCGAACTGCTTTATACGCGAGCGCCTCTCTGCGCAGAGCGGCAATTTCTTCGGCTGTGTGAAACATTCCCTTAGCAATACGTACAGACCTTCGGGATAATCAAATCTACCGTTTTCTCCTTGTTTCTCCGCTTCATCGAGTTCGCCTGTCCCGTCTTCGTCCTCACCAAATAGTTGCCTGATATCACAGTACAGTATCTTCTCATAAAACACGTGAATAAACTTACGGTAGTAGGTAGCTCTTCGCCCAGACAATACAGTGAATAGGTTGAGACGGTGTAGACCGGATCGTGCACACCGGGAAAGTTGTCGGTGTAGGCTTCGGCACACAGTCAAAACATTCTGTGCGATCCTGGACAAGAAATCCTTCAACAACACAGCTGTATCGACCAAGAGAACCAATACCTTGAGTAAAGGCTGTACTTGGCCAAGGTATCCGGCAGTACCGGATTCGACTAGAGGAACACCAGCAGCCATGCACATCTTATTAACATGTCTCCGTGCATCTGGAATGCAATTCCGTCAAACTACGTTGAATTTAAATCGTCGAGTATCATTACCGAGATTGTCTAGTGCGTTCAGAACGATGTCGAAACGTTTGAACCATTCAATGTCAAACTGTGCTTCTTTTATGTTTGCATGAATGGGCTGAATGTTGACGTTGGGGTTGAAGGCGCCAGCAGTTTGGGCTGCTACCTTGCGGGACGATGCTATGATGTTACCCCGGAACGAGATCTGTCAACTGAGTGGCTTACCATGGCTTTGCTATGTTTGATATCTTTCTTTTTGAAAAGAAATTGCCTATTCAGGTTCGAAAGGTCTATGGTATCTAGGTCAAGGAGGGTTATGTGGCCGAAGCCAGTCAAGACGGTATTCTTCACTGTCACATTATATCATAATCACGGAATGCAATATAAAAATATATCCTTCAAAGACTTACAAAGTTCGCATCCTATTCCTCCTGCTCCAACCAGTAGAACTTTCGTCTCAGACAACCTCTCACAAAACTCGGGACCCAAGATGGCTTGTGCATGAGTAGATCGAGATGACGTATTGCGAGCGCCGTTCATAAAAGAGCTTGACATTCTACGGGAGGCAGGAAAGTAAGATTTCCTCGAAAATGGCTCCGAAAAAGTTGACCCGTGCTCTGCTGACGACTGCAAGAAATCAAAGGCAAGGCAGCGCCGAAAAGGCGGCCTCATGCGTGACAACGATATTTATTGGTCACGCGTCGGTGGTCACGCGTTCAAGAGTGTCACGCCACTTGTCCTCGCAAGGTTCTTTAAGTTAACCTTTTAACCCCTCAACTTACAAAAGTTTTTTTAGGCTTTCAGGACCAGCTATCGTGTATTAAGCAATTATTCAAGTTCAAGTAGTGGAAAATTACTGCTGGGTATCTAAAATCTAGTGTTTCCATCCTGCTTCGTGACCATTTTCAATCATTGGCTCCACAAATCCTCGGAATGTCCACGAAAGGAGTTCAGCAACTTCCCCGCCGCTCTCTAAGACACTACGATCCTGGGACCAGCGCATTCCATATCCTTCTGCTACACGTGCTTCATATACTAGGACCTGATGCGGTAGCCAATGGAGATTCCTCCAAGTCGAATTGTCCACCACTCGTTCAAATAATATCAGCGCACGTTCATTGATGGAGGAAACTGAGCCGGAAGGGGTGCCCCACCACCCCGTGTCTGTTTTTATCTGCCCTTTGTTGTTTCTCTTGACTGGTGAATCCTTTGCTCCTGATGTCTTCCCTTGCGAGCGGTGCGAATGCTTTGACCATGCACGAGCACCAGCCGTAAGACCCACTTTGTTGGGTATGCTGAATGCTGTAAGGCATTCCTCTCGTGTTGGCGGCTCAGACCCTAGTGCAGAACCAACGGTGTACGCCAGGCCATTCAATAGGTGTCTCGATAGCGGGTCAAGTGTTTGTTTGAGTTCAGCTAACGGCTGATTGCTACATCGAATCAACTCCTGGATTTGAGAACGCTGAGACGCTGCAGATGGTAGCTCTTCGATGTTGAAACAATGAGGAATGGGAATCAAGAAGCTTGACCGCATATCAATATCCGGCTTGAGCAATCGCAAAAGTTCCCGAAGCATGAGTACTTGAGTACTAGGAAACACAGTCTCGATTCGCTATCAAACCCGGATATAACCGGAAGCATGTGATTGGTTAGCGGCTCTATCCCAAGTTTCCAACGCTCATCCGCGCCCCGCATTACGCACGGTGTCTACGACTTTTCTCGCACTACTTTCTTCAGCGACGATGGCTTCGTCCGTGATCCTTCGTTCAACGTTGCCCAGAACCTTTACTTCTGCCACTGGACGTAATTCCCTACGATTCGCATTGCAAGGTAGAACCTTCTCATTCATCATGCGTGGATCAAGCTTACCTGTATTTGAAAGTGAGAGCGGCAAGCTCGACTACGCAGTATGTACCAGGCGGACGTACGTTCTGGGACTCTATTTGACATCAGGAAAACTCACTCATATGCTTCACAGCTATCTTGAAGGGCACGGTCAACGACCCTACGGAGTTCCCCCCTCCATCAAGAACGCATGGCTCATATCACTGGGCATTCGAGCGTCTTCTTGCTGCCTCCCTCGTGCCCATGACCGCAGCCGCCTTTGTGACCTCTGGTTCATCCTACCCCGTCTTCGACGGATTGCTCGGTCTTAGCTTGGTGATGCACTCTCACATTGGGGTACGTGACCGCTAGAGGTGGTATGCCTCAGAATATAAACGTGAATTTTTCATGCTAGTTTGACTCAATGGTTGTGGACTATGTGCACAAACGCAAATTCCCTGTCCTTGGCCCTATCCTGACCTGGACACTGAGATCGGCCACGGTCGGTGTGCTCGTTGGCGTCTATCAGTTCAACACGAATGACATTGGTGCGATCCATGCTGCTTGTCATATTTCCTCACCTAACTTATTTCATAAAGGTTTGACGGAGTTGATTGCGAAGGTCTGGACAGCATAAGATCATGTGGACTCCGCGCTACGACATACTACCAGAGTGTTTAGAAGACAATAAAGAATACAAAAAGACTGAGAATAGTAAATACTGCCAATATTTAACTGGTGACCAGTTCAAACTACGCAGATGACGCAAATTCAAATCGTCAAGCTCGCCGCGCTTGAGTCGTGAGACCAAAAGTGGTTATCAGAAGCTCCATGAAACAAGAGAGAGACGCCCAGCATTAATCCACCTCCGCGATACACATCCCCGCAGCGCCCCCATAACTACCATCAACGCTCGGTCGTGTCTGGAAGCTCTCCTTGCAAATTCAACCTGTCACCTTTTTGTTGCCCACTTCCTGGAATATCTGGACGTCATTGAGCAAGAATTGTATGAACTCGACCTCAAAAGATGCTCGCTCATGCGTTCAGAAATCCCGGCTCCAAGCGCAAGGCAGTCAAATTTCTGCAATCCACCGGCACGCGAGCCAACGTCGCAGATCCCAAGCTATATGTGACTTGACTCGACAGTGATCCACCATACGCTGCCACATTTTGCACAGCCAATTTTGGAGTCGATGGTGTATGATTTGCTCTTATCATCGGCATTTTCGATGATGCGGTCTGAATGTTGACTTCATTCCCCGGAATTGACGCACGGTATGCTCGAGAAGTGGCATCATTTATGGTTCGTTGACGTTCTATAAAGTTCCTACCAGTGATTTAATTTTGATGTCCCTTACGCTATACAAGCGCTCCAAATTTTATCTATTGGAAAGGTGAGCAGCGAGCTTCTGATCGGATTTCTTGGTCATCGTATAACGCGCTTCTTATCGGGTAAAGCCTGTGATTTAACTTCGATATAACTCCATAATACAGCTGAGTCAAAGAAGCGCTCGGTTGGCTGTGCAGTGTCCTTGCCTCACGCATTTTGTTCAACCTATGAGCATTGCAAATGCCAAGAACTGTAGGATGACATTATAAACGGGCCTGTCATTACCTTTGGAGTGGTTTCTGTACCAAACCAACAACATTGTGGGTTTTTTAGAACTTCCAGAGAGGTGTGGTACTGTTTTTAGTTTTCCTTCTACGTAGAACTTTGGGAGCTAGTGTGTCGACGAAGCCAGTACGCGTTCAGTGCGAAGTGACAAACTTCGGGGCAATCGACAAATGTGTAATACTTTACTCCATATATATGTTACAAAGAAAACCTAGGTCTAAGTAATACCTCACTGCCCCAATTTACAAATAACAAACTCTACCAAAATAATCCATGACTAGTTCTAAGGGCGACTGTCTATGACCCATTTCTAAGTACAGGCACTACTGACATGGACAGTCGGTCATAGTAGGCCTTGACTTCCATCCATTTATCCCTCAGTTCTGGGTGTGCTTCAACATACAAAGTCCTCATATTCGGTATGATCGCTCGCAAAAACTGCGCGACAGATTCGGTGTGGCCAATAGCCGAATCCCGGACATTGAGCACCCCCAGGAACTGAGCACCCGTCGTATTGAGACCGTCGACGGGTAGCTCAGGTATTTCTCTTGCATCCAAGGACAGGTGCACACGGGTGAGCTTTGGACAGTATCGAGTCAACGCCGTCAAGGCGTTCAGACTGATGTTGGGGATTATGGAAGACCAAGGTAAACTGCAGAGTCGGATGTCCTCGAGTTTGCTCCAGGCTTTAGCTGCCGAAATGATGAAGTCATCATCTAAATTGAGCGTACCAAGATTGTATGCTTGGATGGTGCGGAGATTGTGGCAAGCGAACAGCGGTGCAAATGTGGATGGATAGAAAACAAAAGGAGGGTCGGCAATTGTGTGAGTTTGCATATTGTGTCGAAGAGAAATTGATCGAACGGACGTGCCGATGGCACTCAAGAATGAAGTGATGACGGAAGATCGTGCTTGGACGTTGTAGGTGACGGTAACGTCTTCTAGTTGTGGTGAGGATATAAGCGACACGATAGATGTACACTGGGGAAGGTCATATGCCACGAGGTTGACACGCCGGAGAGCGGGGAAGGTACTATGATTTGCCCTATCGCGTAGCACGTTGGCGTCGAAATCAGAATGGAGATTCAAGGCAAGCTCTTGAACATAACGAAGTGATGCAATATTCAACACGCTCTGTGCAGATATACGAATAGAACTGGAGACGACCAACCGACGTAAGTCTGGTAGCCCATGGGTCGGAATGTTCAATTCAAATGACGTCACTGGAAAGAACGATGAAATTGCAAGGTTTTCGAGTCGGGTAGCCTTCCGAGGAAGGTCTTCTAATATCCCGCAAATGTCCTGAGGGCATATCTTTCGAGGGAGAGTGAAGGCGAGGTTTGTCAGTTTCGGGGAAAGAAAGTCTCGGATTAAGCTGGAGGAATTGCACGACAGGATGGAGAAGTCGAGCGAGGAAAGTGACGGGAATAGAGACTGTGGAGAGCGTTCAGAAAAAAGGAGTGGAAGAGCGTCCTCGTGTAGTCCGATCATTTTTGTTTGCTTTGGGTATGAGAAACTCTTCACACGGCGTGAATATACGTCGAATCGTGCCCACTCAGATTCAGTAGGTGGTCTTGTGAGATACTATAGGTACTGTAACTATGAAATTGCATGCACGCAGTGATATGAGACTCACAAGTACATTGCTGGAATGAATCTCCCAAATGCCTCTTGGCAAACACATGATGAGAGGATTTAGCGAATGCTGAGTTCGCCAGAGGGTGTCAAGAGCACATTCCATGAAACAGCGACATGTACGAGCTAGCTTAGCAAGGCCGCTCGTATTTTCCAAGCGCTTCGGGTCCTCTTGGCCGTCGGCAGCGACGAACCGAATGATGAGAGAAAGAATCTCGTCAATGAGCAGAGACTGATGCATGGTAAACCGCAAAATTTGGAAAGTGCAAAATTCTGCAGAGCTTCAACAGAATTGGAGACTAGCTCCATCCAGCTTGGATATTAAATAGGATGGTGACGTTGAGAACGCCGTCGAGCCGAACGGAATGGAAAATTTCTCAAGCTCGGTTACCATGACTTACCTCATGATAAACCAGGGTCTGCCGCAGCTAGTATAGGGGAGACTATGACTGACCGGGCGATAAGGCATTGCATCTTGATGTGATCCGCTGATTCCGGGTCTGTATTGATACTAGTAAGGACGCTCTTGGGAGACATTGCTACTGCATTTCATCGCAGGCGGCAAAGAATAACTCCTGACTGGGGGCAGCTTGTCTCGAGGCATGATAACAAATAAGTAGCGGTGAGTGCTTTTTTCTTTAGGCCGCAACTTGCCGCACGATACCACCGCGGAGTCACGAATAGAACCAACTTTATATGTTCTCGTCATGATTGTTTTCTACAAGCGATACCATAACAGCGTCAATAACGCTGAAGCATGCCTGAGCTTCGTCGGCGTCTGCATAGCTAGCTATCTCGATAACTTCACCTCACAGCAATCAGAAGTTCCGACATTGATGACGGGTCGCTTCACATGTGCGATTCTTCAAAGCATATCAGCTATCGCGTTTCGCATAATCATTATGGCGGCGTCGTAACAGGCTAAATGTACGTCCCCTCGTGTGGCATTCGAACTTCGGAGGTGTTCGAGCGTTCTCACCATTATAAACAGGCATGGCCAGACCGCACTCAGGCCGAAGTGTGCACACCTCCTGTGCCTCAACATGTTCAATACGTGCCAGTGAAGACCGGTGGTTTAGCATCTATATCTGACTATCAAGGTACGCACCTTTCTACCTGATCACATTCTTGTGCTCATGAAATTCACTGACCTCAGCAAGCACTTCACTACTGACTGACCTTCAAATACTGACGAACCCGTATGCATATTCTTGATCTCCAGCTCTGGCGCTCGTTGACATCCTATCGTGTAAATCAGCTCAATCAGCGACGGACAGGATATTTTGGGTGAAGGAAACATAGAAGTTGCCGCAGTCACTGCCATATTCGAGGTGCAGCATGTCTGCAACGATTACTGTGAATGGACTGGTTCGTAGAAGTTCAGTCAGCTGACTCTAGTTCAAATGAAAGTCAGGATACTTTGCACTACGTTTACTCGTCGTCTGTTCTATTTCTCGCAGCCGAAACTTCTGCGCATGCATTATGACTGAAGGTCAATCAAGTTTTCGAACAATCGCGACTCGCACAGAGTGTTCGGAGGCCAATGGAAGCACTTACCCTTACCTTACTAGGGAGGTTCTGAGGAATAGAAGCCTTGGAAGTGGTAGAGCATGATGGTCTGACTTGCCATACACACGTGTATCGCCAAGCAACTCACGAGAGAAACACGTGTCGGACGTGGTATGTAAATCATCTTTAATGACCGACACGTTGAGTTCTGCATTACCTACAGTGTCGGAGGAAAATAGGTTTGTGACCGAGAGCGGCCAGCCTGGTGTATACTACGGTACTGACGAGATTAAGTTACTTGCTGCTGTCGTCAAAATTTAGAACAATGGAAGCTCGATCGTACCAGACCCATGACCGTCATCAGCTGGGTATGACACTTATAGATGACAAACAAAGCAAATAATTGAACCGGTTCTTCTGAAACCCGAGCATCATGCATCATGCATGGACCATGATGCATGAGATCTGAGAGTTGCTACAAAGTAGCGGGAGAGGATTCGTCCAAGAATCATTATGTACATGATGAATGAATTAGAATTAGGTGTCGAAACTCGAAAGTGTACATGCCAGCATGTACAGTAATATACTATTATACTATATAATTATTCTATGTGAATATCAGCCATATCATAACACTCCTAGCCAGCTTCACAACATGCACGCCCAAACTTTTTCCCACCCATCACGAGTATACCAGCATATCCGAGAATCAGACACTTTTAAACGAACATCATCTGATTGAATGCACTCCTCCCCAGGACCAATCTTTGCAAACCCCTTGATTTCCTTTGGAATGCAGTCGCAGTGGTCCCTCAGCAGGGATGCAGACAACGTCAGCAGTTCCACGTATGAGTCGATTCCCGTGAAGATCAACGCAAATGGATCGACGGAGGATGCGATACGCGGATACGACAGGAAGACGGTTTGAAGGCTCTTGAAAATAGCCCATGGAGTGATTCCCATCCATAGGGGCAGGCGGTAGTCCCGATCTAAGTCTGCTGTGTGAGACTTGTAGTCGCATACGTATGGGTTGGCTGAGAGATGAGAAATTGAACCAAGGAAAGTAGATCCCTGGGGAGTGTCTGTGAGACGCTCCCACTGTGGGCCAGTGGTGGGGGGCGTACACGATAACGTTAAGGTTTGTGTTTTCCAGGGAAGCGGGGGATGCTCGTTGTCGACATGTGTGGCTGCATGGGACTTCCATACATGTTCCAGACATTCTACGAGAATGTCCAGACTTGTCCAGCCAAGGGCAAGGGACGGTGCAGCGAGTAGTATCGGAGCTAGGAGGCTGATGTCAAGCGGCGATCTAGACGGTTTTAGTGCATGGGCCCGGGGTGCATGGGGCAGGTGAGCTGATGCGGGATTCCCACCATGAGATACAATCCACATTTTGTGTACACGAGGTGCGTACTCAAAATGAAGGTCGCTTCCTTTCTCCTTGTACACTTTCTGCATACGTAGAGCATGCACAAACTTTTCCACATGCCGAAAGTCCGGCAGTAATATGGTGTGCAGGAGTTCGGGAAGCACGATGCGCCTGACAATTTTGGAGACACGACAGAGTGCAAGCGCAGATGAATATGGACTTCTAGCGTCATATAGGTCAGCCTGGTCAAAAGTCGGTCGTGCGGCATATTCGAGGATCATGAAGGCCAGCTCAACTGGAAGGTCGGTAAACGGAAAAAGGATAATAGGTTCCATGACAGGCAAGTAGGATGCGAAGCTGGTTTGAAGGAGCCCTGCTTTTAATGCTTGTATCATAAATTATGTACAGCCTCACCGGCAGCAGTGTACGGTAGACGCATCGTATGTGGAACCGCGCGCTGGGACCAGATGGTCTGACCTGTCCATGGCAGCGTTTATTGTTCCTTCTAGGTCGCAGGGTGCTGGCCAACAAGGCACGGGTTTAAACTTTGTTTATACGTTTACTGTCTTGTATAGCTTACAAGCCTGGTCCGTTGTGCTCTGACCCTGTGAAAATTCTCAACCAGTAGGACATGTAACACTGCCACGAACCATACAATGATTGTCTTGACCAGACTCGATGGCACATACACGCCGCAGCCTGTGGGCCCTAAAGCTTTAATTTTTTAGGTCTGACCAGAGAACTCTTGGTGGCCGGTGGTGTGATGCTAATCAGCAGAACTAAGAATCCAAGTAGACACAAACACGGTTACGCCAACAACAGTACATTCTCCTAGTACAGTAGTGCCAATTGCAGTCGTGCAAGATAGAGCTTTCGTGGGCAACTAACTTATCTTCGCATATGTTGAAATCAAAAAAGTCTCCTCTTTTTTACTGACACAACTGACGAGCATCTTTGGCACGAGACTCTAAACAAAGTTTTTAGTTCAAGTCCGACGCAGCTTCCCCCTCGTCAATTGCGAAATCGCTCACATGGATAAAGCTTTCTGCATCGACCAATCGACATACGAAGAGAGGCTGAGAGGTATCACTTTTAATGCGAATCAGAGCAAGTCAACCTTGATAATAAAAATGCATCTATCAATCTGGCCCGAGGTTCACTGTGACTAGGTCTGTAGAATGAGCATTATAATAACAATGCATTGATCTTATCCAGTAGGACATTTCTCCCTTTGGTCTCGCTCTTTTTTAGTCTCTCGACAACATCCCCACCAAACCAGCCCTTGACGGTCTGTTTTTCATCAGCGCTTCCCTCTTCCTTTATCCGCTGCAAAAATTCTGCAATAATAAAGGCACCTTCTCCGCCAGCCATGCTTACTGTCAAATCCTGACCAACAATGGACATGAACTCAGAGGCGAATGCAGACGGGGAGAACGACGATGACCGAACGACTGATTTGCTAGCATGCGAGAAATGCCCGCCTTGGAAAAGGGATTTATACATTCGTGATGTGTGCGGGAGGTCAATTGGATGAGGCTTTGAGGCATCCTCTGAAGGGTATATCGATGCTAATGGTTGAAGGAGGGATTGCATAGCCGAAGATTTGTCTAGGAAACAAATGTTAAAATTGATAAACATCAAGTGAAATGCACCCACCGCCGTCAGCGTAGAGCATAATTTCCAGTACTACCAAACTTCCACCGGTATCTCGCGCAGCTTCCGCGCCGTTGTCCTCGACGAACTTAAGCAATCCCTCACTTGCTGCTGCCCGTATTTCACCTTCGCGAACAACTGCACTTTTCTTGCTGGTTTTGCTGCGTATAAGGTCTGTATCAGCAATTATCGCTATTTGGGCAGGTGTGAAATGCCGCCGTGATCGAGGGACAAGCAAGTAGAAAAGAGCACGTCGACCTTGTGGGGTGTTGATGAGTGTGGGGGCGTGGGTGGTGATATCTGAAACAAGGGATTTGGCCGTCAACTTTGTATCACTGTAGGCAAGTGTGTCAGGATTCTTCAACACCGAGTCAATAAACTTAAAAAACAAACTCGATCACATCTAGGGCAGTGAAGAGGACGAGCTGAGCCTCGTCATCTGTACACATACGCTCAACATGAGGTTTAATGACTTTGATAATTTGTTTTCGGTCCTGTACGACAAACATCAATATTCGTCACTTGAGCAAACATGTGAATGTACCTTGGCTGTCCCATAGGCAATGAAGTCTCTCACGACCCTGCTGCCGTCTTTTGTATGGACCATCTCGGCAAGGACATCCTGGCAACTGCAGATATAATATTAATGAATGATACATCATTGAGGGCGGTACTCCCCTTTCGAATATCTCCTTGCGAAGTTTTTCTCGTTCTGACTCATCTTCGGTGTCGTTGATAGCAGCCAAGTATTCCAAAAGCGCCCTGTGAACGATTGCATGGGTTATGGCGCCTTTATCAGAATTGTTAAAACTGTCAATAGCATCATCGATTGGGGGATTACACAACGGTCAATTTCAGATGCTTACATCGTAGTTAGATTTTCTTTCAGTGCTGCCAGTACGCGTTTCCTTCGCTCGCCCTCAAGGCCTTCAAGAACCCCAGGAAAGCCTTTTCTAGCGTTCGCCTTCTCGGGTTCAGAACCTTGTGTTTGAGAGAACAATGCGACTTCCTTGCCGTAGAAGTCGCGAAGAAGAATTGAACGCTCATATGCATTTGCATAAAGCTCGAAAGAGTCGGCAAGGACCGCAGATGCCTCCCGGTGCAACAATAGACGGAGTACGTTGGACTGGAATTCGAGCAAGATAGATGCACGATGTGCTGGACACAGCCTGATCAACTTGGTCACTAAGAACTACTACCGCCGTCAAAAAAAGGCTCGGTAGCGAAGATAGACCAGACAAACCTTCGAATACTTGCTTTGAGCTAATGACTTGTAATGACCTTTGAGCTCCATCGCGACCTGGTCCCTCTCCTTTTGCCCACCATATTTCACAACAGTCTGGATAATCCTGCTTGCGTCGTGCTTAGAACGATATCCTTGACTTTTCCTTGGGTCACTTTCATCAGTTCTTTCACATGCTTCTGTCGTTCCGCGGAGGGTATGCTTTTTTGCCGAGCTAATGACCAAACGCGCTTTGCATCTGCGAGTAACTGGGAATGTGGTTTAGCAGCTCGACGCTGTTCCTGTAGTACACGTTGGACTTTATGTGATTCTCTTGCAGCTATTCAGAACGTTATGAATCGTTTGCAGTTCGGTCCCTGTAACCATCGACATACCGTTGGGGTCTCTGATGGAAGCACCATCCACAATCATCTCATCTGGGACTATCTCCTGGTCTTCAGGTTCTTCTTCCTCAAAATTATCTTCGTCGTCATCTTCGTCGTCATCAGACAACCCGCTTGCTGGTATTATTGGTTGTGTGACAGGTCTACTCCGTTTCTGAACTTTTCTTTCCTCGAGTTTCGTCAAGGAAGGATTTTCGGATTGGTGTTTCTTGGATTTTGGGCCACCCTGTGAGACCGCTGGTCGTTTCTTTGATACGCTTTGCAGGCCAGGCATTGGAGAGGTAGGGACTGAACGCTGAGCAGTGAAGCTCTATCAACTTGTCTTAGACTTCAAATCTTCGAAAGTTTTTGGGCATTGATCTTGCCCACGTGACTACTTGTAGCGCCGAAATTGATGTACGCGCTTTTCGCTAGTCACCTCAACTTGCCTAAAATTGAAACTACTGAAGCCCTGATGGCCCAATACCTCTTCATCACGATGATAAAGATCCTATGTGTTTCTGTTCTGTATGCTGAGATGCCCTGGCTCATCGAGTACACGGTGACGACGATTGTGATGAATGTATGGATAGTGACATGGTAGTCACGATACGTCCACGAGGAATCGTCGAGGATCGCACAAAATTTCCAACAGCAAAATCAATGAAGTATAACTAATACATATACATACAGCAACAAAATGCGGTACGACTTCCTTGGTAATTCGTAACGCCACTCCAAAAAACGTGTTCTAATCATAGAATACCAGAGTTCTCACCTCGATGGATTCTCGAAGCGGCGCTCCCTCTGGAGTGTTTGGGTCTTGGAAGGCAGTATGAGGAGTTAGCCTCGCGACACTCCCATCTTGTATCGAGTCAGCGCTGAGACCCTTTTAGCACGACAATAATCACCCCCGAGTGACTTCGCTCACCATTTGATAAGAACAAACTCTTCTGGGGTCATTGCCTTCAAGTATTTCCACTGGTGGTTAGGGTTGTATCTGACCCCAAATGTCTCACCCTCGCGGTCAGGGTATATGAGAGCGACAGGCATCAAGTCTTTCTCGAAATCGACACTCCGGAAGTCGCATAGTGCAAGTGGCCAATCTACAGCTGCATGTGATATAGGACGCCAAAGGTTTATGATTTGGAAGCGTCTGCGAAGGAGGGAAGGAGCTTCTGCTGGTGGGAGATGCCTGTGAACACGAGCAATGGACGCCGCAGGCGTTTGGTCCACATGAGCCCGGGAGACTGGCTGACGTTTCTGTGGGTTATCATCTGACTCGCCTGGGCGACGGCGACGAATAGCTGTGACATGAATTAGGAATAAAGACGTCGTTCAAAATTGGTGGTCAACGTACTGTGATCGAAGATGACAACCTTGGTCGCTCCTGTTACCCTCTTGATGAGGTCGATGCTCTCAGGGTAGTATTCGCGCTCAATCTCATCGTCGTTCAAAAAGCTGGTATGCTTCGGCGCTTCTCTCCCATACTGAAATCCGGCATTGTCAAGCTTGTAAAGTTCCTCCTTCCCGCGCACGTCCTCAACTTGCATATCATGCGAGTCCTCGCCCCAGTTGTGGATCAGCTTTCCTGCAGCGTTATTTCCGCTGATATCAGTGTAAGGACGAGAACCGTCAGATGGAGCGACGAAATAATTGAGGGTGGTGATGGCGTCAGAAGTCATGGTTAGTCCGTTAGTACTGAATGGAAGCGTCCTTGGTATCACCAGTAAGTCATATCTTGTTTATGTACCCCAAGGGCCGGGGAAGCCGTTTGGCTGACATATCATATATCAATTCTCCTGGTCCGCTGATCGTTAATGTGGATGGAAAAGTATGACGCCACCGAACTTCGGTATGAGCGATAATCCAAAGTCGTAGAGCCTCTTACCTTGATTACTAACTCTCTCATCAGTCATCTCCACTGGGGCGAGAATTATCATCATACACCGAACTGCGGGATATCCAAAGTCGTAGAGCCCCTTACGATTACTATGTCTCTCCCACCAGAGTCTCAACACCAGCATTCTCCAATGGGGCGAGAATGATCAGTTTTGTAGCCCAAAACATCGTTGACCACTGCGTTGAAACTGCTCTGGGATACGCATGACACGAACATGTTTCAAATTGATGCTGGTCGACGTACTGTGATCGAAGATGACAATGCTGGATGCTCCCGTGACCCTCCTGATGAGGTCGATGCTCTCAGGGTAGTATTCGCGCTCAACCTCATCATTATTCAAGAAGCTGGTGTGCTTTGCCGCTTCTCGCCCATACTGAAATCCAGCACTGTCAAGCTTGTAAAGCTCCTCCTTCCCGCGCACGTCCTCAATTTGCATATCGTACGGGTCCTCTCCCTAGTTGCGGATTGGCTTTCCGGTGGCGTTATCTGCGTTGACGTTATGGTAAGGCCGAGAGCCGTCAGGCGGAGCAAGCATGTAGTTGAGAGTGCCGGTAGTGTCAGAGGCCATGGTTAGTCCGTTGGTGCTGGATGAAAGGCGGAATGAAAATGTTCTTGGTATCACGAGTAAGTTATATCGTACTTATATATGTTTCCAAGGACCGGGGAAGCCGTTTGGCTCACATATCAAGTTATCAATTCTAGATATCCTGGTCCGCTAATCGTTAATGTGGATGAAGATATCTCACAAGCATGACGCCGCGGAACTGCGATAGTCCAAAGTCGTAGAGTGCCACGTTACCTTTCCAGCAATCTCTGCTGGAGCGAGAATTCTTGATTCCGTAGCCCAAAACACTCTTGGCCACGTTGAAGTTGCTCCAGGATACTTATGGCACCTATAGCACAAATTGTTATTGATGATGTCGACCATTAGCGCTGAAAACAGGCAACATAAGTTACCTCTATAGAAACAACCGGTGAAGCCGGGAAAGAAAGCCGCAAGCAATGACTACAAGCTCGGCAAAACTTTCCGAGGGGTCAACGTTTCAACCTCCCAGCTGAAGGAGACACTTCCCCGCGGAGGTCTTTGGCAAACCAACGTCACAGGTAAGGATGGGGATCAATTTCCGAAAGAAAAGATTCATCAATTGCAAAGTCACCAGTAGATTACTATATAGGGGAATTACTGCAGGTACTACATGTAGGAGCATCGAGTAAATGACATGGAATATGATATATCGACAAAGTACATATTGGAAATATCGACGAGAATGAGTATCAACTTCTCAACTTTGTCGCTGCGCAGGGTCACTGCAGGTTCAAGTGATTGATCGACGAGTGAGAGATCGGTCTGAGAGACTTGGGGTTTGAGCCTGCGAGCATTCTGTGGTGACGAAGAGAATTGTCGATGCCTGCCGGCAGGTTGCGATACAATGATCCAAGGCCTAATCAATTGAACACGCCCCTGCAGGGTGTACCGTGATTTCTGCCATTTGACAGCAGTAACAATCCTGCCGAATTGATTAGAATCGGCGTGCCCATAGGTACACGCAGGCTATAAAAGCTGGTCGTCGTCCTATAGTATTCCCCATCCTCAGACATATCATTCGAGATTTCTCTCAGAAGATTACACATTACCTCAAACAGAAAATGCATTTCTCCTTCTCGCCGTTGTTATTGCTTTGACAACATCTATGTCTGTCATTGCATCATCATGTGGCAGACAGTCAGCTCCTTGCAGCAATAACCCAGATTGTTGTCCAGGCTATCTTTGTAATCCTAACGTGAGTATGAGCAGGTCACTGCGCAACCAGGATTCAACCGCATGACTCACCTGCGCGCTTTAGAAAAAAGGAGTCAAGCTCTGCAGGGCGGTTGGCAATTGAGCCAGAAGCCACATCGCGACAGTGAGTTATATTTCTGCTCTCGCATCGGTATCATGGTTGATCAATACCTAGTTTGAAATCAATCAGTACAGTTGTATTTGGACAAATTTTTGTACTGTTTGAAAATATCTGAAGATGATCGACCGTGCCTAGTCTTGCTCATCGTCCACTAAGCTTGAGTTCGAGAGGGAGGGATCATTAGCTCTACTCAATAGCGATTTTATTTGACCGTTTAATTTGCCATTTTATGTCGCACTCGGCATGCGGTATTGAGTACCATGAGTCTGACGGAATTTGACATGGGAGAGAGCTGCCGAAACGACTGGATGAGATCAACGAAATACGAGTGCTCGACATCGCAAACACTGATGGCCCAACATGGACCAGCAAGAAAACGCACAGTCACCACAACACCTCAAAAAATCGCTCGATGCTCGCAAATGGCCTGGACGTTCACCTTGATTTCCTAAGCATGAGCGGTTCGCGTCGGACAACACTAGTACTTGTATTCTTACTGCATAGAATTTTACGACATAGCCCCACTAGATAATAATTGTTAGTTCATGCATCACACAAATGTCACACTTGCCGGATTTACAGTGCGCTCGGCACACGTCAGATTCGTGAAACATCAACATTAATATTAAGAGTTATTAAGAACACATACCCAGGAGTGCCGGATGTGTTCGAGCAAGTGCCCATGCTTCATGAACATGCGCGGCCTCCTCCAAACACAGATTATGATGCAATACACCCCTTCCTTCAATCAGTATAATGGTACCCTCATCCAGCATGCTGACACTCACCAGATGCCCTGCCCCACCACGCCAGCTCGCTAATCTCATTTCTATACTGGTCGACGTTGTAGACGTGCCATGACGTATGATGCATTGATAATTGTAGGTACTGGAGTCTGAAATCTGGAAACCAGTAGCATCCCCACGCTCCCATTGTTGAAACTCCGCAATAACGAGCGCCGAACAACATACCTGGAGTCCAATATGTCATTTTATTTGTTCCCCACATTCACTCGTTAAAAAATAATGGAATGGAATTGAGTGAGGCTGTATTGTCAATTGATCAATACACGGGCGAGTTGTGAAGCTTTGAAGTCCGTGATGAGTGGGGAATGTTGCATAGATTACTTAATGCGGCAACGGGCAAAACGGTCTGAGTTACATCAGTAGCATATAGTCAGCCAGTAACTTAATTGAGTTGAATGCGGCCGATGGTGCATATTGCATTGTGCAGGTAAGGGAGTAATGAGTAAGTGAGAAAAATGACATCAGATATCGACCGAGTACATATCTGATGTATCGATGAGCATCAACTTCGTCGCTGCGAACTTCAGTAATCGAGCGGTAAGTGAGAGATCCAGATGAGAGATCGAGGGTTCGAACGAGTGTTTAATGGTGACGAAGAGAATTGTCGATGCTTGCTGGCAGGTTGTGACGCAATGATCCTGATAATCAATTGAACCCGCTCCTGCAGGTTCTACTAGAAAATCTGCCACCTGACGGCAATAACAATTCTTCCGGATCGATCGAAATCATGCCCATAAGTACATGCAGGATATAAAAGCTGGTCGTCGTCCTATAGTGTCCCTCATCCTCACACACATTCGAAATTCCTCAAAATGCATTTCTCCTTCTTCGCCATTGTTGTTACTTTGACAGCATCTATGTCTGTCAGTGCCATTACTTGTACCAACCTTCCGTTCCCTTGCTATAGTACAAAAGCGGATTGCTGTCCGGGCACTACTTGTCAGCCTGTGGCCGTGAGTATGAGCAGGCCGCTGTGCTACCAGGATTCAACCATATGACTGACCTGCACGCCTTAGGGTCAAGGAATCTCTCTATGCAAGTAAGCTAGCAACTGAGCTCACAGCCCGAGCGGCACATCAAAACAGTGAGTCATGTTTCTGCTTTCGATTTGGCATCATGGTTGATGGTGTAGTACCTAGTTCGGAGTCAATCAGTACAATTGTTGGACAAATTTTGGTACTGCTCGAGCAATGTGGATGTTTGGACATCTGAGAATGCCTAGTCTTGCTCCCGGTCCACTAAGCTCGAGTTCGAGAGACTGTCGAAACAAGCGGTCATTGCTGTCGATGATCAGTATTGGAAGGCCGTACGAAGATGGAACGCACTGCGCTGATATTTTCTTACGATCTTGAATCTGTCGTTCAATGCGGACCTCGAAGACTAGCTGTGTGTGTGTGATGAGGTCAACGAGACGTCACACCAATCGTGATTCATGACAGACGTGTTACCACCTGGTATGTAGCCAAAGCCCAAGGTCATACTGAAGCGCGCGATATGGTAAACGTAAGAAGGGGTGACAAATATAAAGAGGATTAATTAATATTGCTTCTTGCGTGGGACGTTCCATCAAAAAGTAGCGTTGGAGCTTGACAGTAATTCTGCGAGTGTTGGATGAGGTGCAAGGGACACGGAGTCACGGACACGATTGGCGAGGAAGAGGAATTTGGAAGAGCGTTGACACCTTGATAGTAGTTTCGTCAACATTGTTCCTTATCTCCAAGGGAGTAGCAGGTCGCACGGGTATGCCATGGATTAACTTGATAACTTGATGTCGTTGTGATTGTCAGATGAAGACTAGAATTTTAAAAGAAGCTGTGCCAGCAGGTGACCACGATATTTTAACCAAGTGCATCAAGGTCGTAGGTACCACGTACTATCAGGCAAGAATGATTAGTATCAAGACGAGTCTCGTCGTTTTTGTCTGCGCAGCAGTCACAGGGTCATGGAGAACTTGGAGGTTGTCCCGCAGAACGTCGGACGTCACGTGCATGGAGGGCCCCAGGCTAATGACGAAGTTGTCCTTGATGATGAAGTTGCCTAATGATACGAGGCTGCCTGGCAAATTATTATATGAGGATTCCTCAGGCTCATGATGATATGTACTGCCCATTTGCATTAATGACGGAGTTGTCCAATTGAATGATGAAGCCACGCTGAAAACACGTGCTTTCAGCTGGGTGCACTCGAATTGCCGAATTTACGTTTTCAGCGAACACCGTCGAGCTCAAGCGCCGGAGTGTTGCGCTCCTCCTAATCCCTCGTTCTCGTCGCAAGACTCTCTAGTCGAATGTTGAACTGATTCAAGTCCAAATTCGATGGCTCTGCGCTTTCTAAATCGTCCTCATGACAAAACAAATTCCAGATAGAGTGGTCAGTTTTCGGCTTCAAGCGGAAACGAAGTGAGCGACAGTCGACAGTGGTCAGACGACGACTCGGGGCATCGCCGCCAGTCATCTGAGTCGATAAAGGCTACTACGAGCAAATGCCCTATGGAGTCTGGGAGAGCTGCGGCAAAAACCCCCATCGTCCCTGTGGAATCGAGTCGCCCGTCACGCAAGCCAAAGTGAGCGCAGACACCGACTCGGAGGTCTAGTCACGTTCCAGAGTCTTCACGACGAGTTATCAAATGATCGACCGGTCTTCCCCTATCCATCGCAATGCTTGCGTTTGTCAGCCTGGCACGTCATCGTGGAATAGAAACATAAAAGGGGGGAAAGCAATCCCATTTTTCTGGCTAACAATGTCTACAGTCTCTGCAGAACTAGCATACTTCACTCCGCCCTCTGACGGGTCCCGCCCATTCACTACGATAAATGCTGATCCAGCGACAGGCCAGCGTGCACGTAATTGGAAGAACGAGGAGCATACCGTCGAGATTGAGAACGTCAGGGGCAAAGAAAGTGACTACACCTTGGATACTGCAGGCTTTCAATACGTCACGAAGCCCTCCAAACACAGCGCCTTTATCAATGACGAAGATATTAGAGGAGAATACTATCCAGAGAGCATCGAACTTCTCGAGGACATCACGGGTGCGAGCAAAGTCGTCCTTTTTGACCACAGTACGTGTGAAACGAGCGCATCATACTCTAATACCTGACTTTTATTGGATCTTAGCTGTCAGACGCCATCGCCCTGGAGATGTAGAAACGGACGAAACAAAGCGTCAACCTGTTGATCAGGTTCATGTAGACCAAACTCCTGAGTCGGCCACTGCTCGTGTTCATCGTCATTTACCTGTCGGCGAAGCGGAGAAGCTTGTCAAAAAACGTTTCCAGATTATAAACCTCTGGCGACCGATCTCTCACCCTGCAGTCGACCATCCATTGGCGCTGTGCGATTACAGGACTGTCGACGCAAAGAAAGATCTCGTTCCTATCGCATTGATCTATCCGGATCGTGAAGGCGAAACTTATGGGGTCAAATTCAACCCGGCACATAGGTGGAAGTACCAAAGAGGTATGAAACCGGACGAAGTAGTCTTGATCAAATGGTTCGCTCATCATGTTTTGCTCTGTAATGATGCGCTTACCTCGGCCACAGCTACGATTCGGCTCAGGGTGATAACATTGCTAGGTTTACCCCACATACTGGGTTCAAGGATCCCTCGGCACCACAGGGAGCGCCGCTGAGGCAGTCTATTGAGCTTAGGGCGCTGGTTTTCTATGACTAGAGCCTGGCACCATTGCTATGACGTCCATGTTCGCTTGCACCTTCATGATTCATTTCACATCTCTGCATTTGATTACGAAAGTGAACGTGACTAGCCCACTCTTTTTTAAAACGATTGTAAATATGAAGTTGTTATCCTGCCCTCCGCAAGTGCCTCGATAAGTCAATTGTTCCATTCCTGTGAGGTGCTAAGAGAAACCCTATTATATATTATAAGGTCGTTATGATGTCGTCAGAAGCTATTTGCTCATTCCAGTGCAGCCCACAGATACCCCGATCACCAACTGGCTCGCTGATAATGTTTTTCTTTGGTTCGTGTCTCACTTGGCAGTTCGACACCCATATCAGACTGTCGTTTGTTCTTCTTCATCCACTTTTATGATTACCTGGAGTGACCGGAAGAAGATAGGAAATCAAGAAATAGCTACAACAGGATGAATAGAGCCATACATAACTTGAACGAGTATAGCTCCACTTGCTGCGGGATGTGACTTTTCACAATACCGACTATCACTAGTCGAAGAAATCATAGTCAAGGAGTGGTCGTCTCGGTTTCCCAAGAAACCCACGAGCAAGTCTAATGGCAGAGAGGGCAAAGGCTTCCGGTAGAATGAGCAAAAAGCCCAGCAGGACCAGCAAATTCGAGATGTTTAGCAGGCTAATAGTGTAACAATCAATTTCATACGCAATTTGTTCAGTCCGTTGTACCAGACCGATGCGCGCTTCAATTCTTTAAATACCTTTCTCCCAACTCATGATGAGTACACCATCGAGGAATGTTTAGCATCGCGACAATCAATGTAAATGGATACCGGTGTTATATGAGATGGCGGCTGGCATTGATATGGTCAAGTGATACAACGTGCTGAGGTATAGAACATCAGACAAACAGCATCGGATCTTGTGATGAACCACACTGCCTTGCTCGTGGTAGCGAACATTAACAATGATCATATAGTCCAACTCTCAAGTGTATTTCATAGCACGAACGCTGTGACTACCAGCCCTGCAGTGATTATTTAGCTCGACACCAGCAACACATGACAGTCAAACGAACCAGCAATTTGATGAGCATCCCTTTGCTTGAGAGATCGCTCGATGAATTGTGCGACTCCGAAATGGCCGAATCCGTGTCCATCAATTCATTACCACAGAAGAACTGCCTTTAACACCTGTGCATTATCCATGTTAAGACCGGGTGGTTCCAAGTCAATTTTATTTTAGACCGAATGATCATCATGATGCTCCACTCAACAGCCTGTCGGAGTTAGAATTAATTTTAGCTCACCGCTTGCTAGTACGTACGTACATGCTAAGTACATCCATCAAAGTCTCGACTGGCAGACTTACCATATGATGTGTACCAGAATATGAGCGCTTGAGCCACTACCTCCTTCCGTCATGCATCATGTGCTCCAATTACACAGTGCGACCATCATGATCCATACATCATGAACAAGGCACCCTCCGCCGAATCTGCTAGATCCAAGTCACACACTGCAATCACGGCCGTATTGCTGCGCATACTACTGTATGTACTAGTACTTATCTTCAACTGCTCGCTGCATTTATTCACACGTTGTGCCACAAGAAATATGTCAGTCCCAGACACCTTCAGTCTGCAGCTAGTAAAGGTAATTCAGTCGTGCTTTATCTGCAACCCTTTTCTAATGTGTCTCGTCAACGAAGTACACTAACGGTAAGGTCAGGTTGATGACAACGTTCATCGTTATTCACGACTCAACTTTAGTCGCTGCGTTAGCAGTCCTAGTAAGTTGTGCTGTTTCAATCTCATCGATGATAATTTTGATTATCACCAGGCTTATGACTACTTTGTCACGTTACACTCTGAAGTCAGCAAAAATAGACCTACCATACCTTGGTGCTGATCTTTCTTGTAGGTCCAGTGGTCTTCGGGACGGAAGTGGGGGATCGTTCGCACTACCTTCATGGTTTCGCGATATGTGCCTTTTGCTGGTGCAATCATGACCTCATACAGTGAGATACTTATTCCAGTGCGCACTACTACACAAAAGCTTATTCTTGACTAGCCGCTATTAAGACATGGGGCACGCAAAATGTGGGTATATCTTCGATCTGTGCAGTGTCAATTACCCCCACTAAAACTCACGTCAATGTAGTGTATGCCATTTAATAATGCTACAAATGGTTGGTTCAGACGATTTTCATCACACGGATTTGCAATAACATTTTGCAGGTATGCATTTCCTAGGAATCATTGCCTCAGAAGGTTAGCTTTTTATACAATATTACGGCATGAAACTACATCCAAACGCAGGATTGTTGATTGCCAGAATATACGGCTTTTCTGGCAATAACAACACTTGCCTGATCATTCTCCTCTGTTTTGCTTCGGTACAATGATATCTCTATTTCCCTTAAGCACCACTGACTCGTGTGGCGCAGACCATCTTGGTGATGGCTGTGATTATAAGCGCTGCCCCTATCAATTGGAACATGGCAGGTGAGGTCTCAAGGTTCATGTCCTAGTCATATGTAGTATTTATTTATTCATTTTCAGGCTCCCCACCTTGCGCGTTTGAGGGGAGTCGTCATAGTGCCCTTCCGTATGGACTCTTAGCGTTCCTCGAGATCGGTGAGGCAATCATTTCATCCAAAACTTCCTTACTTGACAATTCACTTATAGTTCTTATGTCCACCACCGCATATTTGAGATATCGACATTATCTTGGTTCTCATAGCACGCTGATGAGAAGTATCTATCGTGATGGACTGCTCTACATGTTCTGCATCATAAGTATGAACACCATTAATTTATTGATTTTGTACTGACATCTCTATAGTGATATCATCAGCCAATGTGATCGTAATCAGCGTCCTACCTGTAAGTTCTTTCTTTGTTAAGTTGATCTTGAAGAATTGAGTAGACTCCTAGCTCTCGTACAGTGAGATGCTAAACGCGTTAGTCTGGTCGACCATCCATGTATATTTATATCGTTGAAGCTCATCCCCCCATTTTAGACCCCAGATTGTTATACATAGCGTTCTTGCTTCTCGCATACTGTTCAATCTTCCAGTGAACAAGGCACCGGTCTTCCCCACATATCAATCGACGCCTTCAACGGAAATGTTATCGTGTCCACACGAGTTTGATGCGATGTCTGAAGGCGGTCAGACGGTTTGTGATGTTGACCACAATCAAGTTTAGATTGCTAATTCTGTAGGTGAGATTAGCATCAATTGGCTTTTGTCATTTGAGTTTGCTGACTATGAGTTTTTCATATTCAGTTTGTTTCTCTTTGTCGCGTCTTTTGCATTGCAGTGCTTATCTACTGTACTACCCAGGTGCATGCGTCTTCAGTACCGCTTCGAATCACTTATCAGTGGCTATTGAGGGGCAATTCAATTTGGTTACACTTTGTGAATTTTCGTCCCTCTTGATCACATGGGTGTGATACAATGGATTATTTGGGAATGCACTCATGGTCACGATGCCAGGCTCTCCAACGACTATCTTAAACCCGCGGGTTGTCTGTTACAGCATTTCCAAACGATATGCCAAGACCACCAACAGATTCCGCGGTCTCTGATAATGCCTGATATGACCTCACATGATACTAACTTCTCGACAGATCAGGGCAGGTTCGGGGTCTGCACAGATAACTTACGAGAGAATGGCTGTGATAGTACATAAGGTTAAGTTATTGTGGAGGAGCCCTATATACGATATTCCTTACTCCTCCTAGCGCCTGGGTACACAATGGTGTCTGCTGCAGATTTCTTTCAACAGGATTTTGATTATATTATCATTGGTATGTTAAGTTATGCCTGCGTGCGATGTCTTGATATAACATTTTTGCAGGGGGCGGAACAACTGGCCTTGCATTGGCCTCAATGTACATACTTATCATGAGATCCATGTTCTTCTTTCCCTTCAAATCTAACTTTAGGATGTTGTAGCCTTTCAACTAATGCTAGTATTCGTGTAGGAGTCATTGAAGCAGGTCTGAGGAAGGATGATGAGATGATTCTTGTGCCTGGTAAGGGGTCCAACAGTGAGCATCAGAGAACCTGTGAGAAGAAGATATCGTCATATATCGTTATATATCGTAATATATAGGAAAGGTTTTCATCACATTGGAATATAAAGTGATATAAAGCAATATATGACTATGTAAAAGCACCATAATCAGCATAATCCCCAGCAAGAACTCACCGGTTTACTGATGCACTGATTGACCTTGCGTTCATGAACTTTTTTTTTCAATTTCCCTTTGTAAAGGCATGGTTGGGAAGGCTGTTGGAAGTGAGTCTGGAGTTGTGCTTCAAAGATAGCGCATCACAGTTCAACCTCAGACCCCGAATATGACTGGAATTTGGTCACAAAACCTCAACAATTTGCTCAGAATCGGAAGATATCAATCCCTAGAGGCAAAGTTCTTGGTGGCACATCAGCATTGAATTATATGGCTTACTGTCGGTGGGTGCATGGATACTATGTACTCGTGCGATCACATACTAACTTTCACCTTCATAGCGGTTCCGAGCTCGAGCATAACGGTTAGTACCAATGGCTATGCAACTCAATTGATAATGTATGTGCCGAAAGACTGGGAGAAACTCGGCATCAAAGGTCTGTAGTACATCATTTGATATAGAACGGAACACATCACCTATTTCATTCGTTTAGGGTGGAATTGGAATACCATCAGTAATGCAATTAAATCTGCTGAGGCTTGGAGCCCTCCAACTCGTCACGCCAAGGCGCATCACGCAGATGATGTTGCGAAAAATCATGGCAGGTAGGACTAGCATCGTGGATATAAACTTATGTGGACGTTTCATTCTCGAGCCAGGTACGGCTATGTCAAGACGAGTGCATACAGCTACTATTATGATCTCGTTTTGCCATTGTTTGAGACCATGAATAGGATGGGTGTGGTCACTAACCAATCTGAAGTGCGTTTGAATATTGTCAAAGTGAACACAATTGAAATTGCTATCAGGCCTCCGGAGACAATATAGGCATTTGGACGTACACAGCGTCCATTGATCCTCAAACCAATACACGCTGTTACAGTACAAATGTAAGGCGATAGTAAATGTTATCTTGAAATAATTGATACTGAATTATCTTTCCAGGCGTATTATGACCGGGTTTCTAACCGACCAAACATCATTGTACTTACTGGCGCACAAGCCTCTAAAGTGATTTTCAGACAAACCTCCAGTAGTGATATGCAAGCTACGGCAGTTGAATATCATAAAGGGGGACGGGCTTACAAAGTCCCTGTGCGCCGGGAAGTTATCATATCAACTGGTATGTGTCTATTGTGGTGGTTGAAATGCTAACCCAAATGATGAGATCAGGTGCTCTGCAAACCCCCCAGATTCTAGAACTTTCAGGTGCGGCACTCTAGCTATAGTATCAGATAGTCTGCTTAGCTTTCAATTTCCACTTGACCAGGGATTGGGGATCCAGACCTCTTGCGTAGACTGAATATTCCCGTAATAGTTGATTTACCTGGTGTTGGCGAAAACCTTCAGGTCCGTGCCACCTCCAGATGAGAAGCGAATAGGGCCTGATACCTGTCTTAGGACCACCCTAAGGTATCCATGGGCGCAGAGCTGAAAGGCTCGCACGAGACCGTGGATGATCTCAATTCAGAAAGCTTTGCTCAACAAAAATTAGAACAATATCGTCTTTCCAGAACAGGGATACTCAGTAGCACACTGTCTACCGTGGTATTCGTTCCATTGTCATCTTTCATCCCACCCGACAAGATGCGAAGTATACTCTCAACCCTGGATGAGGCTCTACAATTACCGCAAATCCAAAACTCGCCCTGGAAAAAATGGTACGAAGTCCAACGCGCCTGGCTTGAGAACAATGGTATTGCTCAGTTAGAGGTGGTTTTAGAACCTTGTGCGTCTTTTATCTGTCACGTATAAATGTAGTGTTGATCACCCACAGCTTACACCCATGTCGGGTGCACTAATGAAAAAGCTAAGCATTACACGATAATGGTCTTCCTGCAGCATGCTTGGAGTCGAGGACATGTCTGTTTGTTTTTCTTAAAATTACCACTTGAACTCATGCTTCCACCGCAGGTGCATGCAACTTCTTCATCCGTGTTGGATTCGCCAGAGATTGACCTGGAAATGCTCAATTCTTTGGGAAACATTGGTAAGTGAATCATTATTCCTCGCAGGCAGATCATTGAATCCTCTTCGAGATATGATGATGCTTTTGGAAGCTTTGAAATACGTTTTCAAGATCATGGAGACAGGGGCTCTGGGCGACTTGACTGCGGAAATCATTGAACCTAAACCTTCTTGGTCAGACGAACGACTGATGGATTACATCCGCTCAGACATCGCCAGCGGATTCCATCCTATCGGTGGGTCGTGTAACTCGACAGCTGCACACATTTCTTATGCAAATTACTCTCCAAAAGGGACAGCTTCGATGCTCCCTCGATCCGCTAATGGCGTCGTCGATAATGAACTGAAGGTCAAATATCACATTGAGTATAATTATCTGTTAGACGAACTCGCGGATTCTTTACAGGTGTATGGAACAACCAATCTGAGAGTGGTGTGTATATCTTTCTTGACAAAGTGAGCTCAGCTTCTTTAACATGCACTTCACAGGCGGACGCCAGCGTTTTCCCAATCGTAAGATTGAAAATTGTTACCTTGGAGATACTAATACAGGTGATCTTAGCATGTGGGAACTCATCCTCAAGCCACGCTTTATGGGTAAGCCATTAACAATGATCATGCAACTTGCTTTGAGAAAATCTTTCCAGGTTAGCTCACAAAGCCGCAGAAATCATTCAAACCAGCGAAAAAGTTGAACTTTGATATCCTCGATGGAAAGTATTGTCCGTGGACGACTATTTATGCAAGTTTATGTATCAGCTTTTCTCCGCGGCAACAATTCCATAGATATCTCAAGCACCGATAGTTCCTGTCCATGTCTCAATCAAGTCGATTACACAGTAGCCTTTCACAGGCACGTATTGCTTAGTGATCATCTTGATCACCTCTTGAGCGACCATGCCACCAAGGAAAGCTGCAGTGTTGGGCAGCTCGGAAAAAGGTGCTCGAGCACTACGTAATGATATAAGCCATAAATCTAAACCAAGATGTAGCTCTACTCACATCTCGCCAATTGCATCGTCAGCCTCATCGGGAAGCTCAGTAGACTGTCCGACAATGGACTGAATCTTTGCACGAATGGACTCGGCCGATGGTGACACCGAGGTATCGCTCGCTTGAAGTAACGAAAGCGCAGAAAGGGCTAGGTGTATACACGTCTCCTTCGGCATCGTTGATAACGACTCCACTAACCCAACAGACGAAATTTAGCGGTCTGAGCGAATGCAAGGTCCCAAGGTGTTACCTAGAGCAGCTTTGTCTTCATCAAATGTACCCCAAGGTTTACCTCTAAGAACGACCAGAGCATGGGCATTCTTGACAAATGAATCAACTATGCCGTCGTCGACCGGTACTCGGAGATAGCTCTTGAAGGCCTGTTTTTCTTCCTCCGCCCTCGTTTTGTACAGTCGCTGCAGATGTATGTAGTTATGGGTGTCAGACTTCATATCTGGCAGGGTTGATGTGAGAGGGAGCGCGTGTGTGTCAGACTGTTCCGTGTACTCCTTTAGGGCGGCGAGAAGATGGAAGAAAGGCGACTGGTTATTGTCCATGGCCTTAGTAGATAGCGCGGGGTCACTAAAAAGGGCCATGATTTCAGAAGGAACCTAACGGAACAATTAGGCAAAAACTCAAGATAGATGAAACAACAACAACCTTGGTTTCCGTCCAACATCTGTATGCTTGTGCTTCTGCTTCGTCGAAGTTTTCTTCGTCCCCTTTCACCTTCAGCGCAAGGACGCTTTTCTTGAATTGTTGTCTATCTTCGTACGATTTCGGGAGACCACCATTATGCTGTATGATCCCTCATGAGCATGCATTCCACCTGAACGAAGACTAACTTACAGATTTCTTCCAATCCTCAAGCGCACGAACTAAAATCACCACGTATGGTATGTGTCCGTGCTCTGTAGAATCCATATTGTCAAACTCCAGCGACAGCGCGTGTTCTCTCAAAGCTTGGAATGGTTTGTCGATGCGAAGAGAAGGAGACGTTTCCGAGTGACTCTCGATGACTTGAAAACGTCATAAGCATATTCAAGAAAACAGATTCATACGCACTTGTGTGCTCATGGAATTGAATATAGAAGTCTGCCAGGAATCCAGCTGATCGGACAACCACAAGAGGCGGGTATTTCGCATCTTTCCAAAGGAGTGCGGAGAGCTTGTTCAAGAGTGCATGATCTAGGTTATGGGAAATGACGATAGTGAACGAAGTGATCCACTCAGGGTGCGACTCGAGGATGCTCTCGAGAGTTCTAGTGTCTGCACGTCCTTCAACGCCGTCATTCAGCTCGCTCAAAAGTTGAACAGCCTCCTCTGCTCTAGACTTTCCAATACTATTGTATCCTTCTAAGAAGAAGTTGTTACCGGCATCAGAGTGTGATACCTTGGCGTGATCAAGGATAGTGAAGTGTCCGATGCCAGGAAGAACAAGGTTCTTCAAGATTGAAGTTGAAGTGGCGGATCCAGATACCAACAGTACCCGAGAAGACTCTAATGCACTCTGTCCAGTCGCTGCCCACAGGCTTGTTCGCAAATGTCAACTGAGCCTCATTTGTATAGTTCTCCTAAGGCAATCTTACCGGAGCTGACGGTCATATCTTCGGGTTTTGGTGTCTGGCGCAGACCTATTTCTGGTCAGCCGACAAGTCTTGTTTTGCTAAGGAGATCATACTCTATTGCAGTGGTTGCAGTCTCGATGTCCTGAGAGTCCTGACTAGACATGATGATCGAAAGTAAAGACTGAGCCTGTGGCTGGCAACCGCATCACTGAAAACCGGATAACCCGGTATGACAATATTTACCTTATAAGGTTGGCGAAATCTGTGTTGTCCTTATATGCCCATGTATTGGCCTACTTATCAAGCATCATTTTCCTGATCCGTGAGCTTGTTTGTCGTTTCGACACATTAATTTAACAGTATGTCGAATTCTAAGCTGGTGGTATAGTTTTTGCATTCATGCGTAAAAATTGCTTAATACTATATAGCAGTGCAGAATGATAGGAAGACGTCGATGCTGTAGGCATACGCTCAACGTATATGGCGCTGATCTATTCAAAAATTCTAGACACAAAACTCACACACACCACTGTGAGTTGCACTCGTCCTCCATGGCTTCGCTACATTTGCTTGTCATTGTCATATTTTCTGATTCAACAATTCATCTCAAGACGCAGTCAGTGCCATCCTTCTTCGCTTCTGAGGTCCTAACATCTCTTACTCGACATTGAGCCGACTTTTCGAACAGGCACTGCCGGTCTGTCAAAAGCTCGAAGGGATGTGGTGCTTGGAATGAGCTGTGACATTTTACTGGAGATTGATGGTGTTGAACGCGGCCGAGGGATTGTGGGTACCTTTCTCTAAGCTGCAGAGGTGCGTGTAATATGTATTGTGCATTTTTATGCTGCTAACTACCTCATTTCCATAGGTACTCAAGACTTAAACTTACCTCTCCCTCATCTCCTTCTCGCCCTCCTCCACTCCTCTCATTCTGGCGCCTTCCGGTGTGGTTCGCATATGTTCGAGCCACGTCAGCATTTGCTGACATGTGCTGGGCATGTGCGCTAAGCACTGGCGGTTGTTGGGATCGGGCAGTAGTGAATGGTGGTCTGGATGATCCCTCAATCCCACTTGAAACCTATTCTGCATTTTGGCCTTTCTTCAAAGTCAACATTGGCCATGTGTCCTCGACCGATGCTCGAAACTGCCGTTATCTCTGTTGGTTTTAGCTGTCTGCAACTGACGCCGAAGCTCGCAGCCTTACCCGGCTCCGACCCTGCTCCTTCTCTTTTCCTATTCTGAAATAGTTTGACCACCGGATCTCAAAACGAACGAGGTACAACTCCCTTGGGAAGGGTCAAGACCTCAGTCACCACCGGCCGAGCATATCTTCCGGTCATTGATAAGTAAGGATCCGACTCAGATTTTATTTACAATCCCCACTATCACCTACTCTGCCTTCAATCACTCATTAACGCTACTTCCTGCAAGTTTCTCGACAGGATGCCATCCAGAAAGTCGCACTGTACTACATGGTCTGGCAACAGGATATGTCATGTCGTGGTCTATGTTTCTGTCTAAGGATGACTGGTCTTCGATGATATGGCTGAACTCGATCTCATATTTGGATTTGATCCCTGCGACCAACTTCTATTCCATGGCCAAAAACTCGATCCTATGGCTGAACTCGATCCTGTTACATCCTATGGTACCACGAGTTCGATTATATACCGCCAAACTTGATCCTATACTGGCACCGCCGAGCTTGATTGTACACTGGCACCGCCAAACTCAGTCAACCACTTGAGCAGTGCAAATTTTGCATAAGGAAACAATAGTGTCAAGTTGCCGCGACACCTTGCTTTCATTGGACTTCAAGGCACTAACGATATCTGTTGTGGTTCAACCCATGTTATTGTTCCTGCAGATGGTGTTGATGATGAGATTAGGGTAGAGAATTGGCGAGGCATTGATAAACTACATGTATTGTACCGAGTGTCTCTGTATAATCCTATACAACCCAATGTGACTTCCTGGCCAATCAAGTATAAAACCCGCAATACCATGATGCCAATGAAACAATTGTCCATATGATGGTACAGATGGCAAGAATTTCCATCTCTTTTACTTATTTGACAGGAGAGCCTCTGTGCTAGAAATGCTAAATGAGAGACACTTTTTCGAACATGCTTCACCACTTCAGTACAGTTTTAGTACTGTCACGACATGATTCATGCAGCTAATGCTAAATGAAAACCATCTTGATGATTATTGGTCATAGGGGATAGCGTTCTACACATATATATCTTGTTTTCAGCAATTAGCGTGTTTATCAATCCGTTTGAGTTTTTACACAGCCAAATTCATTCAACTAATGCCGGGCACAGGTAATCATGATAAAGATTGGTCGCAAGGGATAACAATATATTTCTATACAAGACTATGGCTTCTGCACTGCCATATTTTATACGATTATAGACATTGTTGGGATTATAATGTGTATATAAGGGTTTATCATAGATCTTGGTTTTCAGTGATGCGATAAGTAATAAAGGTGACAAATTGACGCGTACAGTCACATATTTGTCACACTGCTAATGTGACAGTGTCTCTTTGACCTTCACCATGACAGACACGCGTCAGTTCGGTGATCTTGCAACTCAGCTCATTGCCGAATCTCGTCGATCGACCCTAACAGACACTCTTCTTAAATACAACGACAATCTTGTCCGATCCATCATCCGGGAACAACGCGATCTCGAAAAAATGACCGAAAACAGTCAGAACGTCACTCCAGCGATGCTCATCTATCAAACAACCATTGTACGAAACAAAAGATGTCTTCTAGCATATCACAAGCACCGTATGGATAGACTGCGCGATATGTACTGGACCGCAGGAGGCGCTTTACCGCATATCCTCAGCAATCAGGATATTCGCAGCAAGCTGTCTCCTCATGAAGTCGACTTCCTCCGCCAATACAGCACGTCTGTGATGGATTATCGTGCTGGTTTTACCAACGAGCTCGATATCACAGCCAGTATCACACATCCGCCCAAAGACTTGCATGTTCTGGTTCACGTTATCAGGGATTGTGGGATCATACAGACAGAGCTCGGGACCATCGATTTTCAGAAGGGGCAGAGATTTATGGTTAGGAGGGCTGACATCGAACACCTCATTGTGCAAGGTTATCTCGAGGAAGTTTGATAGTGCGCTGCAAATTTTTCATTAACAAAAAGGTTTTGACCATGATCAGAAAGGAAACACGTGGCGGTGTTTATTCCTGGTGCTGCCAAACAACTCGGCACTTTGTCCAACGTGTCTACGCGTTACATCAAGTACTCCACCACCATGATGCGACGTGGTCTCCACAATTACTCGAGATTGTCATCAAGTGCATTGATCTCACAAAATCGCTTTCCTTCATCTCCTAAATACCTGTCCACACATTTACGATGGTTGTCAACCGTAACTCCTAAGGCTTCTCCATCCCTTACCGTCCAGCCAACGAACGAACGTTATGATCTCTTTTTTTCTGAGGGTCCTAGTCCTCCCATGTTTACGCCAAATAAAGGGGGTTCCGGTGGTTCTGAAGACATATCTGACCGTGAATGGCAAATCCGGACAGGTCAGTCTGACTTGCTACCCTTGGGAGACACACTGATGCTATCACCAGATCACCCTATAATCATCATTCTTTTTGATCGTGCGTTACCATATAGGCCGCGCCATCTATATCCTACAGCAAACGCTTCCTGATTTCTTCGATGTCGGCCTCGTCTCAAGCATAGACCCCACAAAGACACCAGCTCTCATAGATTCCAAAGAATCGGATTCGCTGGAGGTACAAAACATTTACAGTCCAAAAGTGAGGTTGATGTATACGCCCCCTGTTGCCCTTCCTTCGCCATTTCCAAGAACGCTTGGCCTGGAAGGTTAGTAATGTGGTTAAATTACGTTCCTGTCATTAACAATAACTTTCATTAGGGCTACCACTGTACCTGGCTTCCTCTGTCTTTATCCGGCACACAATGAAAACATTGTACTCAGACCTTCGAGTAGAGTTACGCAAGGTGGCGGTGCAAGGATCGCCGCATTCAGAAGGCGCGGCAGCCGGAACCCACTCGAATCACCAGCGAGACAAGAGTCTCTTCATTGGGCTGGATGTGTATGGCACGACACGCGTCAGCGGTGGGGTTGGGCGATGGCAGATGTCAGGATTTTTACCATCAGTACTGATTCTTACTGACCATGATCGAGTAGAGACTCGACGTACAGCTTTTCGCCTATTTCTGGGCTGATACAGACTCATACCATTGACTCCATACATCCGGCACCGCATCAAGCTGCTTATGATGCGCTCAGAGTGTCGCTCAGTAGTGTGTTCGGTTTCGGCGGCCCTGGTCCGGGGGATATTCGACCAGGAGAGGTTAGGGCGGTTAATAGCGATAAAGGATGACCTCTTTTATATTTCCTGCGTTCATCTCTTCGCCTTTATTTATCCGTTGCGTCGTTAACCAAGAGATGAGCTTTATAACCGACATCCTGTCGTCGGCTGGCGTGAGAGTCGGCAGATAGCGTATACCCACATCCCCGCCACTTGTTTCCATCATTAAGCTGATGTCTGACTTGTGGAAGACGAAAGAAAGATGTCAGTCGGCCTGCTTGCACCCGAGTCTCGAGATGTGCAAATTATAACGCAGGACGCGAGTGTCGTCACAATCGGTGTAGTCCAGTCGACCCTGATACTAATTTTGGCGAACGTGTTGACGGTAACAGGGCACAGCCATGAGCTGGCCTGAGACCTCTCTTGATCCTGAGACTTGTCAATGTGCATATGGGGTATTGTTTGAATTCTTGGCTGCAGATCAAGTCTGCACACTGTGGATGAGTCTTCAAAGTCATCAAAGACTTTACTCAGACTCGGACACGAAGGAGTACGTTATGACAATTGAGGGCATACGGATATTTCTTCCTGATGAATCATGATAATTAACTTCAAGATCATGATGAAACCGGTCAATATCGGAATCCGGGAAATGTACAGGGAACGGTTGCCATGCATTGGTCCCGCTCACCCAAGTATAGAAGGCATATGTATTCAATCAAGTATAAACCCGTTTCTCAATCTGCTCCGCCTCTTTCATCTCACGTCTCTTTACCTTGAGCCCGCCGCCGACCTCGTCTTTCCTTGATTGTACACTCATTTTTTCAATCGTTCACCCATTCTTTCAAACGCAATGTTCACCAAAGCAATTGCTGCGATCCTAGCTTTGCCCTTGGTGGCACAATGTCAGTATTTTATTTTTTTGGTGTGCCTTTACGGTTGATTCATCACGCGATTTTTTCTGTTTTGTTGTTTTGTAGTTGTTTCTGCAGACACCTGCACTCGCACTTACACCGCTCAGGCTGGCGATATCTGTGACAGTATTTCGGCAGCCAACGATGTTTCCACGTACGCCAAGCCAAGTTTCAGTCCCTGTTGAAAATTCTCTGCTAATGTTTTTCTTCCTGCAGGTACCAGCTTGCTGTCGTCAACGTCGGAATCATCGACGAAGGATGCGACAACCTTGTCGTTGGCCAGAATTACTGTCTTGGATGGCAAGGTCAGGACTGCACGACCACTTATGTAGTCCAGCAATACGACGATTGTTATATTGTTTCTTCCAACGCGGGCATCAACACCACTATCCTGTACGAAAACAACCCGCAGATCAACGAGGATTGCAGCAATATTTACATTGGAGAGGTAGCTCAGTATTTCCCAGCTTTATCTCAGTTTCTAAGGCAGTCTCTTTAGGTATTGTGCACAGCGAACACTGTCCAAGTCCCTCCTGCCCCTGATGGCACTACCCCCGCTACGACAATCCCTGCAACCGCTACTCCTGCCAACCCTGACGGCGACCTCCCTTGGTGTGACGAGTAAATTCCTTGGCCTCCACCATCCTGCTACACTTTCGAGTGTATGTCGCACGGGTGATGACAGGCTGGTCGTGTCGTCGTTTTGGTCACCTTATTCCCTTTTTCATTCTGAACTTTATCACATTGTTTTTCACAACCAGAGTTACCCCCGGTGGTGGTATACCCAGCAATAGTAACTCCATCTTTGCACTTTATTACCTTGAATTCTTCACATGTGGTAATTCTGGTAATTCCCCTTACATTCGAGGGAATAGATCGCGGTCTTATAGGGCTTGCCCTTTGTGATGACCATTTACATACGCCGTTGCCGTCGGTGTGATGAGGATATTCAGGAAAACGCTATTCCCCATACTCGTCCGTTCATAGGTAAGTGTAGGAGGCTTTTCTCACTCGATGACAAGGGGCCAGATTGAGCACAGAGTCTTCACCGGTGCAGCTCGTGTATTTTATGATCTTGACAAGGGCACTCATTTCATGCAATGGGCGATCAAGCGCCCACTGATAGTGCCCCCTAAATCCATCTACTTCCTGAAAGCGATATGAAAAAAAAGATGGGAAGATGATGAGAAGGCTGTTCAGCGGGAAGCTGCAACAAAGCAATAACCGTCTACCCGTCTCGCAGTGCATCCGCCTTCAAACACAGCAGCCTTCCTTTGATACTTTCGACGATTCATCATGTAGGGAGGGCTGCCCGGGTCCTCGTATTATCAGAGCCTATCAACATGCTACCAACTGATGCATCAATTCCAGATATTTAATTCGACATGTGCGGCGCACTGCACGGCTAGTTGTCAACTTGTCACCCTCTCTCATAACTTAACGAGTTGGTTCTCCATGCAGAGGAGCAGTTTCAACTCATCTTCAGGCCCGTCTTCGGCGCCCGAGTCGCCAGCAGTGAATACACGCACTTGCAAAAGAATGGTGTCTTTGATTCTTGTTTCAGAGTCTCAAAAAAAGAAGCGGCACCGTGCTCAAGCGGAGCCGCTGTCTGACACCCACACCTGTAATAATCTGACCCGCATGCCTTCAGAGTGCTACTTTGTACCCGCGCATTGAGTATGGATACCACCCAGGTGCACCCATGTCATAGATCGTTCATGTGCATGACTCGGACTCGCCTCCGAGTTGAGTTGCCGCAATACTTATTACTCCCGACGTTGTAACACCTATGAGAAAGTATGATATGTATGTAATTCCGTATATATTACTATAGCTCAGCTTTTCATTCTTTTGCTCCAGTATGGGAAGGTCCACCTTGTATTTGCCTGCCTCTCAGGCTGAGGTTACTATTTCCAAGCAGGTCCAGGGTAGTAATTGCCTGTATTAGCTCAGCTGACACAATATTGTCATTTTTCGCGGGCCACTGGCATAATATTCGGAATCTACAGGCACGGATCAATATACCATGCCTCAAAAGATTCAAGACTACTATCAGCTACTATCATAGCATGTTAACACGAAATGCACTTCTCAAAGACATACTCGCAACTGCTGCTAACATTACCCCCAGAGCTACGCGAGAACGCCATACAGTACCGCCAAGTAAGTGTGATGGTAGTTAATTGCTTGACGCCGGTAGCATTGACCATCTGACAGCTCAAGAGACTCATCAACCAACTGGTCCAAGAACTCTCTTCTCTTGGTCTCAGTCCCACTGTGCTCCAACAATTGCTAGAACAACAGAATCCTACGAGTTTGACTGCCCAGATCGAGGAAATACGCCAGCAGTGTGATCGAGTCTCTGATTGCGATGGTGATCACCAACGACATGCCACTGTAGTCTACGAGTTTATTGGGACGTCCTCTCATATTGAACCTCGTCTCCGGCTGTCAATCAAGCATCCAACAGACGCTACAGATATTGCATCTGGTCACACGACCACATCGGACAGCATCCTAGAGGCTCTACAGCTTCATTCCCAAACGCTAGAGAGCAACAAGGCCTTGGTGGATATCTGTTATTCATCAACGAAGTACGTCCGATGTGTTTTTGGTGCGCTTTTGTTGATAGCTTGGAACCCAGCACCCACGATCTTATCATACCATTACGGTCCGATACCGCGTTCTTTCAGCTATTAAATACCGCCCTTGCATCGCTCGCTGAACACCTTAATACTGTGCATGGCGGTTTCACATCTACGCTACAAAGTCTGGCTTATGCTATTAGTGCGACAGCACGTCCCACCTCCTCGTCGGCACGTTCTTTCTCGACTTATTCGATGGCCATCAGTAACGCTGCCACATTGCGACCCAGCTCTGGCAGCCGAAATACAGATCTATATTCATGGAGAGAGATATTCCAGATGTACGTTGAAAGTGAAATTTTCGAGAGTGTCGGGGAGAGAACTCGTGGGGAACGCAGTGTCGAGGAAACAGAGACCCGCATGAAGCAGTTTGAAAAACGCATGCAGGAGAAGAGAAATAAGCTCAAGCTGGCTGGAAGCAAGGATGCGCTGGATGTTTTCATGCGGATGAACTTTTTTATCTTGGATTTAAAGAGGGTGAGTGTGATTTTTGTTGTCGATTTGTTTAGATATTTATTTTCTACTATGTAGTTCCAATTTGCGAATGCCGAGGCTACCCGCAAGATTCTGAAGAAGCATACGAAGCGGACTGCATTACCCCTTCCTTCCTATCTTCTTCCACTCTGGAACGGACCATTACCAGCGTCTCCACCTTCAACGGAGTTGGCCTTGTCGCCTTGGCAGTCCCCAGTATCTTTGCCTCGACTCCTCGTGCAAGCTATCGGCGAAATTCTACTTCCAATTGTGCCTCACGTCGACGATTATTCGTGTCTTATCTGTACCAGTCTCGCGTTCAAGCCAATCAGACTTGCATGTGGCCATTTATTTTGTGTAAGGTGAGTGCATGACTATTGAAGCCGATTGTACGACCAAATGGACTAACTTGGTCTGTCATAGATGTCTCGTGAAGCTTCAGAAGCTCGGGAAAGCGAACTGCCCTATTTGCAGGGCCCCTACGGTGCTAAAGGCTGACCGCAGTGAGTCCCCCGCTCGTCCCTCATTGTGCTTTTGGTTAGCTTATGTCTCACAGCCAACGTTGATTATGCTCTCTTGAACTTTATGGCTGACTGGTTTCCCCTGGAGTCGCGTGTGAAGCTGAGTACTAACGAGCGCGAGGCAGCAAAGGAGGAGCTTGAAGAGCTTGGTCTTAGTGGAGGATGTCGAGTGATGTAAATCACGAACAGGACGACAGTCCTGTCTGGACAGTTTGGACATGGGCTCGAGAGGTGTGTTATGGTACACTATTTATATTGGAATGCGATGGCCTGCGGGATTGCATGCATTTTAGATATAGTTGTATTATGTTTTCTATTTAAACAGAATGATAATGAGGTGCTTGCGATGACAAGAGACAGCAGGTGTCGTGTTTCATTCAGACTCTCCAACAACATCCTCCATGATTTCTTCTTGCCAGTTTCGGCGCAAGGCATCCAGAAAATCCTGCACGCCGTCACCTTCCAGGAAGCTGGTGAGGTTCATGAGAGAGAGACCGATTCGATGGTCTGTCACGCGATCCTGCGCATAATTATACGTTCGAATCTTCTCGCTGCGATCCGCGGTGCGGACCAGATTCCGGCGAGTGGCTCGACGGTGGGCGACATCTTGTGAAAGCTTTACATCCATTAGGCGAGCACGAAGGACTTGAAAAGCACGACGCTTATTCTATTCGAAATTATATGTTAGATGCCCCTTAATGACAAACGAGTGTAGGTTACCTGATGCTGACTGCGTTCGTCTTGCATGGAAACAGTGATACCGGTGGGTGTATGGGTGAGACGGACTGCAGACTCTGTTTTGTTGACGTGCTGATGACGATGGTCAAAGTCAATTACTCTGCATGGAATCAAAAAACCCACCTGTCCACCTGCACCACGTGCACGCATTACCTCGATCTTCACATCCTCCATTTTGAAAAGTTCATCATTCCCGCTGATGCTCTCGGCATCTTCGCTCAGCGGCAGAACCTAGTAAGGGCTATGTTACCCATAACCCAATCAAATTTACTAGATACTTACTATAACCGCAACAGTACTCGTATGAGTCCGCCCACTTGACTCCGTTGCGGGGACGCGCTGCACACGATGTACACCGCTCTCCCACCTCAGTGCATCATAAGCTCCTTCACCTTTAATCTCGAGGATAGCATCGCGAATCCCTCCGCTTTCGGTTTCGCTGCTCTGTATGACACTTGTTCGCCACCCGACTGAACCAGCATATCGAACGTAGACTCGCAGGAGGTCCAACAGAAATAGAGCTGCTTCAGACCCACCGACGCCGGCTTTCAACTCCAGCAGAGCATGTAAGTCACGCGTAGATGATGGAGGAACGAGAAGAGAGGGAAACGTTGTGGATATGTGGGTAGATAGGGTATGGGCCAGGGAGGTGAATTCTTCCGATGCTAAGGTGCGCATGGTTGGGTCAGGATCTTGCATGAGGGGTAGTATTTCTTCCAAGGACTACTGTGGTAGCATTGAGCCAGGGCCAACAGCGATGGGATGTGATGTCACAAACCTGACGAGCGTGCGTCCAGTTCGACCATGCTTCATGCAAGGGTTCTAATTCTTTGAGTTGACGTGCACGTGCTATGTCCTCTGGAGAGGACATATCCTCAGACATCTAACAAATACTGAGCTGATATTTCATACTGCTGTCGATAGTAGTAGTCTCACATTTGCTAGCAATTCATCCCTGACTTTGATGCGCTTCCTCACAGCCTGAAGGATGCGAGCACCATCTTGTTCAATTTCGTGGATGACGTTGAAGGAAGTAGGATGAACCTCTGCGAGGTATGTACGCGTGCTAGAAAAAAAACGCCGGTAAGGTTTTAATGGACTATGGCAGCGATACAGAAGGCGAAACATGAAGACTCATGAAAGTCACTGAGCATGTTCTCAAAAAGGTTTTGTTTTGATTAGAAGGTTTTGGCAAACAACCTTCTTCCAAAAACGGATGATTCCAAACTTCACAGCACACCTCCATCATACTCATCGAAACAGTCTTAGGCTTGCTGTTTGGAACATAGTAACACTATTGTACTGGTATGCTATGAATTTTATAAATACAAGCAGCTTTCTGTCCTTAGCTTCTTAATCCTGGGGCTTTACTGATCCTTCAACGCAGCGATTCTGTAGGCGAGAACCGTCACATCGATTTACCCTTGACCACTGGGGGAGATCATCTTCCTTCTATTTGGTCTGCCTATGGGGGACTACCTTTGAACTTTGTATCACGGCCCGCACTTCAAAAACGTTCATGAGTGGCACTGCTTCCATCCATATCTGAACGAAGAAGCCGTCACCTGATATGTCTATCTCATGTTAGGAGTTTATGCTGCCGCATGCAAGATCTGCACGGAGATTCCCCGATTATCTATAAAACCCTTCAGGATCTGACCCACGTTCCCGCTCCGTCTGTCCCTGAACCATTCAGTACTAACAATCAGGTAAGGTCATGTCCGATTTCGCCTGGAGATGCTGGATATCAAAAATGACAGGCCGTTTTTCAAGTCATGTCTGAACGATTTCTTGACCGGTCCAATGAAACCTGGTGGACTAATCGAGCTCGCTCTCGTAGTGTGGACCTCTATCAGTTCGCTGACGATCTCGAACCAAAATCTGAGGTGAGTCTGTGACATGCGATAGATCGTTCTAAAGTGAATATACTTGAGCAGGGTCATCCAGTAACCAGCAAGAATATCGTAATTTTCGGAGAGACTGGAGTCGGTAAAAGCTCCTTGATCAACCTGATTGCAGGCGAGGATATCGCCCCAATATCCCCAGACGCCCTTCCCTGCACCACTGAAGAGCATGCCTACGAGGTCGAAATACGTGGCCAGAGGTACACTCTGCACGATACAGTGGGTCTCGGTGGAGGAAGTTATGGGTCAATACCAACGGATGTGGCTCCCGCCAAAAAGCTGAAATATTTCTTGACGAAGATGTCTCAAGAAGATGGTCTCCATCTTCTAGTCTACTGTGTGCGTGGGTCAAGGGCCACCAGGGCAGTACGTCACAGTTACGAAACCTTCGCTGCGGCGATTTCAGGGATGAAAATCCCAGTCGTTCTTGCTGTGACATGCGTCGATGACCTGTCGGAAGCTGGTGATTGGTGGCGGAGGAATGGGAAAACTGTGGAGAGCATTGGGATCCGGTTTGACTCCCATGCTTGTGTATGTACGCTTCCCGGAGACTCCTACCGTGATCGCCGCTACCAGTCAAAAATCGACGTTTGCGAAAAAATCTCCGAATTATGTGATCATGATGGTGTTCGTTTACGACGCCCACGACGCCAGAGGAGTTTACCTTTCACAAGATGAGATTTGGTGTTTGTAGACTTGCTATATATATTTATATATCTCGCTCGTTGTCCGTCTGAGGGATTTATGACGTAACTTGTACAAGTCGGAGCGGTTATTTGGTTCCGGGGCCTTTGCCAAACACCCATTTATGGGAATCAAGCTTTGCCTCGTTGATGGGTCCAGCCACATTGCACCACCTCTTACTCAACTTCATGGATGTCATGCAGTCCATCCTGGTCCATGCGGTTGGCGACGAAGAGCCAGAACTACCGCCAGGATCACCTCCGACATGTAAGTGTAGACCAGAAGCAAATTCATCAATCTTACACTATTGCTACCTGTAGTCAAGTTCGAGGGTCCGTGGTTTACGACACAAATCTTACTCTCTTCCACCATAGGACTCTCATCTTTCCTGATTTTCTCGTACTGTCGCAAGCGATGGCCTTTGTTATTTGCACCAAGAACGATGCTGAAAGGTATGTTGTTCCGTTCTTACTAGGTAGTAGTAGAATTGATCTCCTTCAGACTTCTCCCCGCACGAGGCACATGCTCACCAGGCCTTTTTTGGATGGATTGTTCCAACTATGAAAGTGTCTGAGTATACTGTACTGCAAATTGTTGGATTGGATGCTGCAGTGGCAAGTTTACTGTAAATGCGTATGCAAAGACATCACTCACGTGTAAAAACAGCTCCTTAGCTTTTTCAAGACTTCCTTTTACCTTTTTTCCGTTTGTTCTTTATTCGCTGTTACGATCCTTATGCCCATTAACTTGAATGTACGTATTTCCGCATGTCTAAGAAACACCGGCTCATATTGCTCGTAGCATAATATCGGCCTCGGAGGAGGCACTGACGAAGACGACAACGATTGGCCGGGATGGGTCACCACCAGTTCTAATGACGACCCTATGGCGCCTGGACGGGAGTGGCTCGACCTCATCAGCGATGCTAACACATATCTGACGATTCATTTTCTCTTCACGTACCTGTTCACCTTCCTGGCGTTGCGGTTCCTTTATAAGAACTATCGTCGCTTCATTCGCTCACGTCAGTTGTTCTCCCTCGAACTGGCTCATTCTATTCCCGGAAGGACTGTCATCGTAACTAACCTGCCCAACCATCTTCGGTCCGAGCGGGCTCTCGCCGAGTACTTTGAAAACATGGGGCTCAGCGTTGAAAGCGTGACGGTCTGCAGGGAAGTCGGTACCCTGAAAGCCCTTCTTGACCTTAGGACAAAAGCATTACTGAAGTTGGAGAGTGCATGGACGAATTACGTGGGAAATCCAAGCGTGGTGGAATCCTACGACCCGTCCGAGAACGTAATCCCCCCCTTCTCGGATAGAGAGCCATCGCTACTAGAAAATCAGCAGGGACGTTTCGTCGTACCCCATCGCCAGCGTCCTGTCATAAGACCAGGGTGGTTCTCCAGAAAAGTTGATGCGCTCGAGTACCTCGAGACAAAGTTTACGGAGGCCGACGAGAAAGTCAAGAGGTGGCGTCGTATCGGGAAAACAAAGGCAACGCAAGTCGCCTTCGTCACGTTCGAGAAGATGTCTAGTGCAGTAAGCGTCGAGTTTATTGATGCCGATAGCCCTTCGCTAATTGCTATATAGCAAATTGCTGTGCAAGTGGCACATTCATGTGACCCAGGGGAAGTAAAAACCAGCCCAGCCCCTGAACCGCGAGACATCGTTTGGTCTAACATTACTCACACTTCAGGAAACCTTTTAGCTCGTGAGATGTTTGTAATTGGTTGTGTAATACTACTGCTATTCTTCTGGATATTCCCGATCACCGCGCTTGCGAGTCTGCTGAGTTACAAGGAGATCAAGAAGGTGATGCCTTGGCTTGGCAGACTCATCGATGGCAACGACAGAATACGTGCCATCGTACAGAATTCATTGCCGTCCGTCGCCATCATTACGCTGAACGCACTTCTACCTTTTATCCTTGAAGGTGTGTTGTCTTACCAGACATCTGGCTCAGCTTACGATTGGCATTACTAGCTTTGACGTATACTCAGGGGTATAGAGCACGAAGCTTGATTGAATACTCTCTGATGCGGAAGTCAGTTCATTTCCATTGCAGAAAATCCACTTCTAAGACTTCGAAAGATACTTCTTGTTCCTTCTCATCAATGTGGTGTTCATCTTCCTTATGGCAAGCACGTACTGGCAGTTGGTGCGCGATCTCGCGCACTCGCCTGCGAAGATCCCAGAAAAGCTAGCTACAGCGCTCCAACAAGGAAGGGCAAAGTAAGTGGCAGCATCTTTGTAATCTGCAGCTTTTTATCTAGGCATGTCTTATAGGCACTTTTTCCTTTCGTATGTTATACTTCAAGGTGGGTCCATCATCTTAGTTGTACTTGAGAGTGCTGAATTAGAACGACAGGCTTTGGTATCATGCCGCTCCAGTTGCTCAATCTGGGGGTGATAATACCCCGGATGGTCTCACGCATGTTCAGGACTCGTACACCTCGAGGTAAGCACTACCGCATGTTAATGGTAAATCTAATCCTTGGTCTGAGCAGATTTCGCTGAGTTGAATGCCCCTCCCATGATCAACTATGGTGTCGTATACCCTCAAGCGATTCTTGTTTTTGTTGTCACTATTCTGTACAGCGTCGTCCAGCCCTTGATCGTTATCTTCGGCGCAATCTATTTTGGAATGGCCTACGTCGTGTACAAGTACAAGTTGTTGTTTGGTGAGTAGATTCAAGCTCTCTTTTGCTGAAACGTTTCTGAGCTCGCTGGTCCAGTGTTTTATAAGCCCTACGAATCTCAGGGCCAAGCATGGCCCCTCACGTTTGTCAGGCTCATTTGGGGCATAATCATTTTCCAGACGTTTATGATCGGTATCTTGACCTTGCGGCAATGTTATATCATGTCTTCCCTCCTTCTTCCGCTGCTTGCAGGTACCGCAATCTGGTCCTGGTACATCTATGAGACCTTCAAGCCTCTCAGCAGCGCAGTGTGTCTCAGTTCTGTGTGCGAGGTAGAGCGTGGCGAAGATTCAGCAGATGTAGTGAGGTTGCGGGAGGGACATCCAGTGACGTGGTCGCAGAGGTAAGGTCTATAATTTTTCTGCTGGACCCTAATGCAGAGTTATTTTCAGTAATTTGATGCGCCGGAGATACGCACAAAATGACGACATGCTCTATGTTGCTCCAGAAGATGAGCGGACAGACTATGTAGGTAATATGATATGCGGAAGGAACGTCTGACTTACTTCTCTTTCAGTCGCAACCACCTATGGCTAATTGGTATAAAGGCGTGTTGAAGTGAGTTGTTTTGTTTCGATTAATTGCCATGTATTTATCCCTTATTTAGCACCGGCAAACGAAGATACGGGCATCCTGCTCTAACTGGTGTGCTTCCTGAGCCTTGGCTTCCGTTGAAGAAAGGGCAAACCCTTGTCAATGGGCACCGTGCAGGAGGGTCAAGAGCATCTCCATATGTCAACCAAGGCATCGTTCTCAACCTACGTAACCGCTACACCATGCTACGAGGAAAGATTCGAGCATCGCGGCAATCTCGCCCCGCTACTGATGGCACTCTTACCGACATGAGTGCCTCTGAGAAC